AATAGTAATAATGCGTTAACATGCTAAGCATTAGTTATATTAGGCTATATCATTTTATATGATGTTATATCTTTAACCTGAAGATAACTCACACTGCGCTTCGAGTATAGGTGTAAGTAATCCACACTGATATTAAATTGTAGATACTAATATGAGCATAATGGAGTGATTTAACATACCACCCTCGGCTCCAGCAGTTCTCCTGGAGGAAGAGAGGCCCGGTTCATTTTAGCGATTCTCTGCAGAGTCTCAACAGCAGCTGCCATGTTTCCTGCTGACACGTTATAACGAGCCGACTCAGGGATAAACTGTAGACAGAGAGACAGACAGGTGAGGACAGACATACAGACCGGTCAGGACAGACAGCTGAGTGGGATGTCTCACCTGAAAAAGGAAGAGGAGGATGATACTGGGGGTGACGGAGATCCGGATCATCCACCTCCAGCCCCAAGTGGGAACCACCAGCATTCCAAGTATGATGATCAGCATGGAACCCAACATCCAGAATATCTGACACAGAGACAAAGAGCATGCTGGGAGAAATCAAACCGTGACATTATCAGACAGCGAGAACCCCCGAGTGAACACGTTCCAGCCTCCCCCCCAGTAACTCAGCGATCATTTCTTCTTCTCGCTAACAACAAAGTTCATGTCACAAATTGTCAGAGAGTGAACCAGAGTCCATTTTCCCCCAACAGTACAAGACTTGTTAAACGGTGTGGTTTTATTTCCTGTCTTATTTTGTAGTTTTCTGCTTCTTGTCTCCCTGGGTAACTTCACTTCCTGCCTTGTCCTGTCGTCCTCTGTGATTGTCTGATTGTTTCCACCTGTGTCCAATCACCTGCACCTCCCTGGTGTATTTAAGCCGTGTGTGTCTCTTGTCACTGGTAACTTCTTGTTCGTCCATAAAGAAAAACCCTCCGATGTATCATTTTCATTTGTGTCTTACTTATACCATATCCTATCCAAGTGAGCCAATTATAATCATGTACCGCCTATATTTCAAATTATGCTAATTAGAATGAAATACCTGTGATCATGTTGATATGATATTGCTGAAATGATGACGATGATGCTATCGTGGGGGCGATAACATATGCAGACATCATCTGAGTTTCTGATGCCGTTGTACAATAAAAGGAAAGGATTGAAGTGACCACGGAGGAATGTGCGTTGATTTACTGACCGCTCCTACATATATTCATATAATATTTAATGACCGCTTGAATGAATATGTTTATTTACATTCACATATGTAGATATATATCTCTATATGTATGTGTGAATCGTATGAGTCCGTTAAAGTCAGTACATTTTTCTTGAATCCTTTTGAAGCTTTAATCTGTTCCTTCGGTACTGTTGTTTAAATGGATGCAAAGAAGGACAGAACTCACAGTGGCCAGAGGCAGCAGGACGGCTCGATACTTTGAGGGGATGAACTCCGTCTTCAACACGAAGCTGAAACACGACGAGCAGGTGGAGGTCAACGCGCGCACAGCGTTGTGTGTTATGTTGTGTCTGTGTGTGCGTGTGCTTTGGTGTTGATCGTGGTTGTGCGTTGTTGTGTCTGTGCTGACCCCTGGGACACTCCTGCGACCCCACAGCCCACCATGCTGCGGAGGAAGATGAACCAACCGTACGAAGGAGCGAATGAGGTGAGCAGAGAGAAGTAAGCGCTCCACACGAAGCCTCCGAACACCACCTGAGAGCCAAACAGACACACATCCATAAGAAAGATGGCGTATACAACGGTACATGCTGAAGAGTAGACGTTGAACATGCTTCTGACCGTCCAGCGTCCGTATCGGTCAGCGAGGTATCCAGCCAGGACGCCACAAACCATGAAGCCAAGGAACACCATCTGAGAGGGATCAGGAACCATGAATACTCACAGCAGTACGATGACAGGAGCCTCACCCACTAGGAGGCTACGCACATCATTTATTCGTTTATTTTGCAGGGACAATGCACACTAATCAACAGTTGTACTGTAAGTGAGCCACAGAGGCTAATTTCCATCTGCTGTCTCCAGCCACATTTTTAAGGCAGCCTAAAATAAAAAAAGAAATATCTCAAAAGGAAATGTAATTCAAGTTTATAGACAAACGGGCAACGGACATCCATCTCATCCATGTGAAACCAACAGGCTGGGACTCACGGTGGAGACGAGAGCGACCTGCCAGTCCTCCAGATGCCACTCGCACCGGATTTCTGGAGAGACGACAGCCAGCAGCATGATCTCCATGGCCTCCACAATCTACACACAGGGAGAGACACACGCAAGTACTTCATCTGTGTCGATCCATTTCCCAGCATTGTTGTTCATTGTCGCTTTGATAAACTCACGTTGGCGCTGCCCATGATGATGAAGAGCAGGATGTGAAAGCGACCAAATCCAATTGTTTCAACAGCTTCTTCAACGGAGAACGTCTCTGCAGAACAACATCATCATCACCAAGGGCATCATTAGCAACACCATCATTGAAATCATCTTCATAAGCAACATAATTATCATCTTCATTGGTTGAAAAGGCAGAGGCATGTAATTAGATACTGATGATTCTGAATTTAAATCTCAAAAAAGGTAAAAGGCCATAGTTAGAAAGACATAACGTCTGGGAATTGTGAACATAATTTGTGGATTTCATTCATTCTTATAGAGTTGTTAACTTTCTCGTTAAGATTTATTTCCATTTATATCATATAAATGTGGGCGACTGTGGGCGAGTGGAGACTACAGTCGTTCTCCAATCAGAGGGTACAGTCAATGTACCATTAACCATAAAACATTTAATCCACTATGGAATATAAAACGTGACCTTTCTGGTTCATTTATTGGTTCATTTATTGACGTTTTCACAACTCTCACTCACCACCGTGTCCCTGCTTTGTGCTCTGCGGTTTGTCTGCAGGTTGCATCTCCACCTCCTGCAGCTGGATGGCGCTCACCAGCTTTGTCTTCATGAAATCTCCCATCCTGATCTCAGCTGAACCTCCAGCGAACACTTTGTGCTGAGGAAACACAGCAGCTCCGTTCATATACAGTGGAGAATGTTCTAGGTGGCGCAATGGAATACATTTACGCAAACATCCCAGGATGATTTAATGTGAAACAATTAAAAATTGAATCAAAAACATTTCTTTGGTGGAAATGAGTGGATAAAGCCCTTGTGAGAAATCAAAAGTATCTTAAGCTCGTTTATGAGTATTTATTACTAACTACAATATAGACAAATCAATTCAGAAGAGGTCACAAAGTTAATTTCCTCCACGTCCTCTCCGCCTGTCTGTCTCAGCTGGACCCAAAAGAACAGTTTCCATCTGAATGTGTCTCTGCTTTGAAGAGAAACACTCAGACACGGAATCGCCTGAATGCTGCGACTGGCCACGGAGAAGAAACATGTCAGGGACGTTCCTGACTTCAATAAGAAGGTCATTGAGAGCAACGTTTCATTATAAATGATCTGCCAGAAGAACATGGTTTCCTCTACACACTGATGTGTGTTGACGTGGTGCAGGAGTACAGAGGTGCACCGGGAACCGTAAGGTTGGTGGTTCCCATGTTGAAGTGTCCCTGAGCAAGACGCCTCACCCCTACTTGCTCCCCGGGCCAAAATGTTACAAATGCAATGTAAGTCGCTTTGGGTAAATGACCTGGAATGTGATGTGTTGGGTGTTTTTCCAAAGAAATATGTCCTTATGTCCACCAGCTGCACTGGTTCAGAAGATACCTTTGGTGTTTGTATATTGTCTTATATTGTTTTCATACAGAAGTCTTGATTTCTTTGTGCAAACTGGGCCAGCAGGTTCCATCCTCCATCCCACAGCTTTGAGCACAAGCCGGACTCCTTTCAGAAACGCATTTAGTGCAGGAGGACAGAAATATGGAGTTTTAGTGATTAAAGGTGAATTCTTTCCGAGCCGTATTACTCAGAAGAATCTTTACTGTGTATTTGCGTTATTGTTAAACAGTTAACTGTTAATCAGCTTATTTTCGGTAGAAACCCTTGAACAAACAGATTTCCAGAAGGGTTCGGCGGAAAAGCTTCGGTGTTGACGTCGGGTTTCTTAAAGCTCACGGAAACATGTCCCGGTGTGATGTGAACTTTTCACTCAAATCACACCAGGAGCTTCATGTCGTCACGGAACTCCGCTTCCTCCTCACGATTCTACTCACACAGAAGTTCGTTCTTCACCGGAACCTTCCCGCGGGTCTCTTCTCATTCTCCTTCGCCTCCTCGGCTCCGAACTCCGGTCCAAACTACCGGTCTACCTGCCAGGTGAACCCGGAAGAAACGGCGTCAGCGGCTCGTCACTATGACGCTGGAGGAGGGTGGAGGAGGTAGAAGGGTGGAGGAAGGAGGGAGGAAGGAGGGTGGAGAAGGAGGATTTTCTCTAAATTGATGATCTATTATCATAAGAACAATGAGGATGATGAACATATTCAGTCCCGGTGTTACGTGCCTTCCGGTTTTTGAACCTACTGGTTTGTCAACGCGTGCGTGTTTGTTTGTTTGTTTGTTTGTTTTCCCCCTACGGCGGCAGATGTTGTCTGCCTCGGTCACTTGATTCGTCACACATTCGCAAACATATTGCTGAAAATGTTCAAAATTCATCACATATTCTTTGCAGCGATTACGACGTATAAGTGAGCACTACGTCACTGCCACGTGACCCGTTGGGTCGGTACCGGACCGGCTGCTCTCCATCTGGATCATCATGTGACGATATGACGGTGATTCTGATCTGATCTTGAAATATTAAGAATTTGATCTGAAATATTACCAAAAACGTTTTATTTTATTCTTAATGCCTCAGTTTGTTGATATAATACGTGTAGTTTTGTTTTGTTGGTTTAGAATATTACATCCTGATTATGAGTACTTACTCTAACCACTATTCTCTGGAAACGTTACGTCTGCGTGTCTTATTGATCGTTTAAAATAAATGTAATCTCCCATTGCGAACCCCAGAAGAAAAACAAAGAAAAACGACAGAAACAAATTGAAACACATATTTTTAATGTTTGTTATCACAACCTTTTAGATCTCAGGTCACAGTCCTGTCATGTGACAAGTCAGATCAGCTGATCACTAGGGAGCAGATGAGACGGCTCTGATTCTATGTCAGTTAACATTAAGAGAGCCCTCACCAGACTGGAACGGGTCTCATGTCATCACAACAGGTGTATGATGTCATCGCAGCCGCAGTATTGTCTTGCACAGAATCTGATTTCATCACCTGTTCTGGGTCCGAACACGGTGAAGCAGCCTCGTGTTGAAACAGAGTCAGAGAAGATGAACAGGATTGTGGTTTTGAAGCGATGTTTGTTCATGACAAACATTTAATCAATGGAGAACTGAAAACATCCAAACTGATGACTTCCTGTATCTTCTTTATATACATCTGTATATATATATAAACAAGCTGTTTACCAGATTAATGTAATCATCATGTCATCCGCTCGGTACATGGAGGTACCAGCTGAGTCTCCAGCTTCGAATGAATCTGGTATCAGATAAGTCTGGTACTATGTATATATCTGGTATCAGGTGAGTCTGGTTCCGGTACTAGGTGGGTATGGTACTATGTGCGTCTGGCATCAGGTGAGCATTGTACCAGGTGGGCCTGGTACGGGTGAGTCTGGTATTAGGTGGGTCAAGCTTCAGGTGAGTCTGGGTGGGGCATCGGAGTAAATCTGTTTTCTTGTCATAAGCAAACATCCCCACAGAGACGGATTCTCACTGAGCATCACAGATCTAGAAAAAAACTGAAACTATAGAAAACATTGAGGGGACATTCATCAGCAGAACTAAGTGGAACCTGCAGGTTTAACAGGTTTCACTTCTTTCTTTGATCACAACACCTTCAGAGTTCAACCTTTGTGTGCTTTGTTTGTGTAGACACACCCGAAGTATTGGGTTAGCACCATGTGATCATGTAGGCGGTGTCATAGAGCTTGACTGACGAGTGCTAGGTCCAATCAGAGAGTCCTCTGCCAGTGAAGGATGTGTTGGCACAGAAGCCCGGCAGAGTCCGCAGACACGTAATTACTTTCTAGATATCTAACACCATATTCACTTCCATTTATATACTGTTGACTGGAACCATTTTCGTTACACTTTTAAAAATATATTTTGCAAATGCAAAAAAAGGAAATATCATTTTTTTTCTAGTATGACTGGATGAGTGATGATTTTGTGGTTCTGGGATTAATCACAGTCTGTTCAGCCTTAACTTGACGTGGAGCAAATCTTTACTACTTTCTTTAAACTTGTTTTAACTTTGTTTTAAACATCTTTTAGCAGCATGCTAAACATTAACTGGAACATCACAAGAAGCGAAAGCCTCAAACTGAGTCAAACATGCCGAAAAACAGCAGAGGCGAACAAACCCTCTTGTATCAAAACCAGATTTCAGGAGCGACCATCTTCTTTACAACACTGCAGAGGAAACAGCCAACCACCAGAGCGAGGAAGCAGTCATACAGCAGCTCAACCAGCACCTGAAGAGTAAGGATGGATCTAAATGTTCGGGGTCCTCTTAACGTAACTTAACAAGACTATCCATCATTCCTAGTGGATGTGAGAATATAGAGTAGGGGTCTCAAACTGAAATCAGGTGCGGGCCAGATGCAGCCCACTTCGACCGAACGCGGGCCAGACCATTACGGTGGTGGTGGCGCTGACGGTCCGAACGGTACGGTCAACGGGGGGGCTGTAATAAAGTTGTTTTCCTGGAGTGTAATGAACATAATAGCCTGAGGGGGACAGAACGGAGGCAGCCAATGTCAACAGCTTTGCTGAAACCTTTAGTTAGTTATAAGGATGTTATTTATTGAACATAGTCCATATTTTGTCCTCAGGGTGATTATTTACACCTTTAGTTTCTGGTTGAGGTGAACGACTGGTCTCCCATTTATTTTTACCCATCTGTAACTTGATGAACTCGTTTATCCCTCAGACATTGACGGATGCAACAAATCAGCAACAAATAAACTGGGTAGTAAAGAAAAGCATTAGCAAGATAACTTTTTTGCCACCAATACAGCAAGTCACGAGCGAGCAGCTACAATAAATAACGTTTCCGCAGAGAGCTCAAACACAAGAAGAATACAACCATTGAACAGTAGTTGGGTCTTTTTTTTCATTAAAATAAAATATTCAAAACATACTTTCATATATAAGCAATAAAAATAAGTAACGTCTCAACACTCCAATAATAACTCTTACATTAATATTGTGCTCTCTGTGATTCTATCTCTTTACAAATACTCATTAATTCATATAGATATTTATGTATTCATATATATATTCCGGTTTTGCATCCTCGTTCTGCAAGAACTGTTGACAGTGCAAAGACCTAATTTATGCAGTTCATAAACGGAGACCTGATCCCCGTGGCTGATGGGAGTGTGGAAGGCAATAAGTGGTCAATGAGGAGATAGCATGAGGCTGGCTGTTAGCACCACAGGAGATCCAGAAGGGCAATCCACTTACAAAGGAGGGAGGATTCAATCCAGTGGAGGAAAGACATTCTGGCATAATCGATTCCAGAGGATCAGGAGACGTTCACTGCAGAACTCCAAGATGGATCCTTGCTTCTTGAATGTGAGGAGAGACAATCTGGTCCAGAAGATCTGGAAGGATGTTCAACTCAAGACCATCTTGGAGGGAGGGTCTATTTCAGAATTTAAGAAGGGAATGTCCTCTTCAGAAGGTCAGACGGGAACATCCACTGCAGAACTCCAGGAAGGATCAATTGCATCTGGAAGGTAAGGTAAGGTAAGGAGATGACTCATTCCAGAATTTCAGGACTAAATGGCCACTCCAGAAGGTAATACTCCAAAAGGCCAATAGGGGGAAAACTACTGCAGGAGGGATGAACTAAGTTAAGAAGGCAATGTCCTCTTCAGAAGGCCAGAAGGGAGCATCTACTGCAGAACTCCAGATGGTTTAGATGGAATAGTCTGGGAGAATATTACCTTCAGATGGTCGGGATAATGACTCCAGTGGTTCAGAAAGGATGAATCCAGAAGGGCTAGGGCAGATAAGATAATCAGAAATCCCAGAGAGATTGTCCCCTCCAAAAAGCTAAAAGCAACCATCCTCTCGAGGTGGTCAAGAAGGATGACCTGCTCTAAAGGTTTGGAAAGGATGATCATCGAACAATCCACTCCAGGAAGCACTTCAATGGAAATGTGTAGAGAAACTCTAATGTCTAATGAAAAGCTGAGCTGAAGGATGACAAGCAGAAAGACGGGACCGTGTAAAGTACCGGAGATCTTTCAGTCAGGGGACATTGTCCTTTTATTCACGTGGGGTTTCTGGCCCGGCGTCGTCTTGAGTTTAGCGGCACAGATGTAGATTAGCTCAAGAGAGTCCAGAATGTGGATCACTTAGTTAAACGCTTTTAATCCCATCTTTGCAGGCTCTTTGTTTTTTGCATGTGGCTGAAACAAGTTGAAGTCTGATCCAAGCGGGTCCAGACCAGTCTAAGGATAGTTGGTCACCGCAGTCTGTTTCTGGGCCAGGCGTCGCAGCTCCTCCCTGATGGCCTTTATAAGGGAGGCAGAGGTATGGGCGGAAGGGGAGGCGTCCTCCGGTGGGTACTCAGGAGTCGGCGATGTAAGAAGGAGAGGCGGAGCTGAGGGATCCCGTAACGAGGAGCTGGGCATCTGGAAAACTGAAGAAGAGAACTCAGGAAACGACAGCACCTGTAGGAAGGAGGGAAGAAAGAGGGTGAGGCCAAGGCCAGAACGCTAACCACTATTCCTAAACACTAGATCCAGATTAAAGACATGAAGAGAAACTACTTAGGAAATTAGGGCAACAGACAACGACAACCACCATCGCTGGTAGACTTGTAACTGAACAACATGAAAGGTCTTAAGACTTGACTGATAAGAACTGGTCCGAACTAATCTGAACTGACTGCCCAGTACTAGTCTGGATTTGAATCAACGGGATATATCTTGACAGGTCAGGACTTGTCTAGACTGGACTTGTCCAGTTTCTGTCAGCTCAGTGGTTCCCACCAGTGAACCACTGGGTCAGCTTAAGTTAACTAAGACAGAAGTGAACAACAAAAGGTGATGAGTTGACTGATCTCCACCCTTTATCACCATGTTTATCTAAAATAGAAACAACTAAACACAACTAGTTCAAATTTGGTTTAGTCACACTCTCTTTGCTGGCTCCGGGTCTGGAGAGGTCCTGGTCTGAATGGCGCTGGTTCCAGCTGGAGCCGGTGGGACCAGACATGCTGCGACCCACCCCCGGGTACACACTGATCTGACTGGACAAACCCACTTGGGTCAGATGGTGGAGCTGGGCACCTGAAGGTTGACAAATATGACCAAAGAGAAACAGAGACATAGTTGAGTTTCAGAAAATACAATAGCATCTTTACTGATGGTCAGTCTACCAAAATGGCATGCGTATGGGACTGTACCTGTGCTTCCCCCCACCGGTCGTGGTCTGGATGAGGAGGGGGGGTCTTCGTACTGTGCTCTGTTGGAGTAGACCGATTCCTGCAGCTGGTCTCCAGTGGAAATATATCCTGCTGAGCTTAGACCCTGCCTGTATGAACCAGAGAATCAGCAGTGGTTCAGGTCCAAATCAAAGCCATGGACTCGTGTGGTGAAAATTTTAAGTTGACCTTTGTGGAGATTGTAGAACTAAAGATTGCGAAAACCCAAATTATTATAATGCATTCTTGCAAGAAGAACTATCAAGTCCACAAAGTCCCAAAGCGTTTGTGGAGCTAACACACTGATTAACTAAGTTGAAACTCTCCTTAAACGCCCTCATAAAAGCCCCTCAGGGTCAGGGGACCTCAAAACATATCAAAAGGGGAGCTCGAAAGTCTTCCTTCTTCGTAGGAATCTGGTTTACCTTCAAGAGGATCAACAGGAAGAGCATATAATCAATACATCCAAATGACAGCGCCTTATGGTATAATCCTATACATTCCAATGCTGCCTCTTCTAGTACTTTTCCAAATCTCGACGACCCCACTCAAGTCTTAAGTGAACTGACCTGTGCAGAAGACCCTGGACCGATGTTGGTGACATTCCCAGCTCTGCGTATCTCTGAAGACACAACAAAGGAAGAGGATGAAATGAAAACTGGACATGGAGTCGTGACAGACAGGAAATGGCCTCCGGACACTCACAGCAGAGAAGGGGCTCTGAGAGGGGGCTGCTGGGTAAGAGCCCCACTGTCTGCCAGGGGGGCGGGCCTGGGGGGAGTGGCCCGGCAGGGCGGGGCTTATCCCGCTGCCCTGCGAGGAAGGCGACACCAGTGCGAAAGCGTCGTCCAGCAGGGAGTGCATCTGCTGCCGGGCCTCCTCGATCGAGGGCTGGGGGGGCATGTAGGGCGGCGGGGCTGAGTCAAACACCTCGTCAGTGGGGGAGGGGCTGCCGTGGTCTGGTGGAAGGTCAGTGTCCGACTATAAAAGAGAGAATAGAGACAATGAAGGGAATGTGTTCTGCTTCATTATTTACGTTCTACCCATCCAACCATCTGGTTCCTATTCTGTGTCCTGGGGGGTGACGGCTAAAGAGGTTCTACCAGGCACCATACTAACCCTTTTAGGTCTTCATGGGGGAAGCCGGAAGCATTTCCGGGCCACATGAGGTATAACATCCCTCCAGTGTGTTACCAGAAAGAGATGTGTTGCCTCTTACCAGTTGGATCTGGGAGAATCTTGATGACATGATCAAACCTCCTCACCGCTATAGTCTCCATTTGAACAAGACCTGCATACCCGAATTCCCTCACCACTCACTCCCAACCGGGAGGGTGAAATCCTAGGTTTTCATGACAGACTTGGAGGTTCAGACTCTAATCCCACCTTTTTCTCACTCAGCCCAGTGCTGAAGACAGTGCTCTGAAGGAGCCAACTGAAACACGTCTTCTGATAATAGCAGAGACTAAATTCGTGAAGACGGGAGACTCTCCTCGCCTGGCTGCAGCTTGCTCAACTCATGACCATGAAAATCCAAATCAGATGTGAATCTCATCCAGACTTGGCACCTTTACATTTGCAGTGGCCGGGGTTTCGGCGTCTCCCAGTCACACAGGGTTTTCCTTGGAGATGTATAACTAAAAATAATTGTATAACCATTGGAGTACAATAAAAAGAATAAATGGAATAAAAAGAAAGGAACCGAAGCCCCAGAGGGGTTTGTCTCACCATGTAGGCCACGTTGTTAAGTCCCGGGTATTTTCTGTAGGTGGCGCTGTGATCGGTGAGCAGACGGTCTAGGTCCGTATCAGGAAGACTTCCGGGTCCTGGCTGAGTTCGGCGACTTCGAGGAGAGCGCCTACCTCTGCATGGGACAAGGACACAGAGGGTCACGTTTATTAAGACCCTGAATATATTAAATACATTCATGATTATTATTCAGGAATACAGTAAACAATCCTGCAGTGTCATCATTCTCAGGTCTGACCTCCTCCGGGAGCAGGTGGGGGGCGAGTGGTCGTCGGCCTGCAGGATGCAGTCCATGTGGTCGTGGGCGGAGCTGTAGAGACGCTGCGCCACCTCGCTCTGCACAGGTCCATCTCCGAAGGCGTCCATGATGTCGTCCATGGAGGGGAACTCACACTGGCCTCGCCTCTTGGCGCGTTGCCGGAGTTTGTTCCTGTGGTGCTCGATCTCAGACTTGTGCCTCAGCGCCACCTGGGGAAGCGAGAGGAGAACACCGGAGGGCTGTTTTTCAAAGATTCCGGTGGCGAGGCACGGTGGTGGCGCCGTGGGTCTCACCTCTGTGCTGACCTTCTCGGTCAGGGTGGGGCTCAGGTGGGGCGTGGCGTGCTGCGGCAGCGGGCTGGGCCGCGGCTGCATGGCAATCAGCTGCACCTTGTTGGCCTGACGACGGGTTCCATCAGACGAACCGCGGGACAGCCGGTCTACGTGGTCGAAGATGGAGGACGAGGACAGAAGCTCTTCTGCTCCACCAGCTGATGGAGCAGACCAGCAAGATACTATGTATGAGAGAGATGCTCCACCTTACCCACCAGCTGGTCAACATCCGATCCACTGATGACGAAAGATATAGATTAGAGCGGCTTCAATCTAACAGGAGATGAAGGTACGTACCCAGTTTGTTCCGCCCTACAGTCCAGAAGCAAAAAGAAAAGAAAAGACATCTCTTTTCTCTCTATGACACAGTGAATCTCTAGGAAATATTTATTTTTCCTCTCTCTCTCTTTTTCACACACACACACACACACACACACACACACACACACACACACACACACACACACACACACATCAGCTTGTGACCACACTGTTTGTCTGACCATTTTTGGGCGTCTTCCTGTGACGTTTCCCCTCAGTGGGAGTGGCCACAGGTCGAGTGCTTTCTTCTGCTGATTCTCTGCCGCTTGATTGGTCGCTGCCTAACGAGTCTCCATCTGATGGGCTGAGTCTGAAGGACAAGAGGCGGTTTAATGCCGTTTAATTTCAAACAAAGATGTTTTTTTTAATTCTTGACAAGGTCACATCATCAGAAGCTGATATGCATTTTTACACACCAGAATTTGTGTAATTTAGGATATCTTTGTGATCTTCCTGAAAAAAACCAATAACTTTAAGAGGTTATTATTGAGAGGAGCTTTCCACCGAGGTACAGAAACCTAAACTCTGGCATCTCACCTGCCCAGGCGGCGGCTGGTTGGCGCCACCTTTGTGGACGAGCTTTTAGATTTGGGGGTGTTGAGCTCCCCACCGTTAGAGGGCGGGGTTTCTTTGGTGGGGGGGGGTAGCGGGCCGGGCTCTTGGATCACCATGATGTCGTCTTTGCTGTGCTGACCCAGGTGCAGCTTCGCAAAGTCAAAGCCTTTGACGCTCGGAGCCTGAAGCTGAGAGAAGACACATGATCAGCTTTGAGCTCGGGCCACATGGGACACCAAACGACTTCCTGTTGACCTCTGACCTTCTGCCTCTGCTGGATCGTGTTGATGGCATCCGGCTGGAACTCCAGCTTCTCTGAGCCACACAGCTTCCAGTAAAGGATGACGATGATGAAGAGGGCCAGCAGGACGGGGACGACCACACCGATGATCAGCCAGATGCTGCTGCTCTGAGTCTCTGCTGGAGGGACGGTCAGGGTCTCCACAGCTGGAGACGGGGGACAGGGGAGAGAGAGACGTCAGACATGGGGAGAGATGGATGAGAAATTCAGAGGAGAGACAGAGGACAGATACAGGGGCACACAAGGACAGGTGTAAAACATGTGGGCGACATGTTGCCGATAAGTGAGGGACAAGTGGGGGGACAGGTGGGGGACAGGTGAGGGACAGGTGACACAGAGGGTAAGTCTGGTCCTGACTGACGCTGGGCAATGGGCCTCTGCACGCGGTGTCCGAGGACAATGGCGGCCCTCTGAAGGTCGAGGCGGTTCAGGGTGACCGCTGTGGACTCTGCTGGAATCCTTTCCCCACCTGGACCCTCCACAAAGTAGAAGACCTCCAGAGGACGTTCCGTCCCCAACAGCCTTGCCACCCGCACCACCTGAGAGAGAACAGGTCAAAGGTGAAGAACGAACAGGAGAGGAGATGATGATCGGACCTGAAAAGACACAGCGATGTGTCGTGAGTCTATAAGATATAGTCTGCTTACATACCTGTATATTATCTACACCAGTATAGTGTACCTACCTGCAGACTGGAGTTGCCCACAACCGTGGCTCTCCTCCAGCGCCCCCTGCTGGGGACCCGCAGACTCTCCTCCAGCAGTAGAGCCAGACGTCTCTCCAGGCGAGCTTTGAAGCTTCTCTCTGCCACCAGCTGCTCCTGAACCCCCAGCAGGACTGAACAACAAAAGCAACAACACACAGGGGTCAACAACATTTTAAGAAGAGAAATAAGTCAAAACATAAGACAAAAGTGTGAGCTCACCGGTTCGGACCCATGTGGAGCGCAGCTGGTGAGACGTGTTCAGCTCAGGGTAGTGGAGCGCTAAGACAGACACACACACACTTAACACATGCACTTAATACACACACTTAATGCATGCACTTAATACACACACAGGGCTGGCCAAAAATCCATATCACCGTATTTAGAATGTAGATTCTAACGGTATGTGACGGTATTGCTTTTTCAAGTAAACAAATTAACTCATTGACCCCAAAAGGGGCCGCCAGCTACCTGAACTGGCCAGCGAGTTAGCTTGCAAGCGTGTTAGCTAGTTAGCGTGTTAGCTTGTTGTGGCTGCTGGTGTTGCCACCAGAGGCAACACCAGCGGCTCGACAGACTGCAATAAATAAATTGTTTTCTGATCTAACGTAACTCACGTCAGATTTTGCAAAACCAAAAACCCTCCAAACAGACGCAGCTCCTTTCTTACACAAGTTGTGTTGGTGCATCTTTGCTCTCTCGTTGTTCCTCCTGTATCGCTCTTTTCCATGTTTTCATGCAGCAACAGTTATAAATTGTTTTATGTGACACAAGCTGCTGTGTTGTGGTGTTTTATCCGGTTAAAGAGTGTTTGATGTGAGTTATTCATTGTCGTTATAAAGTTATAACCAGGACTCAATCTCAACACACGTTGACAAGTAGCTCCGACCGCTACGGCCTCCGTGAAGACGTGTAAAAATAAACGCTACCGCCTGCCGAAGAGCAACGCCAGTTATTACGTAGTAACACCGGTATGAACGGTATGTGGAAAATTCATACCGTACTGAAATCTTATACCGGTATACCACCCAGCCCTACACACACACACACACACTTAATACATACATTGATCACACTTTATGATCCACACCCGTATTGCCTCATCAATGACGTACGTTCTGCGATCTGAAGGGCAGGAAACCCAACGTAGAAGCTGAACTCCACTAGGCTGAGCTTCCTGAGGTGCTCGCTGACCTCTGACCCCGGCAGGTAGTCCCGGCCATCACGCACCGCGAAGGCAATGTCCACGGTAGTTCTCTGCTCGGGGGGGCGGCTCACAGATGTGGTGATGTTCAAAAGCTGGAGGACACACAGCTGATGTCTGAGGACTGATTTTCGTACAGGTGAGTGCGAGTTCCGCCCCCCCACCCCCCTCTCAACTCCCCAATCCCTCACCTGCATGGTCACGGTTCCGGGCTGGAGGGCTCTTCTCCGGGTCTCAGTGAAGGCCATTTTCAGGCCTCTTTCCACCCGCTGACTGAAGTCACAGAGCCTGACGTCCAGGTGGGGGGGCACAAGCTGTAGCACAGAATGGACTTGGTAACGGAGGTCGGGTACGGCGTAGAACGGAGACACGGGGGGGACCGGGCCAAGGCCGCGTGCCGGCCGGCCGAGGGCATTGATGACAGAGGCGGCCGTGAAGATCAAAGGACCTGACACCACCCGGAAGGCAAAGCTGGACGGAGCTCTCAGGAACTGGTGAGGAGGCGGAGACAGATCTGTCAATCATCTGTCTTAATAAATCAATAAATAAATCAAGTACAGCAGAGAACTACAAAGTAGATTTGGAAGAGGTGGGGTTTGTGGTGGTGGAGGAGGTGGGTTTTTTTGGTGGAGATGGAAGAGGTGGAGCTGGAGAAGGTTTTTGTACCTGGAGCTCCACTGATCGATTGAACTCTCTCTTCAGAAGATCTTTGACTTGAGTGAAACTTGCTGAAGAGCCTTTGGGACTGCCTGCAGGAGAAGAAGAGACAGATCAGCTAACTCAGCAGAACCCGGTGCTGCTGTCACATGACCAACAGTAATGACCTACTAACCTACTCTGACCAGGTACATCTCTGGCTTGGTGATGTTACAAAGGTACTGTCTGGTGGGCGGAGTCTGAGCTGTTCTGGGTGTAGTGACCAGGGGGCCTCTGGTCAGGCTGATGGCGGTGCTCTGTGGGGTGGTGGTCCTGGTGATGGATGTGGTGGTGGTCCTCGTGGACGGAGCCTTTACTGGCTTCTCCGAGACCACAGGAGGCCTCTCCGGTCTATTGGGGTAGGTGGGGGGTCCTAGCGGGGGAGGGAGGGGCAACCGGCCGGTGGTGTTGGAAGGGGGGCGGGGAGGAGGTTTGCCTGGCACTGTGGCCTGGTCTAAGTAGGGGGGAAAATCTGTTTTTACTGTAGCAGACGGTGGAGGTGGCTTCTCCTCACTTGTGAGAGTAAGTGAGGGGGTGAGAGGAGTGGTCAGGGGGGGGGTGGGCCCTTCTGGAAGAGGACCAGCGCTTTGGGTTGGAGACGAAGAGGAAGATGAACAGTGGGTTTGTGTTGTTGTGGGAGTGATGGGAGGTTTGTAGTTAGTCCTTTCCAACCGGTCCTGGTCTCTCTCCATTTCTCTTTCCCTCTCCCTGTCCCTCCCACCCCCCCTCTCCCTCTCCCGGGCAAGCAGGTTGGTGTAGTACTCCATGCTGTTCATGTCTGGCAACAGCAGCTCCGTGGGCTCCAGAGGCATCATGTCCTCCAGGTCGTAGTCCTCGTCCCAGCTGGGGAAGATGTCTGGAGGGGAGGGGTGAGTGTGCAGGGGAATGCGGCGGGTGGAGGAGGAAGGTAAGAGGGGAAGGCGTGAGGAAAGGGGGGCGGTGGGACGGGCGGGGAAGGCAGAGTCATAGGAGATCCAGTCCGCCCCGGGGTCCTCGTCGTAGGAGTGGTTGGGTAGTGGTGTGGCCAGAGCCAGATCCTCCCCGTCGGGCACCATGAAGGACAGAGTCTCCAGGTAGTCCCCGGAGCCCCAGGCCTCTTCTAAGGAGGGACCCCTGCTCCCAGGGCGGGGGGGGGGGTGATAGTGGGTCCGAGTGGTGAGCTCACAGTTTGGTGTAGGCTGGGGGGCAGAGGTCTGTGGTCTTAGCAGCAGGTGGATCCCCTGAGCACCCGAGTCTAAGTCCTCCACTGAGCCTGCTCCACCATCGCTAACACGGTATCCAGAATCTGGGGGGGAGGAGAAGGAGGAAGAGGAGGGGGATGAAGGACGTGACGGAGAATCCGCAGTCCTGTTGAACCCCAGCACACCTGTGAGGCAAAGAGTAGGACTTTCACTGTTAAAAGGACCGTATCAAAAAATAAGAGGGCTGTGCCAAATGAGGACAGCACCAAAACTAAGGGGACTTTATCATAACCATAACTGGGTGTACCAAAACAAAACGAACCGTATCAAAACCAGGAGGACTGCACAAAAACTAAGAGGGCCGTTGAGAAAACCTGGAAGATTGTACCAAAACTGACTGTACAAAAACCAAGAGGATCATACTAAAACTAATGGGACCATTCTAAACCGTTCCCATTCTTAATGCTCAGCTAACAATTACCCCTGCTCACAAACTACATTTCAAGCCAACCCAATAGCTTCTCCCTGTTTCATCTCTATGTTAATCAGGAATCAGGAAACATTTATTGCCATAATATGTCACATACAAAGAATTGGACTTGGCGGTTGGTGCGTAACAGCAGACAGTACGACAATGGACGACAAGACAAAAAATAATGCTATGGGTTAGTAGTATAAGGCTATGGATTAGTTTAAAATAAAGGAATAAAAGTTCAAGTTCAAAATATTTAAAAATTAAAAAATAAAGTGCACCAGCGAACAGAAAGTGACAAATGAAAGTGACAGTGTAAGATAGTCAATGTGAACATTCACTTCTCAGAGAAGAAGACGATTACGATCACCAAACCTTTCCTTTCAGTTCTGATGTGTTCAATTCATAATTTAATATTATATTTATATAAATAGCAATCTGCATCTTTCAATCACTCATTCAAAGCCCCACCACGTTACATTTGGGGATTTCTGGATTTGCATGAATCTCCAATAAAAACAACAACATTTTAATGATTAATTACTTCCTCATGAATAATGAGTTTTAATTGTGTCACTACATTGTGAACTTCAAACAACAGTTAAGTATTTTGCTTCCTCAATGTGCTTCCTCAATCAATGAGTCCCAATCGTACAAATGGCTGGGTCCTTCTCGCCTGCTGTCGGCCTGCCATCGCATGCTGAAGGGAGACAAGTGATTTGTAATCAGGAGGCGACGCCTTCACAATCTCAGACAGAGAGATGTTTTAATGTCTCTAATCAAGCTTTTAAGTTTATTAACCATTTGATTTGTCATGCCGAGCTTCAACACTCTAATAATTGTTGATGTGTCTGACACAGAAAGAGCGGAAGGAAGAGATCCTAGGCACACTTCAGATCTCCTTATAAGAAAATTCCTGTTATCTGCAGGTGGGTGAGAGGTTGGAACAGGTGCACAGGAAAATCCCTCACCTCACCTGTCAGACCAGATCCCACATCAACGCTCAGATCCCTGCCAACCTGTCAGACCAAGTCCCTGTTTTATGGTTGGACTAGGTCCCTTTAAAATCAAAACCTACCTGCAACAGGTGGGCTCGATGTGACCGTGGAAACCAGCGTGCCGGCGACCAGCAGAATGAGGGCGTGTATGCGTTTGTATGTCAATGTTCTGAGCTCCATTCGGGTTCTGGTTCTGGGGTCCATCCGGGTTATGGTCCCGGAGCCCGGCAGGGTATCAGGGTCCATCAGAGGTCCCTTGGTCTGATGCCGGTACCGCGGTCCGAATGGCCATCAGGTGGACCTGAACCACAGGTTAGACAGAACATTTAAATCTTCTTAACAAAACATATACATAAACGGCCAAAGGCCTCATTCTGTAGAAGGGAATGATTGATGCTTTAAGGGGTTAATTACATTAATGTTCTAAAGATGGACTTTATATGATCAATAATAACCTCATCTCTTTGTTGATTACTGATAACAGAGCTTCTGATCACTTAACGCTTATCAATCATGGCATATAAAACAACATCCCATAATAAAGACAGAGAAGAAATATATATTTCTACATTATATATATATATATATATATATCCATCCATCCATTGTCAAACCGCTTATCCTGCACACAGGGTCGCAGGGCGGCTGGAGTCCATCCCAGCCAACTTCGGGCGATACATATATACATATGTATACATATATATATATATATATATATATATATATATCTATATATATATATTTTATTATTTTACATACAATATTGTGATATAACCTATATCTAGAATATATGTATACATCTATATACACATATACAGATATAAGCTAATTCATGAGATTATTGTGGCATTAAAATGAATGCAAATAGAATATTTTAACGCCACGGCGTGCTGCAGTCAGTTAGATGGAGAGACGAGACGGTAGCTGAAGATGGAGGAAGCTTTTTGCATTGCTAAAGTAAAACTGAAGAAGAGGAATTCTTCCACGTGTCAAACAGAAGTGGGACGAGAGGAACCACTTTAGAAGTGATGGTGGCCGGGTCGCTGCTAGGCTACTTCCATCTCAACATCTACCTGCAGAGGACCACCAGTGGTCATGTGTGTATATGTACAAATATATACAAGTCAAAGGTTTCCACATCTCATTCAATTCAATGCGAAAGTGTGTCCAAACGTTGTATTGTAAATGTATATATATATATATATATATATATATATATATACATAGAAATGTGTATGTTCGATATATCACACATAATATATATCGGATATAAATGTATATATGTTATGTAACATGTAATATTTAACTAAGCTCAGAGGCCCTCTTCTCCTCATGTATTCATCATCAGCTCGGTCCCGGTCCTGCTCTGCAACACCAGGCACAGGTAGAAGCGGCCTAGCCCGGTCCGGTTCGGCCCGGCCCCATAATCGGACGGATAACAAGCCCCAGCCCGTCTGTCCTCCGCGGACACAACGGTCATCACTGCTGGCTTTACCCCGCTCCGCTGGCCCCGGTCCGGTCCAACGTGTCCACGACTCGGGTTCGGATTCTGATCCTCATAATGAACCGAGTGTAGTCCCGGACCAGAGCCTCCCTTTGTATGTAACGAGCCTCCACCCCGCTACACCCGAGTCCGACACGACCCCCCCCGCCCCGACACCGGTCACCTACAGACGTTTCACAAAGAGGAACCGAGCCGAACCGAACCAAGCCGCGTTACCTCCACAGCGGTCGGTCAAAGGAGACCTACCTGCCATCCTGGAGATGCGGTTCGGGTACGTCACGCGTCCAGAGCCGCGCGGCGCGATCCCTGCAGAATCACTCTCCTCTCCTCCTCCTCTCCTCCTCCTCCTCCTCCTCCTCCTCCTCCTCCTCCTCCTCTGTGTCCGCAGTCTTCCTCACCTCCGCGTCCAGAACCCCTTCCCCCGCCCGGGGCTCCGCGCCGGGCCGTTTCTTGGACCGCTGGTGTGATCAGACAAGGCAAACGAGTTCTGGTCCCGTCGCGTGTCTCCTCACACGGACGCTTTCATCAGAGCTGATCGCAGATCGGATCTGCAGAGCCGGACCGGACCGGATCCGCCTGTGGGAATCCAGCTGGTTTCATGAGAACCATCAGAGAGCAGCGCATCGATGTGTCTACATGATTGATCCGGATGAGGGGGGCGGGTTCTAAAGACGCCCCAGCGCCCCGCAGAGGAGCGCAATGCAAACTCCACACCGTTAGCATCGAAGCTATCTTAGCATGCTGAGCCATGCTAATAATAGCAATGTGAAGTATGGACAATGCCTCCAATAGCACGGGTTACTTCAGTCACCCGTCATATATCTTATATTTATATATATTTTGTATTTTTTTACTGGGAGAGACCATCGAAACTGACAGGCAGCAACATAAGAAATACAAATATAGACAGAATATATTATAAAAAATATTTCTGCACTCAGGTCGCTTCTACTTTTTTTGTATTTTATTGGCGTTTCTGGTTTATTACCGCCACCTTCTTTAAGAAGTGCAGACTGAAATGACTACTGTCTCCCTATATTTTAATTATCACTTTTGTCTTATATTAAAATATTTGGACCATATGTTGTGAATTAACTTGCACTTTTCGATATTTGCTCTGACAATGGGGTGTTTAAGACTTCTCGTTGACCCCCAGGTGTGTCTAGTCACACAGGTGAGCCTCATCAGCCTGTGACATCACAGCAAGCAGAGCGCGGCTGCGCAGTGAGACAGTATGCTGCCTGTCTGTCTGCTGCTGGCACACTCAGGTGAGGAACTCCTGAAAGGACCTCATGAGCATTTTATCTTACTGCTGTTCTCAGGTCAGTTGTTGTCTCCTCAGCTTTAAGCTGGAGTCTGATCCAGAACCCGCTGAATGGGACTTTAAATGGAACTCTGCAGGACCCCGAGATCTTCTCTGGATACTTTGGATTCAGAGGTGAGTTTATATTTAATAAATTCCCACACACACTGTGATAATATTGAACATTGTTTGTAAACGATATGAAATGAAAGTTATGCATGAAATATAATGACTCCGATAATAAATAACTGAAATTCTACAGACGTGTCGGGGGTGCGCTGCTTCAGTCCAGAACAGGAGCTGGAGTCCCGGATAATTGGGGGTCAAGAGGCCTGGGCCAACTCGTGGCCGTGGCAGGTCTCCCTGCAGTTTGCCTCCATGCCGGCTTGTGGAGGTGCCATCATTGCACCCTTGTGGGTCGTCTCCGCAGCTCACTGCTTCAAAAGGTCAGAGGTCACCTGTTTGGTTGGGACTAGACTGGGTGCAGGGGAACAAATGATGTGTTTGGTTCTGCAGGTTCAATAAAGCTTCTTCCTGGATGGTTCTGGCTGGAAAACACGACCTGGATAATCCTCATGAACCCAGACAACAAGTCAGGACCCCCCACACCTCAGTTTGTTTGTTCTAGACCATGTTCAAATGTGTAAAGCAGATCCTGACTTGTGTTGACCCCCCCACCGTTCAGCTGGTCGGAGTCTCTGAGATCCAGAACCCTCCTGGCTACAACCCGCTGACCAAAGAGAGCGACCTGGCTCTGCTGAGGCTGCAAACCCCGCTGGTCTTCAACAGCTTTGTCAGGCCCATCGACCTCTGGATGTCTCCGCTGCCCCTCTTCAGCGAGTGCACCATCACGGGCTGGGGCTCCACCCGAGAGAGTGAGGGGGTGTTCATGTGTTAAAGCTGCAGTCTCGCAAGTGTCCACCAGTGATGACTCCCGGTTGTACAGAAGTCTTTAAGAAAAATACTCTCTAAATCAGGGGTCTCAAACTCGTGGGCCACTTACGGCCCTCGGGACGATATTTTGTGGCCCCCATCTTAATATGAAAGTTTAATGTGCGGCCCGTGAGTTTTATTTTTGTGTGTGTGAGAGAATGAATAGTGGCTTTGGATGTGCGGCGAGCAGGAGGGTGAAATTCATACTTTTCCAGCATCTTTTGCGACACACACATGCCACTTACGACCCCCCCACACACCCCCGTCGGCTGTAATGGTCTGCCCCGCGTTCGGTCGAGGTGGGCTGCATCTGGCCCGCACCTGCTCTAAATAAACGTTTTCATTTTCTTTCATAAAGAAAGGTCAGGTCTATCCTCGGAAGTAGTGATGGTGAGATGAAGCTTTGGTTTTCGAGCCGATTGGGTCACTCGTGGGTAAAAGCTTAATTCGCTTCACTGTCCTATCAAGTGGACAATAAATGTAAAACAGGCAGTTAGAATGACACCGTGGCAGTTTATTCATTTTTATCCATTTACACCATATACAACACGTGACACACACACAAATCGTACACGAGACCCATCTCGACACTGACAGATCAGTGCTAGGAAGCATTGAAGACTCTGCGTAGTTCGTGAGTCCAGCTCTGACACTTCTGGCTCATCTAAGCCAAGCTCCTCTCCTTCAGATGGCCCACGAGTTAACAGACTGCAGGAGGTTAACGTGACCATACTTCCACCTGAAGCCTGTGACGAGTACTACCGCGGGAGGATCCAACCCTCCATGTTCTGTGCTGGAAAGCACACTGGAGGAGCAGATGCCTGCCAGGTACCTGGATCTCCATGGGCTCTTCGATATGAGACCTTAGAGGTGGAAATCTGATGACTTGACAGAATCTAAGATTTAAAGACATCTAAACTCTTTGTCTTTAACATGTCTATGCCTCAGGGGGACTCCGGAGGTCCGCTGGCCTGCTTCACGGGAAGCCGGTATGAACTGGCCGGTCTGGTGAGCTGGGGGGTTGGTTGTGGACGAGAAAAGAGACCAGGGGTTTACTCCAAAATCCAACAACACACACTGTGGATGTCCGAGGTCATGGGTACGGATCCCAGATGATTTCCCCCCTGCCACGTGTCTGGAGGATAAGTGTGACTAGTGACCTTCTCCCTTTACAGATCAGCACGGGGTGTATGCGGATGATGTCAATACTAAAGGTACCTTCTTGCATTACACATTGTATATATGCATTGCACGAGTGTACAGGCGTTCAAGTTGTTCTGTCCACCCCCGCATGACAGAGAGCATGTGTGGTATGCTGCAGAGCTCCAGCTGTGAGAAGGTTCCGGGCCTCGCCACACTCTTCGTGTCAAAGAGCGGTGGTGTGTCTGTGGGCAATGTGACGGAGCCCTGCCCCTTCTTCTGGCCCTGGCAGGTAAGCCTGCAGGCCAACGGACGGCACTACTGCAGTGGAGTGCTGATCCAGGGCCAGTGGGTCCTCACGGCACAGCACTGCAACGTCAGGTACTAGAACTTCTACATTGGAAAATCAGTTGGTGGTACTACTGCCGCCGTGCTATTCTGCCACCTCGAGGGCCTCACTGCTAAGGTGGGTACCTCTATATCTGACAGAATTTTCTCACTGCAGAGCCGAAGACGATGTGGTTCTGGGAGTCCATGATCTTCGGTTCTCTTCGTCCCAAACTGTCCCCGTGGACGAGGTCTTCAATCTGCCTCAGGATGGCAGCTTCCCTCCGGGCTCGGACCTGTCACTTCTCCGCCTCGCTGTAACTGCCAGATTTGGTAAGGGTACCTGAAGGACTTAATGTGGTATCTGAATGTAGTACAATGTGTACTGAGGCTTGGTGTGTCTCCAGGCTCCAATGTGTCTCCAATTTGTGTTCCTGATGAGGAGGACAATGAGGACCTCGATGCCAGCTGGTCTTGTGTCACAGCGGGCTGGGGAGTTTCTAAAGCAGCAGGTAGTCTACACCTCAAATTAGAGGGTCCTGATCTCACCAAGGCTTCCTATAATAAACCTGTACTTTCTGGTCCAGAACCTGTGGACCCGGAGCGGCTGCACCACGTCGGACTGACTCTAGTGAACAAGACGAGCTGCAGGGAGAAGTGGGGGGCGCTGGTCACTGACTCTCACATCTGTTCACACCCTGCAGGCTCAATCTCCTGCATGGTAACTGGGTCATGAGCTCCACTGTGACATCACCAGATTTTAGTTTTGATGCTTGACTCGCGGTAACAACTATTTGAGGTCATATTACAGTTTTTATAATTGTCTTTTAGGAGAGCAAAGGTCTGGCGGCAGGTTTTTTTAATGGAAACTTAAACCTTTAGCGTCCATTGTTCAGGTGAGGCTCATTGGTTTCTCTGTGCAGGGTGACTCTGGCGCTCCACTGGTGTGTCATCGCCGCGGTGCCTACTTCCTGTTTGGCGTGGTCACATGGGGCAGTCGCCGTTGCCAGGCGGACAAACCGGCCGTCTTCTCCAGAGTGTCTGAGTATTACTCGTGGATCAGCAACATCACTAAAGATCCCTGAATGTTTGAAGAAATAAAGTTTGACTGGAAGCTGCTTCTTCTGAGCTCTTGAAACTAGACGACACTAACCGCTTTAATTATTATCATTAATGATAAACTACGAACTGGTGTTGCCACGTTTATTGTTCTGAACTGCGGTTAAAAGATGTTTGGTGTACTCCAGATTTAGTGAATTTAGACTGCTTTTATCAGGTGGAAGATGTCAAAGGTTCCTTATGAAACCTGAGATTTGGAATGTTAGTCTGACAATTCATCAATATCAAGTTCTTATTCAATGCCATGTTCCCTCCCTCAAGAGTGAGGGTGTTTCTTAAAATAAGAAATAACAAGCGCCACTTTAATCAACATTCACATAACTTGATTGTCTGAAGATAAACCAATGTTAAGGAAGCTGGAGAGGACTTCCTGTTCGAGCTACACACATCTACCAAGTAACACCAGGCCCTCCGATTAGTTTGTTACTCCCCCGGGGAAAAAAAAGTTAGTTCTCCCTCACTCCTCCGCTCTCTTCACTGGTACCGGTGGCTCATCCAGTTCTAAACATGGTGCTCACGTACCATGCTGTGAATGGACGGGGTCCAGCTTACATCCAGGACCTGGTCCAACCCGATATCCCGACCCGCACTCTCCGCTCTGCATGTGATAAACTGCTTGTTCCTCCTCACTGAGAGCAAAACACTCGACTAGATCTCCACTCTTTGCTGTCCTGCTCCTAAATGGTGGAAGGAGGTCTCTGAAGACATCAGGACCACAGAGATCCTTCACATCTTCAGACTAAAGACACACCTCTTCAGACTCTACCTCCACTAACACACTAACTAACTGGAGCACTGACATTGGACTTATAATGGTTCTTATCTACAGCAAGTGGACCTACTTGCAGTCCTTCGAGGTGGATCCAGAGGTGGTGTTGTACCTGGACGCACGCGGCATCAATACACGGAATGTACATGAGTGACACGCTACCCGGGTCCTCAGCACCATCAAGTTGGAGCAGAAGTTCTGTCACAAACAAACAAGTTGAACATCATCAGCTTAAAATTACAAATTTGACTGTGAATATCTGGTTCAATGTAGAGTGTGAACAAACCCGTGGTTCTTTACATTGCAAGACAAGAACCATACAATGCCACGATAATTTATCAAAATCAAAAAATGAAATTTGGAACTCAATAGCTGTTTTTAGATCTATAATTTGCCCTTTTTTATACGAGGAAGTTTGAAAATAGAAATATCAGACAAAAATTACAAACAATTAAAGCTTCAGGAACATTAGAAATGTCATAAACATGAAAAAGATTATAAATTGTGATTCTGTGGTTGTTATATCAAGAACTAGTAGGGAAGTGGAAGAGAACTGGTGAAGAAACTTTGATCCGTGTTTGTAAAGTGAAATAGTAATAATAAAAGAAATGTTAATAGTAATAATAAAAAATGAATGAATCCACCTGTAGTGTAGTGAAGTCTTCATCATCTTCATCATCACCCAGAGAGACTGATCACATAAATATAATAATGATACATGTGTGTGTGTGTATACCTCCGGAACAACAACTTCTCCTTGTCATAATAGATTATGATGTATAGTATGTGTGTATAGTATAATATGTGTGTATATGTATATACACATAATGTTTAGATTTAACAAAGATATCCAGAGAATTCTTCCATGCAATAGAAAGTTGTGTTCAAACTTGCTTGAAAGTATTGAAATATTCCGTCATAAACAAATAAAAGTGTTTAAAGATGTGTAAAAGTTGATAATGTTGACCTGATGTTGGAACTGCAGCTTTCTTTAAGTGTGTGAACACTAATAAAAAACTATAAAGACAAATAATAAAGATAAAACTACTCAAGCTTTAGATTTTTCATATTTATTTGAGAAATAGAGTTTTATTTGTTTTATTAATAATATCTAGTTTAGTTTAGCCCTTAAACTCAGTCAGATCATCACAATTGAACAAACACGAAAGAACATTTAATTAGTCACTTATTATAGTTGATCATTTTGTCTGTTGACTAAAATGAGAATTATTTTGGAAGTTGAAAGGTTTCATTCATTTGAGCATTCTGGCGTCTGGTAAACATTCTGTCTGATTCTCCTTTAAAGGTAAAAACATCCCATTTTCATTGTGTGATTACGTAGATTATTCTACCTCCAATCCGAGGGAAGAATCCCATTGGCGGTTTCGAGGTAACCATAGCAACAGTGACTTCCTGTTGGCTACAGAATGACATGAGAAAACAGTTAGATTTATGGAAATCAATTAAAGAAAATTGTCTTCATAACGTGAGGAAACATCTCAACTCAGGAAGATGGACGCTTTGGACCAGAGGTCCATGTGTCCAGGTGTGTCTCTGTCTCAATGCCCAGGTGTATGTCCCTATCTCTGGGATTGTCTCCAGGTTAGTTGTCTCCAGGTACCTTCCGGTCTTCACTTACAGGTGTGCATGTCGTTCATGCTCTCGCAGCGTCTGCAGTGGACGTAGCAGCACCAGACGAACTTGCACTCACAGCGTTGGACATGTCTCACCAGGTGGGTGTTGTAGCCTCGGCCGCAGCACAGCAGGACGCAGCTGTCGGGGCCGGTGGACGTTCGGTTGCAGCGGCGTCCTCTGGTGCCGGCCACGCCCCACCGCCGGTCCTCCAGGCAGTAGTTAGGAGACTTGTTGACGAAGATCAGTTGGTGCGGCTCGACAGGGGGGCGGCGCTCCTTCCTCCTGGTCTTCCTCCTGGACCGGTCCCACACCTGGACGCTGCGCTCGTAGCGCTCCTTCAGGTAAACGCCCACCTGCTCCAGAGGCGCCACTGTCTTCCAGCAAGTCTTCACGCCACAGGAGCCGGAGACGCCGTGGCAGCGGCAGTGCGTCGCCATAGTCCTGACAACCGCCTGTAGGACGGAGACAAGGGGGGAGAGTGAGGGCCGTGGTTATGGCCATATTGATGTGAGGTGACATCAGAGCTTGTCTCACCTGGCGTCCGCTCTCGCTGTTGTGCTGGTTCATGGCAACCAGCGTGTATCCCCCCGACGCCGAAGTGTTTCTCACGCTGCTGTCAATGAACTTTCGGCTAAACCAGATCCCATACTGGATGTGGTCTGAGCAGCCCCCCCAGTGCCACCCCTCGGCCGGTGAGCCGCCTCCCTGCAGCCGTGTGTCGCAGCCGCACTCCGTCATGTTTCCCTGACTGCAGGAGCGCGTGACGCCGTGGACTAGTCCCGCCGCCATCATGGCGTGGATGAATGCAGTTTCTTTAGTTCCTACGGGAGTATCAGAGGAATCGTCACGAGTCAAGTCCATTTTAAATTATTCAATCCATTTAAGGAACAGGGAATTGATCATTTGTTGTAGGTAGGATCAGAATTAAGGTATCATATTCATAAAGTAATCCCAGAGATTAAATCCAAAACAATATTTCAAGATAAGCCCTTTTTCCCTTATTTATATCATTTACTACATATTTGCTTTAAAGCTGCTCTGATCTTAATTGTTACCCTTACTAAAATGTGCATCTTCATATACAGTGTTGCATCATGGGTAGCGGTCCTCACCGCTGTTTGACTCGGTCCCGAACACGGAGGCGTCTTCGCGGGTGGAGCAGTTCCACCTCTCGTCTTTGAACTGGCTCTGACACTCAGCGATGGCGAGCCGGGCGCCACGCCGCACGCCGGGCAGCAGGAAGGGCTTCTCCCTGCACAGTGCTGCCTGGCCTGGGCTTAGGGGGGGGGCAGCACAATCCTGGTCCTCCGGACCCCCAGAGGGACCCAGTCCAAGCCTCCTGCAAGAACACATATTTTATGTATAAGTAATATATATATGTTATATTTCCTACGGGACCACACGTTATTGACCTGCAGGCATGTATTTATATATATATATATATATATATATATATATATATATATATATATATATATATATATATATATTACTACTATATTTAAAGCACAGATATGAGGTTCAGAGATTATCAAGGGACTGGTTCTGAAAAGTAAAAATATCAAATAAACATTCTAATACATTTAGTAATATGTTATATAATAATATTTAAATAGCACACGCACACACACACACATTATATATATATATAAAATTAAAAACCGAAACAATTTACTGGAAATATGTTAGCGTTAATGTTCAGACAGAACACACAAATATGTGCATACATTTAATATATATATATATATATAAAGAATTATATCATAATACATGTAATATAGCAATATAAAAGCTTATAATAGAATTGATTAAAAAACTGTATATTAATATTAATTCCATTAACTACATTTTTTTACCTTTATTTCTGTTAAGGAAATATAGAGATTTATGTTTTTTAGTTTTGGTTAAACATCATTTTAGTAATAGATATCCATTTAAACTCAAAGATGGAGCTCAAAGTGAGAATAAACATCACACAAATAATAATATTTTTTTCCGATGAGAAAACAAAGTTACTTGAACGCGCGGGACGCTCGGACGCACGCGCATGATCCTGTTCTTTGTAGAGAAAAAACGGTTTTGTTTAATGTCACGTCAAAAACGTCTCGAGCTCTGACGTCAGAGCGGATCGGATCCACTACACGTCACATCACTGGACGCGTATTTCTCTCGTGGACTCTGGTGCGCGTACTCACATCCACGAGGCTCTGCAGCACGGCGGGCACGCGCAGAGCAGCAGCAGGGTCACGGTGCACATGAGTCGGTCTCCACAGCTCCGGGTCTCCATGACCTCCTCATCGATCTGGTCTCATTCTAGAACCCGGTCCGGGAGCACGGCGAGGAGTCCGGGGCTGCTGTCCACCGGGATCAAGTGATGCGAAGTCCCGGTCCGTCCCGGTCCACCTCAGTCCGGCACGGATCCTTATTGGACCAGCTGGGGATTCATATTCAGGAGATGACGTCACGGTCAAACGCTAATTGGACAGTGAGAAGGATCAGAGAGACGAGCCGAGACCTGGTCCTGGATCTGCGCAGGGAGGAACTCTGGACTTTAATGGATCATTAAAGCGCGTAACAAACTCTACAGCAGTTATTAGTTGAATCCCGATTATTAGCATCATTCCACTATTTATTATTAATAGTGTGATTAGACATTTGATCATGTTTATTTCTAAAAGCGTTAAAATAAGTTATGTAGTCCAAGTATAACCTCCTCATTCTTCTTCTCCTTCTTATTCTCTTTCTTGTCAGCTAAAGAAAAGCATATGGATAGAGATGATGAAGAGGTAAATAAAGATACAAATAATACAAATATAAATGAAGAGATAACAGAAGGACAACAATGTTCTGTTTATGATACATATTCATTTTAATGGTAAATGATATATTAAGATATAAAATAATGATATTAAGATATAAAAACACAATTTACAGTCTTTTTAAAAATAGAAGACATTTTAATGACATTATTAAACATGAATAAATACTCTGACTAAAGACTTGAAGTAGTCTAATTATAAAATAAAGATTTTGTTTACTATGTCATTGATGAATTCTGTCATTGTTGTTTACAGAGTCACAATATTCTCTTTTCCAGCATGTAAACATGTTTAGAGAAATATGCATCTGTAGAAAAATAAACAAATAATTAATATATAATATATCCATATCCACATAATCAACAGTTATTATTAGTCTTTGATTCTGCTGGTTTTAAGATAAACAAAATAGTCAGTAAGAGTTATTATTATTATATTATTATAACTTATTATATACTTATAAAATGCATATAGACAAACACAGGAGGACCTGTTATTAGGGGTGGGAATCTCTTGGCACCTCACGATTCGATTCGATTCCAATTCAGAGGTCAACGATTATCGATTCTAAACCGATAAAACGATTATCGATGCATCTCGATTTTCTAAATTTTCTGAAATCTGAGTTTGCTACTCAGAGGTTGCGAATCACTTCCTACTTTATTTGATAATTAAAGAAAGTCAACAGATGAATTACCTTCTCTAATTTTTTATAAGAGAAAAAAAATCTTTGTCACAAATATGATTTTCTATCAACATGCAAGAACCAATGCAGCTTGCATTTCAACACAATATGAAGTAGCCGATGTAAAAGAAATATTAAACAGATTCATTTTTCTTTTAAATGAAGAAAAATCTGCTCTTAGTCTCAGACCGTCCGTATTTGTAAAATACCAGAAAAAAGTCCAAATCTGTGAATATCTTGCCAACTTTCAATACGGATCGACTTTTGGAAAATGTAAATAATCAGGTAAGATGTGCGCAGGCTCCTCCATAGTTCAGTAAGTTATTAGATATTCAGACTCAGACTGACGGACCGGTCTGCGAGCTGGACGCGTTGCTCTTAATGTGCCGGTAATGATGGTAAATGATGCTTGTAGCTGGTTGTCATCTACGCTCCACTACGTTACATAAAGGTGGCGTTTGTGTTTTCACAACGTTTTATCTCAGAATTTTGACTTTCTATCCCCTTTCTTCAGTGCGGAATTGCGCTTCTATAGTTGTGTGAATGAATCACTCCGGCCAATCCACAGACGGGGTTTGTAACCAATCAGGTAGAGACCGTGGTGACTGGCTCCGCCCCCTCACTGTCAAAAAGAACAACAGCGAGCGCGTAGAAAACACCTTCGAGCGCGAGCAGAGACTAACCTCGCGAGCGAGGAAGTTCACGCTCCGCGAGCGAGCAAATATCTCGCGTGAGACAGACTTTTTTTTAAATTCCGATTATTAACTTTTCTGAATCGAGACTGAATCGTTCTAGAGAGAATGGAGAGAAATTGACTTCCCCACCCCTACCTGTTAGTGTTTCAATGTGAGATATTATTAGTCTCTATTATGATTTATGGTTACCGACAAGTGTGAAGGATTTATGTTTTTATCGTCTCACCCTGGAACTTTGAATCTTAAAATAATAATTAAAGTTAAATTAAACCTCCTCTGGAGAAGAAAAGTGGACAAAATGTTTTGGCTTTCAGTCTTTTTCTTTCTGTTTTCATCAGATCCTCAAACACACAAAGACCCACAAAGACACACACGTGTTCAGCCTCTGGTTTGGGGACACAGGCGGCTCAGCAAGATCTCAGAGTACACCTGGTTCACTGGTCCCCTCACGTGATACGACAAAGCTTTAGGCCACGCCCCGTGGACGGTGTCCGGCTCAGCTAATTGGCTGCTGAGTTCAGGTCTGGTCCTGGTAGATCCGGTCGCGGACGTCGGGTCGTCCAAGAGCCTGGAGGACCAGAACTTCTCCACCTATGGCAGCAGAAGCATCTTAACAAGGTTCCTCAGACCTCAGAGATAATAATGAGCTTTCCAGTTTTCTTTTGGGTGTTACTTTCTTGTTCTTTTTGACCACTTATAAAATTGTGTATATGAAATAATTAAATGGTCGACAACTAAAACTACTAATAACCAAGTTCCTTGTTTTGTTTTAATCAAGTTATTCAACTTTATTGAATCACATTAAGTAGGAAAAGAAGAGGACCCAGAACTCCTCTGAGAGTATGATGTTACTTATTCAATATATATATATATATATATATATATATATATATATATATATATATATATATATATATATAAATATATATCTATAAATAAATCCGTATCACCTCATGAAAGTGGCAGGCGCACCGACCCTGCATGAACTCCTTGTATCGACCCATTGTGATGCCGAACGTGTCGATTGCCTCGTACCCATGATGCATTGCGGTGGCGATGATGTTCTGGTTCTCCCCGTAGAGGTCCTGGACCTCTCTCTGAAATAACAGGTCCGAGTGAGGAGAGAATCTCTTTGATTCTCCCAGAGTACAGAGTAGGTCAGGAACCTACCAGATTGAGGGAGCGGATCCCATCCACGGGTAGATGGAAGCCCATTCCCAATGACTTCACCAGCACCAGGACATCTCCCAGAGACTCGCTGAGGAGGGGTTGTCATAGAAACCACACCTTTGATCTACAGTACTGGACCACCACTGACCAGTCATCACATTACAGGAGCAGAAGGATCAGTCTACACATGAAGCTTCCAGGGTTCCTTCACTGGTCCAGGTTTCATGAGACTGAGATGTTCAGTGAAGGTCTACCAACAGAACTATGAAAGTATATCTTAAATTATCACAGAGGGACAAACGATGGAACATACCTGCAGATGAAGGTAGCACCAGGTAGCCACTGAACCAGAGATGCTAACTTCATTCCCTGTGACATAATCCCATCAACTATCTACTTAAATGAATAACTTTATTGATTATCTGACTGTACGCAGTGCCACCATCGGGCCATCAAGTCAATGACGCCAATACTTTATGAACAAACACATGCAAACCTAAAGACATCTATCAGGGGGATAAAGTGTTTTTATGTATTTTTAGCTAACATTAGCTTGCTAACAGACTTGTGTGAAAAAAACCTTATTAAAGATCAAAGAAAATAAAAGTATGTGAAGCGTTAAATCACTCTTTCATGTCAGTTAGGACTTTCTTTGGTTGTATTGGCTCACCTGTTCAGCACCTCTCTGACTGTCTTTAGGTGATCAGTGTTGAGCCACTGGACTCCTCCCACCACCAGGACGGTCCGGTTGGAGTTCACTAGCGGTTGTGATCTTCAGGGAGAAAATCCATCAGCACGAGAACTCATGTTTCTCTAATACCGAATCCTTATGGTTGAATGCACTTATTGAAAGTCGCTTTGGATAAAAACTTGAGCTAAATGACATGTAATCTACTCCAGATGTGTCTTCTCTCACCTGCCGATCAGCTGCAGCAAAGCTTGTCTGAAGGTGGGCCTCTGATTCTTCTCCAACCAGAACTGAGGGTAGTACGAGTAGCTGACCAGGGTCCGGTTCCCGTTCAGGTTCCTGTAGACCAGCGTGTCGTGAGCTTTCCTCCAGTCTTCCAGAGTGGAGTTCACCCGCTCCATCAGGAAGTACATCATCCCACGATTGGTCGAGTCACCAATGAATAACACCTGAGGAGAGACGGGGGGAGTTCAGCCTCTGAACCAGGTGCTGGACCAGCTGTTATGAAAAGTGTTGGACCTGGTGTAAGACCACATATCAGACCACATGTTGGACCGGGTGTTAGAACTGTTGTTAGATCAGGAGTTGGATCGGGTGTTGAACTGGATGTTAGAGCTGTTCTTCAATTTCTAGTTGGAGCACGTGTTGGACCTGATCGTGGGCCAGGTATTGGATCAGGTGTTGGACCAATCAGTCGGTGTTGTGCCTCACCTTCCGGTCCGTCAGACAGTCCTGCAGCAAGCGGCGATCCACCAACGGGTGATAACAGCTGTCTGGTTGCCAAGCCACCTCCCTCCAATCACACGTCCTGTTGTCAGAACAGCTGAGACACGGAACCACCCACCTACCTGAGAGAGACAGGTGAGATAGAGATAGAAACAGGTGAGGGAGAGACAGGTGAGACATCCACTATAACAAAACACAACAAGAAAGTGTCATTGTGTATTCACGTGTGGCAGGAGGTGACATCAGACCTGGTTCATGTCCAGAGCTGCAGGTCTGTAGTGGACGCAGAGTCTTGATGAAAGGCTGGAGACCACAAGATCGACCGGGCTGAACCAATAGACCACAGTCCTGAAAGAGAGGGGGAGAGTGGGGGGAGGTACAAAAACTCTTTATACCATCATTTCTAAGGTGAAGTTTAGAAATACCTATATATATATATATATATACATGACTACATGCATATACTTAGATGTATGTGTATACATTTACTCAGTCTCAGTATGTATTAAATCAAGCCGGTTTATTTGTTTCAAGACTTTTAATCGACTTTTCTTCTTTTACTTATTCTGATTCTTCTGCTCTCTCTTAAATCAAAGCGTTCTTCTTCTTCTCTTGTGCCACAGATCTCTGGCCAGCGTCCTCCTCTTCTGGTCAAAGGTCACAGGTCAAATAAACCGGGGCACTTCAACTCGGGGCCCGTGGGAGCCGCCAGGTCTGGACCAGACCTCAGAGGGCCGCCATCACACACAAAAACACACACACACACACACACACACACACACACAATCTCACACGCCAAGGCGTCACATTCCTTATGTCGGCGTCTCAGTTCTCAACAAAGTGACAGAAGAAAACTTAACAGGGATTTTCTTGTTCGTACCTGAGCTAAGAGTCGGAAAGCTGGTCTGAGACCAGTACCACCGAGCCTCCGCGGCACAACACAGGACACCAAACACACAGAGTCAAAAGCCAGGACCTATAGATCAGGACCTCGAAACCAAGAGACCTGTACCTAGAGGCCAAAAGAACCAGAAGTAGTCCAAGACCCAGAGACCCAGAGACACAGGAACTGAGACCAATAGACCAAGAGATTGAGAGACTAAGACGTAGCGACGAGACTGAGACCTAGAGACCAATACACCAAGAGACAAGATCAAGAGACCAAGACCTAAATTCCAAGAAATAAGACAGACCAAGACACTGAGAGTTCAGGAATGCCAAAGACCTCTACACCCAGAGACCAGGGCCTGGAGACAAAGACCTCAATACATTTTTTTCTGAATGAAAAAACAAAACAAGAAACAAATAATCCAGAATGTTGTTTTTGTGATGACGTGACTTCAGTTTGTTCTTAGATAAACACGTGATGATTTTTAGTGTTTTATTCTTCTGGAGGTTCAATTCATTTACCGTGCATTTATTTATTTATTTGAGCTCTCTGAAGACACCAGGACCGCAGAGAGCCTTCACATCTTCCGCCGCAAACTAAAGACACACCTCTTCAGACTCTACCTCGACTAAAGACTAACAAATTGTAGCACTTAAATTGTACTTGTAACGTCACTCATCTATAGCAAATTGTAAATTGGCTTATTTGAGGAAATTGCACTTTCTTGTTTCTTGTTCTCCTGAGTTTGTACCCTATGGTTGAATGCACTTATTGTACGTCGCTTTGGATAAAAGCGTCCGCTAAATGACATGTAATGTAAAATGTAATATTTAAAGAATATAGGATTTATTGAGAAATTATTTTATAGTCAAACTGTTTGTTTGTAATTACAATCTTTTAACTGTAGAAAAAGACAAATTTAATAAAATGTTCATATAATCCAGAAACATATTGCTAGTGTTGTTATTATCATTTTTGTTTCATTCATTTATATGTAAAAGTCTATAACTTTAATAATAACAAAAATAATGACTTACTCATAAAAAAGATTTTGGGAAACCACTTTTCCCACATAACAATAGAATACGTTTAAGGCTGGTTCAACTGCAACAATGAAGAAGAAGAAGGTTTTATTACAACCTGACTGTGACATCACAGTCCAGCAGCCAATAGCAGAGCAGCTGACCCACCTGCAGGAAGCCACATGTCACGTGATCCCCGAACATTGGCAGACTGGGTCGGCTCTCCCGGTACACGTGTACAGTGTAGATTGCCATGACAACGGGCTCCAGCTCGCTATCGTCCGTCACCAGGATGCTGATCCTGCTGTTACCAAGGCCAACGGGGTAGTTTGACATCCTGGAGACGGGAAAGAAATGATGACCTTTGATCTAGTTTGCTTCTATGCTCTGAGCTGTGAGGTTAAAGGTCAGGGACTCACCTGGGGCCTCGGTGCTCGTCCAGGTGGACCCGGCACGCTGAGCTGACGGGCTGCGGCCGGATTCGAACCGTCACCGTGTCAAATGTTACCTCAGCACGATACTCCTTCACCCAGGGGCTGAAGGGTGGAGTCAGGGTGAGGGGGGGGGCGGTGTAGATCTGTCTGAGGTGGGGGTCCAAACAGGGACCTGAGACAAACAGAGACACCGTGGTCTGTTTATAGGGTGTAGAGCATTATGGGAACTGAAGTTCTTCAACCTGCTGAGACTTATTAACTTCAGCCTCTCACCTCCACGGTCAAACACTTTCTGAGAAGGAGACACAGCTGGCTCCTGATTGGTCTGTTCTCCTGTGTGATCAGTTCTAGAGGAAACGGCATCAGCCCTGTCATCATCATCGCCACAACCATCTTTTACCATTACCCCCACCATCATCATCCCCACATCTCTATCATGAATCATCACCACCACACCACCACCATCATCACCACATCACTATCATCACCACCACTATCATGAATCATCACCACCACCACCATCATCACCACCACCACCATCAACACCACACCACCATCATCATCCCCACATCTCTATCATGAATCATCACCACCACACCATCACCATCAACACCACATCACTATCATCATCCCCACTATCATGAATCATCACCACCACCACCATCATCACCACCACACCACCATCACCACCACACCACCACCATCAACACCACATCACCATCATCATCCCCACTATCATGAATCATCACCACCACCACCATCATCACCACACCATCACCATCATCACCACATCACTATCATCATCCCCACTATCATGAATCATCACCACCACCACCATCATCACCACCACCACCATCACCACCACACCACCACCATCAACACCACATCACCATCATCATCCCCACTATCATGAATCATCACCACCACCACCATCATCACCACACCATCACCATCATCACCACATCACTATCATCATCCCCACTATCATGAATCATCACCACCACCACCATCATCACCACCACACCACCACCACCATCAACACCACATCACCATCATCATCCCCACTATCATGAATCATCACCACCACCACCATCATCACCACCACCACCACCATCACCACCACCACCATCACCACCACACCATCACCATCATCACCACATCACTATCATCATCCCCACTATCATGAATCATCACCACCACCACACCATCATCACCACATCACTATCATCATCCCCACTATCATGAATCATCACCACCACCACCATCATCACCACCACACCACCACCATCAACACCAGATCACTATCATCATCCCCACTATCATGAATCATCACCACCACCACCATCACACCACACCATCACCATCATCACCACCACCACCATCATCACCACCACACCACCACCATCAACACCACATCACCATCATCATCCCCACTATCATGAATCATCACCACCACCACCACCATCATCACCACCACCATCACCACCACCATCATCACCACATCACTATCATCATCCCCACTATCATGAATCATCACAACCACCACCATCATCACCACCACCACCACCACCACCACCATCACCACCACACCACCACCATCAACACCACATCACTATCATCATCACCACTATCATGAATCACCACCACACCACCACCATCAACACCACATCACCATCATCATCCCCACTATCATGAATCATCACCACCACCACCATCATCACCACACCATCACCACATCACGATCATCATCCCAACTATCATGAATCATCACCACCACCACCATCATCACCACCACACCACCACCATCAACACCACATCACCATCATCATCCCCACTATCATGAATCATCACCACAACCACCATCAACACCACCACCACCACCACCATCACCAGCACACCACCATCATCATCCCCACTATCATGAATCATCACCACCACCACCACACCATCACCATCATCACCACATCACTATTATCATCCCCATTATCATGAATCATCACCACCACCATCATCACCACCACACCACCACCATCAACACCACATCATCATCATCATCCCCACTATTATGAATCATCACCACCACCATCATCACCACCACCACTACCATCATCACCACCACCATCATCACCACATCACTATCATCATCCCCACTATCATGAATCATCACCACCACCACCATCATCATCACCACCACCATCACCACCACACCACCACCATCATCACCACATCACTATCATCATCACCACCATTAACAGACTGATCTCCTCACTTGTAGTTCTGGTTTCTCTGAAGTTCATAGAATTGATTGATCCGGATCACAAGATCTGAGACGCTGGAAGGACCAGAGGAGGATGAGGAGCTCGGATACATCTACAAAGAGAAAGAATAAACAGCAAACCAGCCATGAAGCCTCTTGTTCCACCTTGTCCTAAGGAGACCTGAAAGTTTCATACAGACCATAATACGATATATAAATACATATATATGTAAATCATTACAAGCTGAAAAGCGGAATGCGTCCTCATCTGTCGATGAAACTGAAGCAGAAAAAGAAACTCATCCTCTGACAAACAGACACCATGTGTCCCTCTGCAGCCACCGTACTAGAGAGAGACAGGGAGACAAGGGGACAAAGAGATAGTTTTATTCAAACTGAGAACTAATGAAATAAGTAAGTCGATTCATAATTAACAAATAAAAGCTGTCTCACCTCCTGTGAGTGTGTCTCTGCGGACAGGTGCAGGAAGCGGAGCGTCTCCTCCAGAATCAGGTCTTTGGTAATCTGCCCCTCAAAGGAGTCTCGGCTCAGAGAAGAAAACGTCAGGTCAGTCTCCACCTGAAGGAGAAAAACAGGTGTGAATCAGCGCTGCCACCTGGTGGACGTCCACATCAGGTCACCTGAAGGACAACTGATCACAGGTCTGGGCCATTTGGAAATTAGGGAGGTTGCTTTTGGTTTTAGGAGGAAGGAAAGAAAAACATGGCTGATGGAAAAGGGAGGAAATATTAACAAGAATCAAGGAAGCGAAAGGACAGGTAGGTAGTGTTGTATAGCCAGATACTGTGTAAAACAAAAATGCTTACAAAAACATAATGCTTTGCTTTGTGCACCAAGAATCCTGCACCAAAAAGATAAAGAGAATGTTTCCGTTTGATATGTAAAGCTGTTTTCCTGTATAGACACTTAGTAGCGCAAATAGCGCCTTGAGGTGTGAAGCCGTTTCATGAAGCTGCTTTAAGGTGTGAAAATGTTCCTGTATAAAGAAGAGGCTCTCACCTGGACTACGACAGGCGTGATGGAGCCCTTGAAGAGCAGGGTGAAGGTCAGCAGCTGGTAACACAACACACACCTGCAACACAGCCTCAAAATTCAATAGTCCATCAATCAATAATCCCACCTCTCTCCGTCCCGGGGGGCTATTGCAGAAAAGTAGAAGAAGAGTGAAAAAGCCCAACTTGACTTAGTTTGATCTTAATCGGTTGCACGTTTGCCGAGCCGGGATGAGGAGGAGGAGCTTAGTCAATCCAGGTGCACACAGCGGGGATCAGTGCACGTTCACGGCTTTCTTAAGAAGACCACGGTGTCCATCACAGATCCACTGATGCACAAATAGAGAAGACGTGCGCGGCATATTTTTCACACGCTGAGCAGCAACTAATAATGGAAACTTCTGAGCAGGTGAAGCATCTAATATGCAGAAAAAGGAAAAGTGGCAGCTGTAATTAAACAGAGAAAACGCCTGGTAGACAAACACGGACCGACTGAGTGCGGAAGGATTTAAAAATATCTACCTACCAGGAAAGTTGTAAACTGTTTTATTTGCTTTTAATAGGAGTGTTTCATTATATTCATTATATGTTTCATAATGTGTTTCATTGTCTGTATGTATCTGTGTTTATGTGCTGGTTTTACCGTAAAGTGTCTTTGAGTCGCCCACCATGCAAAGCACTGTTTAAATAAAATTTATTATTATTTAGCCCCTTTGGCCTAAAAGTGAACAGATGAAATTAATTTTCCTCTAGAAATTCACCCTAAAGACATTCACAATGCAAGAATATGTTTTACAACCATATGCACAGATCTCAATCACAAATAAGTTGTGTCTAATTCTAAATATATATATATATATATATATATAGATATATAGATATATAGTTCATACAGAACAAACATGACTGGACAAAAAAGATCCTGCAACTGGTGAAGATAAAATATAAAGACATTTTGCAGGCTGGTAAATGCCTTGACAGTTTGCAAATAGTGTAGAAATTACTTACAAGATGCCTGCTGACATATTTTACTTAACTGATTTTACCAGTTAAGAAGAAGGCTCATTTGTCTGGCACTGGGGGGGGCATTCAGAAGTGGGCATGCCATGGTGCAGGAACAAGCACAGGTGAAATATATATATATATATATTGCCCTTATCACGTTTACAAGTGTTCACTCCTCGTTGCTCATTAACCGCCGGACCTTCTTGACCAGTCTGCGGAATATTGTCTGATACGGAAACGGGAACAAAAAGGTTGTGGATCTAAACAACTGCAATAGAGTTTAAAATCAAACTGAGGACAGCAATAGTGACAAGTAATGCATGTTAGTTATGGTAGTAAAATAAATCAGAACACATTCAGAAGACAACGGAAAAACTGTTAAACACTTTGTTTGGGATCAAAGCGACAGCTGATTTAACACATGAGACTCCAGGATTAATCTTAGCCCGGCTGTTAGCCGTTAGCCTGGCTGTTAGCCGTTAGCCTGGCTGTTAGACTGGTCTGGTGTCCACAAGCACACAGGCGACGTGGCGTCCTGTGATTGGATGGTGAGCTCAGGTGAAGACGTGATGATGACAACAAGAAGGAAAATGGAGATGAGTTAATTAGTTTCATACCTGCTGCGAGTTTGTTGCTTCTGATTGGTCGACAGCGCGGCCAGCAGCACATCACCTATCACCTTCTTTACCTGCCCCAAAGCATGATGGGATACGGTGGGTGTCAGCTGCTGCTGCAGAAAGTTCCTGAGCTGAGATCAGCAGAAACTTCAATTAGCGGTTTTTACAGGTTTTCAGGAAAACAACGAATCAAATGAATTAAAAAGGAACAAAAATGTAAGACCCAGTACGAATATAATATAAAACTAATTCAAATAAAGAACCAATTACGAATAAAACAGTACAGGTGTTTCAATCCTTTTTGGGGTATTGATGGACAAGATATCGAGGCGTGGTGCGTGGGAGGAGGGTCTACTGTTTGGGGTGCGTTGGATCTCATCGTTACTTTTTTATAGTATTATTTTTGCATTACATCACATGTCATTTAGCTCACACTTTTATCCAAAGTGACTTACAATAAGTACATTCAACCATAAGGATACAAACTGTAATGAAGAAAGAAACAAGATCGAACACTCGACTAGACCAAGAGGCGAGTGTTTTGCTCTCAGATTACATGGTCCTGATGGCATCTTTGGTCTGTGACAGCTCTCAGAACCGAGTGTGAAGCGGTCGGGAGGAGGATCGGCACCTCTAAATCTGAGGCCATGGATCTCAGCAGGAAACCGATGGATTGCCTAGTCCAGGTAGGGAATGTGTCCTTACCCCAAGTGAAGGAGTTCAAGTACCTCGGGGTCTTGTTCACGAGTGAGGGGAAGATGGAGTGTGAGTTTGGGTGGAGAATCGGAGCAGCGGGGGCGTTGTTGCACTCGCTTTGCCGCACCGTTGTGACGAAAAGAGCTGAGCCGGAAGGCAAAGCTCTCGATCTACCGGTCAGTCTTCAGTCCTACCCTCACCTATGGTCATGAAGGATGGGTCATGACCCAAAGAACTAGGTCACGGGTACAAGCGGCCGAAATGGGTTTCCTCAGGAGAGTGGCTGGCGTCTCCCTTAGGGATCGGGTGAGAAGCTCAGCCATTCGCGAGGAGCTCGGAGTAGAGCCGCTGCTCCTTTGCGTCGAAAGGAGCCAGTTGAGGTGGTTTGGGCATCTGGTGAGGATGCCCCCTGGGCGCCTCCCTAGGGAGGTGTTCCAGGCACGGCCAGCTGGGAAGAGGCCCCGGGGAAGACCCAGGACTAGGTGGAGAGATTACATCTCCACACTGGGGGCACTTTGAACCCCCCCAATCAGAGCTGGTAGAGGTGGCCTGGAAAGGGAAGTTTGAGGTCCCCTGCTAGAGCTGTGACCCGACCCCGGGTAAGCACTTGAAGATGAAATGAGATAAGATGAAAGAGGTGTTTCACCTTTGTGGGCCGTCCCCGCTGCTCCTGATTGGTTGTGACCACGCTGATGTCATGCAGGAAGGAAGTCAGCGGCTTCACCGACGTCACCAGGACGTAAACATTCACGATGGCAACCAGAGCAGGAGGTGGAGCTCCGTCAGGTGAGTGTCTTACGGAGAGAAGAAGAAACAGTGAACCGGTGATCACACGAGAGCTCACCTCATGGAGACAATGTTCTCACCTATCGGCTCTCAAAAAGGTCTGAGGGGGCTGTAGATTCTGATTGGTCGATCCACAAGCATGTGGCAACATGGGTAATTCATAACCTGAGACAGCGTAGAAGAAACAGGTATGACAGTGTTTGAACACCTTAAAAGAAACTTACGTAAAAGGAATTTATTTACACATAAATGTATCATGTGAATCTGAGTGGGCTTTTACTTTGAAAATGGGAATTACTAATCTAATAAATGGAGTATGGATTATATCACTGTGTTAACTCCTGGACAGGTAAAATGTAAACTGTTTCCTGCGTGACTCACCTGTCAGGTTTAATTGAGTGTAGAAGTGACACAATCCTTCGCCGTCGTCAGAGAAAGCCTCTATCACCCTGGGCAACAAATTGACCTGAGGACATGGAGACACAAGTGAGTCCTGAACATCTCAGGTAAACCAAATGACAGATGGGCAGGTGAGTCTCACCCTCTGATTATGCTGCAGGTGAGAGAAGGAGATTCTCCTCAGACAGCTTCCCTCTGAACTACTGAGACACAGTAACAGGCTCCACCCCCTCACACCTGTAACCACAGACGGGAAGTGACACATAAACATGGAGGGAAGGTGTGGACTGAACAACTAAGAGACAGGGATGGAGACAGACAGAAAGACAAGCAGAGAAAGACTGAGAGAGACAGACAGGTAGACAAAAATGCAGAGAGATAAAGACAGACAGAAAAAGGAAGCCGCCTGTCAAAACAAAAGTACGCCCTAATATGGACTCCAAGGAAGGAAGTGATTGAGTTTATGAGAGTTGGTCTTTGCAAAGAAGTTCCTCCAACACAGAGACAAAATGGAGCAGCAATATAACATATATATATATATATATACATATATAAAGCTTGATTGTAGAGAGACAATATAGAGCCACATTAAAGCATTAGAGAGAAACACTAGAGATCAGCAGTAGAAATCACTGATTTCTTATAACCACGCGACCCCAGAGGGTCCGTTAGTGACGAGCAGCTGTTCACTCTGTGATTTATGGAGGTTCTAAAAGTCCCTCTGTCTCTTTCTTCTTCCTCTTCTACCTGCTGGTAGAGACATCATGTCCCGCCCCCTGTGTTTACTCAGCTGCCGATCCTCAGACTCACCTGTTGGTTCTACTGTGACCGGCTCCTGAACCGGGTCCATAGACTCGTTCCAAATTAACTGCTCTGAAATCTGATGGCATTGAACAATAACTGATGGAAGTCAGACATTTTTCAGCTGACTAACAGGAAGTCACAGAAACACTCCCTTCCTGTCAGATCTGTGGGCCTTGAAGCTCCGCCCTCTCTGCTGCTCAGAGCCGGGTCTTTATTAGTTCCACAAGAACAGAGTTGGGTCAGTTTAAGGGTTTGTTTACGTTGTGTTGGTGGGACAGGAAGACTCCACCCAGCAGTAAAACACACACACACACACACACACACACACACACACACATGTTGTTACCGTGGTTGGTTCGCAGGAAGCTGCTGGTCTCGGCGTATCTGGAGAGCTGGACCTCGTAGTCCATCTCCTGCAGGACCTGCTGGTACAGCTGGACCTCCGGGTCGGACACCAGCAGACGACCCGTCAGAACCACGGCCCGACGCTTCTTCTGTGACCAGACCTGGACCTGGGGGGCAAAACCAGTGGAATCCGTGAGGATTAGCCTAGCGTAGCACAAAGACTGGAGGCAGGAAACAGTGTGTGTGTGTGTGTGTGTGTGTGTGTGTGTGTGTGTGTCACATAAACACACCTCCATCAAACAACAAAAATAAACTAAAAAAAAGAAAGTATCAAAGTACAAAAGTACTGAATTGTTAAAGTACTCCCATACTGAACTATTTAAGTACACACTAAATACTAATAGCAGTAGTAATACTTGACACTTTCTGTCCAGACAGAAACACTAACACGGTCTCATTCCTCAGACTGATGAACCGAGTCTTCATCTTCATCATCATCATCATCACATGACCTGAGTTTTTGCTCTTCATGTCATGAAACAAAAGATAGAAACTAAAAGAAACAATAAAAGAAACAATACTACGTTCATGTTTCCTTCTGTTTCAATGCGACGGCCTGAACTGACTGGTTCCTGCAGCTGTCAATCATCTGGGGTTAAAATAAGACGGGGCCACTGATCCCTCATGATGTAAAAATAGTGAACAATGAGGCAGAAGGAGTCTCACCCACTACTGATCCAGGTGGGGACCAGCAGAGGTCAAAGTTCACAGCTTTAACACTAAGTAAGTCAATGATTAAATAAACAAGTCAGTAAATTAATAAGTAAATAACTGAATAAGTAAGTTTGTAACTAAATACGTAAGTTAGTCAAATTAGTACATAAATAAATATACAGGTTACTAAAATAAGTTAGTAGTAAATCAATAAGTAAGTAAATTAGTAAATAATGAATAAGTAATAAAATGTGTGAATAATTTAGTAAATAAATAAGTGAAAATGTAAGTAAATAAGTAAGTTAATAAATAAATAAGTAGTGTGAGTAGAACACGCACACAGCAGCACTCACTCGCGTCTCTCCGTGCAGAGCCTCCAGAGTAGAGATCCACCTCTGGGTCTCCTCCATCACAACTTCCTGCGGAGGTCCCCTGTTCTGGAGGTCGGCGGCGGGTCGCGGTCCGGACCGGAGCCGGTTTCGGGCCCCCATGAGGGTCTGGAGGAAGAGACACACCGACAAACCGAGCAGCAGCAGCAGCGGACCGGAGCAGCACCGGCGGCCCATGAGGAGGCGCCGCATCACCTCCTCATCACCGTCATCACTGACGGGCCAACATCAGCTCTTCTGGTGCCGGTCCGATCTGAGCCCGACTCAGTCCGTCCGAGTGTCGACTCGGGTTTTAAGTCCAAACAGCTCTGACAAGTCACGTGTTGAAACGCTCCACTTGGACCTCCTCCGGTCCCGTGCTCCGTGAGGTCCGCGATGGTAGCTCGCGCTTTCTCTGGTCTTTGTGACGTCAGCTTATGAATACTCCAAAGTTAAACTGGACCCGTGAGGAGGATCCGTTAGTCGGGACCAGAACAGTCCGAACCCTCTAGAAGAGGCGCAAAGGCGCGTGAGGTTAAAAACAAGTCCGGGAGGACCCATCTGGTTCCGATTAGAGACCAGAGGAGGAGGAGGAGGAGGAGGAGGAGGACGCTTCCTCTTCTCTGCTCCTACTCTAAACACAGAACCAGGTCCAGTTCGCTTCAGGCTGGACGGAAGAGAGGAGTGCCCCCCTCCCACGAACACACTCCCCCTTTTACTGCTAAAACACTATGAAGTTATTTCTGGAAGACACACACAGCGGGGGTGTAAAAGTACTCACATATTTTACAGCAGTAAGTTACTTCTGTGTAGACAAATACAAAAGTACTAAGTAGAAGTCAGATGAGTGCATGTTAATGTTACTGCAGTTGACATGTTGGCATCTAGTGGTGATCAGCTGAGTTATACCTCAGAAATGAGGTGAAGCAGCTTATCCGCTCTGTTAGAATCAGTTGAACTGGCCCTTTAAGAGACTACATACTGAGTAGACTGCCCCTTTAAAAGACTAGGCTGGATTCAAATTGTCAAAAAATGACCTCCTCACATCCATTTCTAACCACTACTCCTTAACCTCTGTGGGAAATGTCACAGGGTCAAGGAAAGGACTCCTCTTCCACTGAGCTGCGTAGTCGTGATGGACGGAGACGCATGTTGGTGACGTCAGTCTGCAGCGGCTACAAAGAAGCATCTCAGATGCCTTCATGTGTTGTTGTGAGTCATGCAGACGACAACCAGGTTCAAAGGAAAACTTTATTAACATAAATGAGTGAACGGTTACTCACATAATCTGTGTTTCTACGTCATGATTGGTAGTTGACCAATGATACGTCACTATTTAAATATTGCCGCCACAAGGAATTGTGGGACAGAATTATCTCCTTTCCTTTGGTAAAGGATGATCCAGTGTCAAACTCGCGGCCCGCGGACCAGTGCGGTGCGGCCCGCCGGGGAGTCTGGACGGCCGTACCCTCTGCGCCACCTCTCCTTATGATTTTCTGTCTGCCCGAACCTGAAATGAGTTTGACACCCCTGGTCTAGTGGTTCCTATGCTAAAGGAGCTAGATAGGGAAGCATTGAAGCTCCTTTCTTTGGCATTAAAGAGCAGCTCTACAGCGATCATTTTAGGACATCCGCAGATCTCAGACTCAAGTGTCAGACTCAGGAGAAACGCCGTCACCCGTCAGAAAAACCTGTCATGAAAACTGTCATTCTCAGACAAAACTGTCAGAAACAAGTTGTCAGAGCTAGATGAGGAAGCTGTTGACTAGCTTTCTGAATTAGCTAAAGTTTTACAGTGAATACAGCTGTGGTGTTTCTGTTACAACAAGAAAACTTACTTTTGATACAAATACAAAATAGTTGTTTTCTGCAAGCCAGTTCACTCGTGTAAAGTAAACCCATGGTTAGTCCTCCGGTTGCCATGGATACTGCAAATAAACTTTGCTAAAGGATCCTAATACGTCATCAGCACACGGCGCGACGATCTGAACAACTGTTCCGCCAGTACAATGGTAAGTTGACACTTGCACCCTTATTAATCAAATTTAAAAAAAAGTTTTGTTAGAAAGTAATGCAATTGACATTTTTTATGAGCATTTAAAATGAATGCCTCCACTTGTCGCTAACCTAACTCTGTTAGCTAGTCAAACTACCAGGAGGTCTATGATAGTACACAACATATTTGTCGTTTGAATCGTTTCCTTGTGGCAGGCCTATCTGTATTTCTACAATAAAAAAACCCAGAGGCCGAGACAATGCTGTCTTAGAGGTTTTTCTGATGACGCTTGGTTTGGCGGAGTTTTGTCTGAGAATGACACTTGAGTCTGAGATCTGAGGGTGTCCTAAAATGAACGCTGTACCGCTCTTATTATGGCGCCACTTAGACTACACTTCACCCAGTGAGGAACCTTCCTAAGAACATCTGACAATTTGAATACAGGCATTGAGTGGACTTCCCCTTTAATGGACTACATGTTGAGTGGACTGTCCCTTTAAGAGACTACATGTTGAGTGGACTGTCCCTTTAAGAGACTACATGTTGAGTGGACTGCCCCTTTAATGGACTACATGTTGAGTGGACTGCCCCTTTAAGAGACTACATGTTGAGTGGACTGCCCCTTTAATGGACTACATGTTGAGTGGACTGCCCCTTTAAGAGACTACATGTTGAGTGGACTGCCCCTTTAAGAGACTACATGTTGAGTGGACTGCCCCTTTAAGAGACTACATGTTGAGTGGACTGCCCCTTTAAGAGACTACATGTTGAGTGGACTGCCCCTTTAAGAGACTACATGTTGAGTGGACTGCCCCTTTAAGGGACTACATGTTGAGTGGACTGCCCCTTTAAGAGACTACATGTTGGGTGGACTGCCCCTTTAAGAGACTACATGTTGAGTGGACTGCCCCTTTAAGGGACTACATGTTGAGTGGACTGCCCCTTTAAGAGACTACATGTTGAGTGGACTGCCCCTTTAAGAGACTACATGTTGAGTGGACTGCCCCTTTAAGAGACTACATGTTGAGTGGACTGCCCCTTTAAGAGACTACATGTTGAGTGGAGCCCCGTGGTGGCATCAGTCTTCAGCGACGGCAGTTTTTGTGTGTGGCCAAAATAGGATTCACTTCTAAATATGTATTAACTAACAAAAGGCATCTAGACTTATGAAAAACAGTCAAACTAAAGCAAAGAGTTACAAAACATCTGGGTCTTTTTATTGGACCATTTCTTTTAGACATCTGGCGAAGGCAGACAGAGAGCTAACACCTGACATGAAGCTACAGGTGTGTGAGACAGTCAAACTAAAACAATGGATGAAAACATTCCAAAAGTTTCTCCCAGCTGGCAGGAACCTTTGAGCAACAAACAGGATATCAGTCGTTATCTTTTCCCTCTTCATTTAATGAAACAAAAACAACAACAAACATTTGGTCTTTGTAAACACAAACAGTAGAAACAGCGGATCACAAGAGGAGACGCTTCTAATGCCAGGAGAGAGAGACAGGGAGACGGAGTGAGACTGGATCTTGTGAGGACATTGTCTTCCTGAGGTCGCTGGAGACAATGCATCTCATCAGGTTCAATCAGGCTTCTTCTGTGTTTGTAGTTGAATCTCCACAAAAGAAGGAAATCTCCAGCTCTGAGATTGATGGTCCGTTACTCGTGTATTTGATTAACTGAATTCTCAAATTATGACAAACATAAACCAAGAAAACTTCTGACTTTATCAAATCACTTTGGGAGTTTTAGTCAATTAAGTCAGAAATATTTAAATGCAACTTTTGAGGAATAGAAAGTCTGAATTCCGATCATTGAGGTGAAATATAACATTTTACTTTAGTTGCAGAAGTTATATTGACAATTTTCTGCTCTCAGCAGACGATTTGAATAAAGGTTGACCCCGTGACCTTTGTGTGCAGCGTTGGACAGACATATATATATATATATATATATATATGTAAATACATATATACGTGTTTAGTACGAAGTTATGGTCAGACTTTAGCTATCGGCCGTTTAATCAATGAACTAAATGTAAGACATTGGTTAAACTCGTTATCTTCTGAGGATTTAAATGAAACATTGACACTTTAACCTCAGAATTGGAAACCTTCTGTTGGCCTTTGACCTCTGTGTTTCAGGAGGACACAATCCAAGATGGCCGCCAGGTGCCAGGTCTATTTGTGGCGGCTGCCTCTCCTCTTCATGGCGACTGTACACTGAGGACAGAACCACTTCCCCTTGGGAGCCTCAGTCAGTCCCACACAGCCGTAGTGGAACCACTCGATGGGACACTATTGATCAGGATCAATGACATCATTTAGAACCAAAGACTATACAAGTCAATACAAAATAATTGACATTTTATTGATTAAACCGTTCCAAATATTCATTAACTAAATGAATCAATTAAAGTCAATGTTAGAAATGAAACAACAGTTATTCAATAACAAACATATGAAGTTATCATACTCACATCTGTATTATCACAGCCCACCATTTCTCCATAAGATACCTGGGAAGAAATATAATGTGATTATCAGAGGCAAACATTTATCACCATCTGAGGATCACAGGCTTCCACAATAAGTGATGATCAACAGAACAGAGGTTGGGGTACTGACCTGGTTACAGATGCAGTATCGGGGCTCGTTGGGGTCGTAGGTCCAGTCCACCTGGCTGTTGGCCTCAGCCTCGGGCAGCGCCGAGGCCTGCTGGGAAAGCTCCTGAGCCAGTGCAGACGACGAGGAGCATGACGACAGAGAAGAAGAGGAGGAGGAGGAAGAGGACTGGTGGTTGGAAGATTTGATGCTGCTTCTGCAAACCAAGAATGTTTTCACAGGCACAAATGTAAATGTTTCAGAGTCTATTCTTCTGTTTCTAGTCTATTGTTTGTCAGATAAACATGTTGACTGCTTACAGATCTACACATAAACTACTCTTCTCTAGCAGTCCCTAACGTGAAGGTTTATACTACCGCATCACCGTCTGCTCTCGTTCTTACTTGGACTTGCGCCCCCTGGAGTCGGAGGCCGTGGGGGGGGTGAGGGTCTGGGTGAGGGTGGAGGCCAGAGCGGAGGAGGAGTAGCCGGTGTTCTCCCGGGACAAAGTGAACTCTCTGGCCAGCTGGAAGTCGTTGTTCTTGATGGCTTCGTAGCTGGCTTTCAGGCTGGACGTCCTCCTGCCCTCCTTCATCTGTAGCCATCATATGAAAACACAAAATGTGGAAAGAAGACTAAGTTACCTCCCAACGTCCTTTCCTAACCACTTCTCCTTCACCTGACAAAACGTGACAAGGTCAAGGAGAGATGTGAGGAGATCGGTGTTGGAGGGTGTCTCTGTGGGAGTCTCCTCTGACCTGAGCCGTGGCCTGGACGGCCTGAGCAGCAGCCATGGTGATGGCCCCGGCTCCGGATCCGGTCCCTGCCGGCAGAGAGCTCAGGTTGTAGGAGGCCAGAGGCTGAGAGGAGGCCACACCAATGTACACGTTGTTGGTGGACGAGGACGTGCTGTTGGTACGGCAACCTGCAGAGGACACAGCCTACAGTAAGAAATCTCTCTCTCACTCACTCACTCACTCTCACATGGGGAGGGTTGCTCTTACCTGGAGTGTTCTCCTTGGAGGCGTCTGAGGTTAAAGTGGAGAGCAGAGCTTCAGACTTGAACTTCTTCTCTGGAACATGTTCGGTAGTGTGGTGTGTCGGAGCGCTGTACTTCCTCTCTGCTCCAACACACAGGGATGGACGTATTAGTGGGGTTATATCACACACAGGGGACATATCAGCAGGTTTACTTACTCTCAGTGGCGGAGTGAGAGTGGATGTGATGGTTGTTGACCGGCTGAGACGGACTGTCCATCTCTAGAGATCCTGAGGACGAGAAAAGAGGAAATGATACACACTCTGCTTCCTGTTACATGTCACCACACTAAACAAACGACACTCACGTCTCTCCAGGACCTCGGTGATGCCGGCGTTGTCAGCCTCCAGTTCCATCTTGAACTTGGCCAGTTCCTGGTCCAGTTTACGCAGATGGCGATCCACCTAGAGGATGGATGCAGGAAGTAGATGAGAAGCGGTTCTCTGGTGTCCCTGTGGTGAATCATGACTTCACACAACTCACCTCCTTCTGATTGAATTACACTGAATAACACAAACAGAGAATCTCACACACACACACACACGCACAACCCCACAAGTGTAAAGTATAGAGAGCGCATAGAGCTTAGTGTAGTAGAGTATGAAGCAGTGGCCTCACCGACCGGTGGTTGGGGACTAGTATAGAGGAACCTCTGGAGGAGGTTCATTTGAAAAACTAGTACACATCTGTAAGAAATCTATTTTATTCATGAAGATTAAACATCACTCACCAGGTCATAAATCTGATTGGCCAGCTGAACTTTCTCATCTGCATCTTCCAAAGCTTTGTAATAATCCTGAAAGAGTTATGATGAATATTCAGTTATCGAATACAGGCCAGTGTTTCCCCCTAGGGGGCAGTAGTCAGCCCAACGGTTTGTCCGACGGGGAAATTATATATGTATATATATCTTGTTTTTTTCCTTCCCTTTTTCCGTGAGGGGCGGGGGCTGTAGTAATGGTAGGGGAAACACTCCATGTGATCAGACTTCATTGAACTAATCAGTATCTTTTCCTGTGATCAGTATTCATTGATCACCAGCATCAGTCACCTTTTTAATGACCTCCATCTGTTCTTCTCTCCACTCCGGTTTGTTCTTCTTGGCGTTGACGAAGAACTCCATGACCTTCTGCTCCAGCTGATCGGTGGCATCTGAGACAAACCGAGAATTCAAAACTAATAACTAAAGGATAAATACACACAGGTTTCTAAACTACATGACATGTAATATAATGTAATCACTTTCATAAATAACAGCTTCTGTCAACTTCTTTCTTAAAAACTCCTGTACTTGTTAAGTGTAAGACAACAATGGTAAAAATGTAAAAAATAACTGGATTTTATCTCATCATTGTTATTGATTGACTGCTGTCCGTCTGAGACTTGAAAGTCCATTTGAATAATAGAACTACTAAAACTTCTACTTTCCATAGTTTTAGTATTTCCAGCGGCCACATTAGAGAAGTTAGACATATTTTAATTTAAATGAACTTGTGTTAAAACCAGCCGTTTGATTATTAATGTACAGAATGAACGGGTGGTGGTCAGTGGGTAAATGCTCCTCCAATAACTGCATCCAAATTTGAACAAAAGGGGATACACTATACAAGTATGGATTAATTTAGCCAAAATTGAGTTTGAAATATATTTTAAAACTTTAACGCTGTTTCATCAAAATTCCGGAAGAATTATAACATAATTACTAAATGTAATTTAAATTTGTAATTGGAAAATAAGTTTGTTCTTTAGTGTCGATTTTCAATCTTGATATCATTTATTCGTGTCGTCTTTATTACTGCATACGTTTATTACTATGACTAATGTTGATGTAACTATTCGACTATGGTTAGTTTGGGTTGTGTATTTCGCTGTTTGTTGACAATTTATGAAATTGAACGTGTGTAAGTCAGAATCAGAATCAATAAAAGAAAAAAAAACTACATCCGGTCTTTCAGCCCAAAAGGCATGCTAGTCATGCTAATCATGCTAATCACTGCCTTATGGTAACTAATGTCTCACTGAAGCGTTACGGATCCGTTAGCTTTGTTAGCGGCTAATAGCGTCCCTCCCCGGTGTTTGTGGACACCGTGGCGGGGGAGGGAGGGGAGGAGGGGGACGTACTCTGAACCTGCAGGTCCATCTCCCTCATTTCCGTAAACCTGTCTCGGAGGTCCATGGGGAGCTGCTCGATCACTAACACGAGAAGAAGAACAACATGAAGTGGTTAGTCAGCTAGCGAGGCTAGGCTAACGGCTGGAGCAACGCGAGCCGCAAAATGACGCACAAAACCGTCGTGGTTCAGCTGGCGTCCGATACTTACTCTCCAGATAATCCTCCAGATACAACATGGCTACAGATTTAAGGTTTGGGCCGTTTAGTGGAACAATGTTCTTCTTCCAATATGGCGCCGCCAGCCGCTGTCTTCTCTCAGAAAAAAATACGCCAAGGAACTGAGGTCAGAGCTGGTGACGCACATGGCGGCCGGCATTCTGATTGGTTGAAAATCACGCAGGGCATTGATTCAGGTTCTCAGAACAGATGTCTTATGGGAGTTGTAGTTTGATATGTGCGGAGCTCATTTCTCTGCTAAAATATCAGATATGATATGGCCATATCATATTTGTAATTATTACCTCCCCCATTCCAATTCATCTCTCTCTCTTGTCTGCAACAAATAAATTAATCTTGGTGTGTATTTTGTACAGTAAGTAGGGTACAACATAACATTTCACAGTTTAATTAGAACCAGGGCCCCGTTCGTTGAACGTGGCTAACTGAGTTAGACAGGACATTTTTGTGGTTTATTTCAACCAATTGTTTTCCCACATATTTAAATATCTTCAGAATCAGCATCAGAACTGTATTTATTGTCTTTAAATACACATTAACATGAATCCAACATATTGTAGCTAACGGATAAATTGATGGAGAAGACGTTATCTTTCAGTCCCACAGTATCATGCTGATACGACATCACATGCACCAGCCAATCAGATCCATTCATGCTGGTACGACATCACAGGCACCAGCCAATCAGATCCATTCACGCTGAAACGACATCACAGGCACCAGCCAATCAGATCCATTCACGCTGATACGACATCACAGACATCAGCCAATCAGATCCATTCACGCTCACGTCTAAAGAGCGCAGAGCTCAGAAATAAAAGATGGCGGACCAAACTCCGTAGAATAGGGGGTCCCTGCTCCATCTCGCCATCAGTTTGGGGGATCTTGGCCTGAAAAACGTTGAAGACCCCTGCTGTACATATTTACAGTGTTACGATGCAGTGAACATCTGGAAAGCCGCTGCATGTCGTGCTCTTCGTAAAGTTCTGTTGGTTTATTTGCAGCTCAATAAACTTCTGCATGTTCCATGTTTCACTGCTTCAATTGATCGGATTTCTGATGAATAATAGATACATACTGATCCGCCCTTACACATATTCACACACATAATAAAGCTCCTATATGCTCATCTACACATACATATGATACATAAGCTGATACAGTACATATATATATATATATATATCCTCATAACTATTCATTTAGACTCTTTGGGCTTGTTTTTATCTTCTTATTCTGAAAGAGTTGAGATCATTATTCTCATTGGATGATGATCATCAATGAAGCCTCCTGCAAGCAGACACATTTAAAGAAATATAATCTGATTGATTGGAGTGATTGCAGTTTTTGCCATGATTAATTCATTTTATTTTCTAAACCACAAAACTCCCCAAACAATGAAATGCCTTCGAAAGGGAGAATAAAGGGAAGAAACCTTTAGAGAGACAAAGGAGGATCCTCCCCGGGACGGACAGATTTACAATATGTTCAATTCATATAGAAATGATTCAAATGCACATATTATCTCCTCGTATGCGTTCATGATCATCAGCTGCTCGTCTTCCTTTACGTTTATTTGCTGTCGTACTGTTAAAATATCCTGGTTTCTGACGTATAGGATGATTATCCTGATGACGCCTGGTTGGAACTAACGAGACTGTCTCACATAGTCTGACTTCAATCATCAGGTTCATTTGAGTAACGGGACATTTGATCGACTTAGTATACGAGGAACAGGACACATACGTTATAAAATAATGAATACAAAACATATCAAATAAATCACAGTCAGGAATATTTCCCTCCTCTTCATCCTCCTCCTCCACTTTCTCCTCTTTGTTTCTCCTCCTCCTCGGACTCTTTCTCCTTTTTCTCCTCCACTTCATCATCCTCCTCTTCCTCCTCTTCCACACAAGGAGCCTCTCAGCCGGTGACCTTGTGACCCCTCCGCGGCTGGAGGCGGGCACATTCCTCTGTCCTCCCCCGGGACAGCTGACTGACGGGGGAGGCACGCATTTAATTAGTGAGGAAGAAGCCTCGGGACGGGCCGGTCATCGCACCGCCCTCCTCCGGGCTGCTCCGGTGCGCGAACACAGCCGACCCCGCGGAGCTCGCGCGCACCGTTGGGTCCGTTTGGAGGTAAAGTCAAGCCGTGCGCGTTTTACTGGGGATTGAACGGATCTCATACTCCGGTGTGAGAGAGCGACGCAGTCCCCCCCGTCCCCCCCGTCCCCCCCGTGAGTGAGAGCCAGAAGCCACCTGTCGTGGATGAAACCGGACTCCCGGACTAACGAGCCACATCTCCGCCGTCTATGCGTCTGCGGGCCGCGCGCGGTGTGTTGTCGGCGGGCACGTTGCCATGGTTACGGAGGTCCGGCCGGGATGTCACGGAGGGACGCGGTGAGGTGTCTGCGCTGTCTGCTGTACGCGCTCAACCTGCTGTTCTGGGTGAGACGTCACACGTACGTCACACTGACCCGGATCAATAGCTATAAGTAATGTAAATACAAATCATCAGATTATCATGTGATTCATTCATATGTAGTAACACGTGACTCAAAGCGGTTATTAACTGTGTTCACTTTACACTTTGAGGCAAAAGTAAAAGTTTGTATGAGTTCACAGTCGAATGTTTCATTGGAAATGAAAGATGAATGTTTACAGTTTAGTGAAACTAGGCCAGCGTCTCTCCGTCAGTCTGACCACATGTTTGACATTCTGAGATGTTATTTGTAGCCGAAACTGATCCGTGTGTGTGTGTGTGTGTGTGTGTGTGTGTGTGTGTGTGTGCAGCTCATGTCAGCGTGTGTGCTGGGAGTAGCAGCCTGGATAAGAGACTCTCTGAACACTGTGCTGACCCTCACAGCGCACACCAGGTGAGTCTCACAGTAGACCAGAGTCACAGTCAGACCAGAGTCCAGGTGGAGATGATCTACACGCGTGTGTGTGTGTGTGTGTGTGTGTGCAGGCTGGAGGAAGCAGCCGTTCTCACATACTCTCCGGTGGTCCACCCAGTCATCATCACGGTGTGCTGCTTCCTCTTCATTGTGGCCATGGTGGGATACTGTGGAACCCTCAGGTGTAACCTGCTGCTGCTCTCATGGGTATGTGGGTCTTCATCCTCTACACCAGGGGTCTTCAACGTCAGGCCAAGGACCCCCAAACTGATGGCGAGATGGAGCAGGGACCCCCTATTCTTATTTCTATTCTATTCTATTAGTTTGGTCCATCGTCTTTAGACGTGAGCATGAATGGATCTGATTGGCTGGTGCCTGAGAGGAGCTGTGAGGGAACCGGTGTCCAGCTTGAGAGAGCTGCTGAGGGACTGAAAGATAACGTATTTTTAAAGACAATAAATACAAATCTGATGCTGATTCTGAAGACATTTAAATATGAGGAAAAAAAATTGGTTGAAAAAAAAAATTTGTCGCGACCCCCCCTGCAGACCCCCTGCAGACCCCCTGTTGAAGACCTCTGCTCTGCGTTCAGGGTCTCTCTGTGAGTCGCATGGGGACATCTAGTAGGTCAGTGCTTCTCAAACTCTCAAAGTAGGAAGAAAAATGTTTGGGCCCCAACAAAAATGTACCAAAACGCTCCATGCTGAATTTTTATTGAAATAACAACATTTTGTGACTCCGTGTGTGCTTTTATTAATAATAAAATAAAGAAAATTCACTCACTTCAGTCACTTTGATGTAAACCAGATTGCTCCATCAGACAAAAGCAAATTAAATGTGCATCACTTTGTTGGAACAATGCAACTAATATTTGTCAAAAAAATGGCTTATTGTATTAGTCTATGTTGTTTTGTATATATATATATATATATATATATATATATATATATATATATATATATATATATATATATATATATATATATATGTGTGTTTTGTACTGAATATATTTTCAGGATAATAACAATAAAGTTCAACCTGTGAAAAACAAAACAAAAAGTTCAAATATTTATATTATAAGAGTCTTACGTCTCTGTGTTCCTTAATTACTAATTAAAGTAAAATGCAGAGAATAATTTCCCCATGTTGGATTAATAAAGGATTATAAATGAAATAGTTGTTGGCCCCCAGGGGAAGATAAGATTGTCTCTAACAGGAAGTGCCCCCTCCCCCCAAGACACCCGGGAGACCACATGACCACAGTATTTCTCTACACTGGCAAAGTAGTAGTACTTTGTTGATGGTTTGTCTGCTCTTTGTTCCAGTACTTCTGCAGCCTGCTGGTGATCTTCTGCGTCGAGTTGGCAAGTGCTGTTTGGACCTACGACGAGGTGAGAAAACACACCCTCACTACACAAGTACATGAATATATAGTGAATTTTCATTAAATATATAGAGAATATTTCATTTAGTATATTGAATGTTTTTTCATCAAATAGGGAATATCTAATCAATTAATTAAGGAATGAAGGATATAATAAAACAGGGACAATGTAGAGTATTTAATAATTATTTGACCCACCTCTGGAAGTCTGAACGGACCAATCAGAGAGCAGCTAGTAAGCGGCTGCATTTTTCAGTTTACAACACTTCTAAGAATATCCAGATATGATTGGATCCTGTTTCCCTGTGAGACATAACAGCACAGCAACTACACAACAACTACTCAATACAACCACTACACAACAATACCAATAAGTACATAACAACTACATGGCCTGGGTCCGTTTCAAGAAGCGGGTTTAGTGGAAACTCAAGAGTTTGTTCACCCTGAGATGAAGGAAACTCACGCTTGTTTCACAAAGGGAGGTAACCAAAGCTCAGGCTCAGTCACCATGGTAACTAAAGCTCAGGGTCAGTCTCCATGGTAACTAAAGCTCAGGGTCAGTCACCATGGTAACTAAAGCTCAGGCTCAGTCACCGTGGTAACTAAAGCTCAGGGTCAGTCTCCATGGTAACTAAAGCTCAGGGTCAGTCACATGGTAACTAAGGCTCAGTGTCAGTCTTCGTGGTAACTAAAGCTCAGGGTCAGTCTCCATGGTAACTAAAGCTCAGGCTCAGTCTCCGTGGTAACTAAAGCTCAGGGTCAGTCACGTGGTAACTAAAGCTCAGGGTCAGTCACCGTGGTAACTAAAGCTCAGGGTCAGTCACGTGGTAACTAAAGCTCAGGGTCAGTCTCCATGGTAACTAAAGCTCAGGCTCAGTCTCCGTGGTAACTAAAGCTCAGGGTCAGTCACGTGGTAACTAAAGCTCAGGGTCAGTCACGTGGTAACTAAAGCTCAGGGTCAGTCTCCATGGTAACTAAAGCTCAGGGTCAGTCTCCATGGTAACTAAAGCTCAGGGTCAGTCTCCGTGGTAACTAAAGCTCAGGCTCAGTCACCGTGGTAACTGAGCCTGTGAACATCCCGACCAATCCTGTTCAATACCATTGTACCAGTTTTTACCAGCATGTGTGTGTACGGGGTTGCCTGTGTGTTGTGCATTCTAGCAAAACGTGTAAAAACTGGGAATTAAAAGTAAAAGGTATGGATTATGATTAGTATGTGCATTAAATATTAACTTCACACTATATTGGAACTTACAGCGTTTCTCTGTCTTTTGCTGCAGCAGCCGTGTTGCTTTTCTGTCTAATTACGGGTTCATACTCCTACACTTGCATTAATATTTGCAGCTCAATAGGGGTGAATATACTGTTTGTGGTGGTTGTCATGGTAACTCGTAGTATCGTGGCTCCATTCATGCTGCCTTCATACTGTGATGCTGCACGCGCTCAACTCTGAGTCAACCTACTCGAGTTGATTGAACTCTGAACAGCTGTTCTGAAGTTTCCATCTCAGGATAAATTAACTCAGAGTTTAAGGTTTGACTCAGTTTGTTAAACCACTTGAAACGGACCTCAGTACACTAGAGCACAACATACCAGCTACACAGAGAAAACCAATAATATCCCATTAGAAATAAAGGAAGAAGAAGGGGGAGGAGGATGAGGAAGAGGAGCAGCAGGAGAAGGAGGAGCGGCTATAGCAGATATGTCTTCATCACACCTGTGGACTGACATCACTATCTAATCTCATCTCAACACAGTTCTCACCTGCTGCAGGGGGTTGTGGGTATTGTAGTCAGAGAGAATGGATTTCTTATCAGCAGAGCAGAGAGTTGACACACCTGCTGAGAGGAGGGTGGGCGGTACTGACTCTACCCCGTCTCTCCCTTTGTCTCCCTGTCCCTCCTGCTTTGTCTCCCTGTCCCTCCCTCCTTGTCTCCCTGTCCCTCCTGCTTTGTCTCCCTGTCTCTCCCTCCTTGTCTCTCAGCCCCTGGTTCAGCGCTCTGATATGATCAGTCTGAAGTCTCGGATGCAGAACTTCGGCCTGCAGCGTTACCAGTGGCTCACACACACCTGGAACAGCTTCCAGACCGAGGTCAGAGGTCACACTCACACACAATCACACACCACACACTGTGGGGCTGACAGGTGTGTGTGTGCCTTCACTTGGGCCCAGTTTAAATGCTGCGGGGTGATCTACTTCACTGATTGGCTGGAGATGACGGAGATGGAGTGGCCGCCTGACTCCTGCTGCTCCTATCAGTATCCAGGATGTGCTCGCCACGCCCACTTCCATGACCTCAGTGACCTGCACCAGGAGGTGAGTCAGCGCTGCCTGATATAATGAAACGATACAATTCCAATCACGTGTTGGGTTAAGTACCGAGAGCCGGTACCGATATGGCAGCGGCTCCTATACGACCGGTACCTACCGGACCCGAGCCTGAAAACTGTATTCACACACTCGGATGACTCCGTCCTCGCGGCAGCTAACGATAGCCTACTGTTGTGTAGCTCCAGCAGCTAGCTAGCTGTTTATTAAAGTCTCAGCTTACGGCCCGACCGACGCAGGCAGACACGTGCGCGTGCGCAGGAGAGCGTGCACGTTGTTCCTTCGCTGTTTGTCGGTGAGCTGCAGACACGTGACTCCTCACGCGACTGACGGCAGACGGTTTGATTCTTTTTGTCTATTTTACGCAGCGAAGCGTTAACTGAATATAGAAGTAATTCTATGACACGGTAGAAACAATGTGCTGTATATCGTCTGTGTTGCACCGTGACGTCAATACATGGAGACAATCCAACATAAACGCCTTTCACGATGAGCATAAATCTCAAATGAAATGATTAATATTCCCCAAATTCCAATGAACTAATATGTACACTTAGAGGGGAAACAATAAATAAACTGTAAGCGATTCATATATTGTTCATAGTTTGAAGTTAAAAAGCTCAAAGCTGTAGTTTGTAGTTTTACATTTTTTTTAAATGCATTTCTATCTACAGTATTGTTTAAACAGTTAATATATTGTTCAATTTGAAGTAACATTTTTTTGCCTCTTTCTCTTTTGTTTCAATCATTGTTTTCGGTGCTTTAAAACCCAAACGAGTAGTTCGGAGTGGTGTCTTCCTCTGTTTCAGGGCTGCGGGCCAAAGATCTACGGCTTCATCCGAGGGACGAAGCAGCTCCAGGTGCTGCGTTTCCTGGGCGTGTCCATCGGCGTGGCTCAGATCCTCGCCATGGCGCTCACACTCACGCTGCTCTGGGCGCTTTATTACGGGAGGAAGCCTCCAGAGCCGCCCGCCCTCACAGGGACACATGCCCCCCCCCCTGAAGACTCCAACCGCTTTGAGATGGAGCGACTGTCCTCACCCCCCTACAGAGTCTGAAGGGGCTTGGTCACTTCCTGGTTCGACCGAAGTCACCCTCCCGTTCTCGTCAGTGATGTCACCGTGACCTCAGGTACAAACTCAGAAGGTCAAATGATTATTGCCAGAGGAACCACAAATGAAACTTCGTTCCAATATCTACACGGTCTTGCAAAAGTATTGACCCCCTTGGCGTTTTTTTCTTTTTTGTTGCCTTACAACTTGGAATTAAAATTGATTTTTTTGTGGGTTTATATCATTTGTTACTTTGAAGATGCAAAATATGTTTTATTGTGAAACAAACAAGAACTAAGACAAAAAACAGAATACTTGAGCGTGCGTAACTATTCACCCCCCCAAAGTCAGTACTTACTAGAGCCACTTTCTGCAGCAATTACAGCTGCAAGTCTCTTGGGGTACGTATCTGTATTTGGGATTTTTGCCCATTCTTCAAGGCAAAACTGCTCCAGCTCCTTGAAGTTGGATGGGTTCCGCTGGTGTACAGCGATCTTTATATCGTACCACAGATTCTCAATTAGATCGAGGTCTGAGCTTCGACTAGGCCATTCCAAGACATTTAAATGTTTCCTCTTAAACCACTCGAGTGTTGCTTTAGCAGTAGGCTTAGGGTCATTGTCCTGCTGGAAGGTGAACCTCCGTCCCAGTCTCAAATCTCTGGAAGACTGAAACAGGTTTCCCTGTACGTAGCGCCATCCATCATTCCTTCAATTCTGACCAGTTTCCCAGTCCCCGCCGATGAAAAGCATCCCCGCAGCATGATGCTTACCATGGCGATGGCGTTCTCGGGGTGGTGACAGGTGATGGGTTTGGCCAGACAGAGCGTTTTCCTTGATGGCCAAAAAGCTCAATTTCAGTCTCATTTGACCAGAGTACCTTCTTCCATACGTTTGGGGAGTCTCCCACATGCCTTTTGGCGAACACCAAACGTGTTCGCTTATTTTTTTCTTCAAGCAACGGCCTTTTCTGGAGACTCTTCCGTAAAGCCCAGATCTGTGGAGCGTTCGGCTTAAGGCGAACCCTAACCCTGTGGACAGGAACTCCAATCTCCGCTGGAGCTTTGCAGCTCCTTCAGGGTCATCTTTGGTCTCCTGGTTGATTGACGCCCTCCTTGCCTGAGCCGTGAGCTTTGGTGGGCGGCCCTCTCTTGCCAGGTTTGTTGTGGTGCCATATTCCTTCCATTTCTTAATAATGCCTTTAATGGTCCTCTGTGGGATGTTCAAAGTTTGGGTTATTTTTTTATAAGCCGACCCCGATCTGTACTTCTCCTCGACCTTGTCCCTTGTGCTCTTCATGGTGCCGCTTGCTTGGTGGTGTTGTGGACTCGGGGGCCTTTCAGAACAGGTGTGTGTATACTGAGATCATGTGGCACTTAGATTGCACACAGATGGACTTAATTTAACTAAGTATGTGACTTCTGAAGGTAATTGGTTGAAGCAGATCTTACCACTTTTCCCTTTTTTATCTTTTAGAATTTTTGAAAGAAGTATTTTTTTTCATTTCACTTCACCATTTTGGACTATTTGGTCCATTACATGAAATCCAAATCAATTTTAATTCAAAGTTTTAAGGCAACAAAATAGGAAAACCACCAAGGGGGGTCCATACTTTTGCAAGGCTCTGTATCATATGTGAGTTGTGATCTTAGAACCTCCTGGACTTTGGAAGATCAAAGGATTCTGGGATTTTGAGTCCTTAAACTGGAGAACATGAAAGACGTGAAAAACATCTGGACGTCCAAGTCAGCCGTCCATAGTTGTGACAACATGATGTTTGATATATTTAATAAAATCTGTCACACTGTTATTGAAAGATTACAGCGTGACCGCCTGTGGATGTTTGATTTATTCACCTGAATAAACGTGTTGTGTTTGTAGGGTCTCATTCATGTGTGTGTGGAGGCAGAGAACTGGATTAGTTCTTCACACGAGGAGAAATACATGTGAGGTAAAATTACACAGAGATACAGAGGAGGACAAACATCTCAACTAAAACGTTCCGTAGTCACACACACACACACAGACACACACACACACGCGCACACACACTCACACACACACACACACACACACTCACACTCACACACACACACTCACACACACACACACAGACACACACACACACAGACACACACACACACACACACAGACACACTGACACACACACACTCACACACACACACTCACACACACACACTCACACTCACACACACACACACTCACACACACACACACACACACACTCACACACACACACACAGACACACACACACACAGACACACACACACACACACACAGACACACTCACACACACACACTCACACACACACACTCACACACTCACACTCACACACACACTCACACACACACACACACACACACTCACACTCACACTCACACACACACACTCACACTCACACTCACACACACACACACACACACACACACACACACACTCACACAGGGTGTCAGCTGGTTCGTGTGAAAGGCTCCTCCCACACTTGATATTAATATAAAGTAATAAATCACATAGAGATTATTAATAGTTTCTCTTCCCACTGTTCAGTCGTTTATCCCGAATCACAGCTTGTAACATCTTCTTTTATCGCTGTTTACATCAATCAACATATATGTTTATGTATCATATCTTTCTGTATCTCCTGCTATAGCTTGATCACAATCATGTGACTATTATGACGCTAGTGTCAGAACTTGAAATGGAGCAACACAAGTAAATAAAACAAATGTTGGTGACTAACTATAAACCCTAACCAGCCTTAACTAATCACCTAGTTATGAACCGTATGTATGAACCTGGTAATGAACGTGAACCAGCCCTCGTTTTCCATCTGTCCTCATCTTGTTGTGACGTATCACATTGTGATGAAAACACAATCAAGGTTATAAACTTCCTTTCGAAAAGAGAAAGTATTTGACATTAACATTGGTATTTTTCTTAATATTCAGCTGCTGGCCGAACCAATTTGTATCTTATTTTGCAACAAAATAAACATCCAACATGACATGTTTTTTGAAAAGAGACATCCAAACTTGTTAAGAGTCTTTCAATTGGAAAATGCTTTATATTATTGTAGTTTTTTTCTTTTTCAATATCAATCTTAATAATTCAGATTTTATCCACACACAAGCAGTAACAAATCAAACATAGCATAATATATCATGGACTTCTTATGAAACTATTGAAAGAATAAGATGATTTTACGACCCCAATCAATAACAATTACAGCACAAATGCACAGTGATTATATCAATAATAGTAATAATAATCCTTATTTCTTCTTATTTTAACCAGAAATTCACAATATGATCCTCTGGAATAACGTATCTTTAGTGGCGTATGTCACCGCGTGGAGATAACAAGGTCGGCCATCTTCTAAAACCTTTAATCCAGACGAGGACCAGAAACGTCCGCAAGCTCAAAAGATCTGTTTTATTCATCAGAAGACGAAGGTTCAGTGTGACAAGAGGCTTCAACCTGCACCAACATGTCTTTGAATTCCATTAATATTAAACCAAAAAAAGCCTAAAAGGTTTGAGTTCCAGTGGCTTCAGATCCTTCAAAGAAATCACCCTGAAATATTCGTATTATTTATATCTTAGAATCCGACTTAGATGATGTAGTAACCTCTGCACACCAGATGGATAAGAGACATTTTGCTCCAGATATTAAAAAAACTTTTAGAAGAAGAAGTTTAAGGAGTCATTCAAATTTTTCAGGAAACACTTGTTAACTTTATTGCTGAGAAGAGGCGTGTTATGGTGGCCTAGTTTATCATGAAGCCATAAGAATAGCTCTGTGTGAAGATGACAGTACGTATATGACTAAGACTTCACTCGTTTATATGCGTTGCCTGTTTAGTGAAAAGGCAGCTCAGGAACTAGTTAGCTAAGCTAGTAAAGTCCTCACTCTAAATCTGAACTTAAGTTCTATCTGAACCAGTTTTTGAACAACCCGCTCAGCTGTTTGATGACATCACAGCAGGAGGTCTCCTTCCCTCAGATCTTCATGCTCAGAGGTTGTGATCTAGAGTGTCGACACCCCGACCACTCCGGCCTGCGAGTACTCGACGGCCATCAGTTGGGCCGGCGTTGCAACGGGGATGACGGCGGCTGAACTGTACGGCTGGTGACAGTTCAACGGAACCGTCTCCTCTAACTGGGTGTTGAGACTGGAGCGACTAGGAGAGAGAGAGGAGGTCAGGGCTGTAGACCAGGGCTCTATTCCTCATTCAGCTCTTCATATCAATATTAGTCCATGTGTCTGTAATTCAATACTAATAAAGCAGTTCAGTTCAAACTGTTTAAATATTTCTCTTTTAGTTCAGAGGGTATGATTTAAACATCTTCCTCTTACAGAACATTCTGATGTTTTCCTTCGCTCTCAGAAAACAAAGCATCAAACCCCCGTCTCAGACATCACTGAGGGGGACCGGGTCGTCCTGAGGGGGACCGGGTCGTCCTCAGTGTGACCTCTCCACTCTCACGAATCCAGCTTCATCAATAAATTCATGATCACCAAACAAGTGGGAGTATTCACGGAGAGGAGAACGGGCGAGCTGCTGGAAGACAATCAGAGCTCCTCATTAGCTCCTCATTAGCTCCTCACAAACTCCTAACGTCTCAGTAACTCCTCAGTAGCTCCTTATAAACTCCTCACTAACTCTTAAGGAAACATTTATTGCAAAAATATGTCAAACATAGAAGGAATTTGTCTTGGCGGTTGGTGCGTGACAGTAGACAGTGTAAGTAGCTGCTCACCAACTCCTCCATAACCACTTATTAACTCCTTCATAACTCACCCTCCTCACTAATTGCATTGAATTAATTTAATTTAGCATAAGATCACAAATTACAATTTTGCCTCAGAGAACTTTACAGTCTGTACACTCCTCACTAACCTCCTGTCTCCTACCTGTTGGCGAGGGGCCTCTCTTTGATCTGGATGGTGCTGAGCTCCTGCACGCTGCCGTGTAGACCCACCGATGTGGTGGAGTTGGGGAGGTGCAAGGTCCTCCTGTTCCTCCGTGCGCAGCAGAAGGTAAAGCCTCCAGGCGAAGAGGAGACGGAGGAGGAGCGAGAGAGCTGCTTCACCACAATCACCTCCTGGCAACTGGGGTTGTACACCTTCTCGTCCACAAACTCATGGTTCTGAGGCAGAGACGGGGACCAGGGTTAGAGGTGGTCACGGGTAAGATGTGGTCGGGTGGTCAAGGGTTAGGGTTAGTCAGGGGGTAAGAGTTCGTCAAGGGTTAGAGTTAGTAAGGGGGCTAGAGGTCATCAAGGGTTAGAGTTAGTCAGGGGGTAAGAGGTCATCAAGGGTTAGAGTTAGTCAGGGGTAAGAGGTCATCAAGGGGTTAGGGTTAGTCAGGGGGCTAGAGGTCGTCAAGGGTTAGAGTTAGTCAGGGGTAAGAGGTCATCAAGGGGTTAGGGTTAGTCAGGGGGCTAGAGGTCGTCAAGGGTTGGAGTTAGTAAGGGTGCTAGAGGTCGTCAAGGGTTAGAGTTAGTCAGGGGTAAGAGGTCATCAAGGGGTTAGGGTTAGTAAGGGTGCTAGAGGTCGTCAAGGGTTAGAGTTAGTCAGGGGTAAGAGGTCATCAAGGGGTTAGGGTTAGTAAGGGTGCTAGAGGTCGTCAAGGGTTAGAGTTAGTCAGGGGTAAGAGGTCATCAAGGGGTATACATGTTACATTAAAGATAGATGAGGTAATCATTATTACGAGTTGTCACATCCGGATGAAAGTGATGTTCTCACCGTTGTTTTCTCCAGACAGTGCAGCAGGTGATTTTGCTGGAGGTCAAAGGTCGGGTTGGCCTTGCACACCAGTGCCTGTCCTGCTTCTTTAGAGGCCTTCAGGACACAAATACAGATCACATGGCCCACGGGGATGTCACCCATAACCACGGCTATCCCACCATAACAAGATAATAACGTGTGTAACAACATAATAACTTGTGTGATAATCCTATAGCGCTTGGTTCTGCACCGTTGGACCACCGTCTACACCACATATGTCAAACTCGCGGCGTCCCGTTCGGCACGGCCGTCGGAGTCCGGCTGGCCGTCCAGTGTGGCCGGCCGGATGACTTTGCTATTGTGAGGGATGAGGGACGAGAGGCTGGTTGTGTCTTTGTTTTTATATTGATTCGTGTCACCTTCTGAGCGCGCCTCTTCTCGGCCCTTTGGCTCTGGTGGTAGATCCGGCTGAAGTTGGAGACGATGACTGGAACCGGCAGGGCGATGACCAACACGCCGCTCAGGGAGCATACGGAGCCCACAATCTTCCCCATGATGGTCTTTGGTACCATGTCGCCATATCTGCGAGAGAGAGAGAGACAGAGTCTAATACAGGTCATAACCTCCTGAAACGCAACGCAGCAGCAGAACGTTGGTGTTTCCTACAACCAGAAGGGAACCAAAACGTTACTAGAACCTGTTCGTACAGCAGAACACAGACAACGCTCTGACAGAGACCTGTCAATCACAAGGGAGACCTGCCATAAAGCATCCCCTGCTTTATGGTCTGTTAGAGACTTGTCAATCAGTGTGTAGCCCCGCCCTAAACCTTTCCTGCTTTTTGATCTGTTTGACTCTAAATCCACCATCATTTATTAAATGAACATCATTACTGAAGAAGACTTGAAACTACAGATTGAGTCAACAGGCAATTTAATCTGTAAGGCACATTTCAACTACACGGCAAAGTGCTTCACATAAAACACCGAAACATAAAGCAAGGAGAGACAAAAACTAAAACAACACAACAACAACGCAATAACAACAACAACAACAATGCTTCAACAACAAGAACACAACGAGACCAACAACGCAACAACAATAACGCAACAACAACACACCAAACCACATCATCAACACAAAAATGCAACGACAACAAGAACACAACAAAAATGCAACATCAACAACACAACGCAAAAGAAGAACAACAGTAACAACAACATATTTAAATATCAGAGTTTCTTTCATTATGTGAAAGAAGAATCATGAAAACTTCTGGTCAGCTGGTCTGACTTCCCAGAATGCCGAGCGACAGTGTGCGATAGTGCCTTCTGATGAAGGGAGGTTTGTGTGTGCTTCTGTGTGTTTGTCTATGTGTGTATTTCTCTGTCATGGATCTTCACATCCATATTCTGATCAATGAGATTTAATATTATTCATTTATTTTCTACGAGACGACTCAATAAATTGTTTCTCTGTCAGTTTTAGCTGAGTCGTCACAAAGTGTGTGTGTGTGTGTGTGTGTGTGTGTGTCTGTCTTCGTATTTCTTTGCGTGTCTGTGGTGTCACAACCCGGCAATATAGTGTGAAGGTGTAGTGTGAGGGTGTAGTGTGAGGGTGTAGTGTGAGGGTGTAGTGTGAGGGTGTAGTGTGAGGGTGTAGTGGAAATGCATGGATGCATATAAGAAGTGTACAAAACGCACACTCTAACAAAGACTGAATCACATGGTGCTGGTGGAGAGAGAGAGAGAGAGAGAGAGAGAAAGAGCACCAGGAACAGCTTCTCGCTCCACCCACAGGTGCAACCTGTCACCTTAACAGGTTCCTCAGCTCCACCCGTCTCCACCTGCAACAAGAACACAGAGAAGGAGACGGGGGGCCAGAGGACGCTGTGTCTCTGTGTGCGTCTCTGTGTGTGTCTTTGTGTACGTGTCTTTGTATTTGTGTGTGTATGTGTGTGTGTGTCTTTGTATGTGTGTGTGTGTCTTTGAATGAATGTGTGTGTGTGTGTGTGTGTGTGTGTGTGTGTGTGTCTTTGTATGAGTGTGTGTGTGTCTTTGTGTACGTGTTAATCCTCCAGAAAGGAAAATGTTGGTTTATTCACATCAAATGAAATCAAAGTAACACCATTATTTTATTGTCATAGATGTTTGTAATGACGATGAACGATATATGGAAGGATTTACTTCCATAAATGATCATCCGGTGAAATTGAAATCAAAAACCTTCTGCGATGAATTAAAAGTTTCATTGATTGATAAAGCAGGTAAACGGAGAGAGGAAGAGGCAGAGGAAGAGGAGGAAGAGGCAGAGGAAGAGGAGGAAGCCACATTCCTCACCAACCGGGGAATCCGGAGAGACCCACCATCGTTACCACCCGCCTCCCCATCACCTACCCCAGCGTCGTCATGGTGACGATGGTGTACCAGAAGGCCGCCGGGATGCTGGTGAACTTGCTGGAGCTGGAGCCCTTCTCGGCGTAGAACATGACGGTGGCGAAGATGATGATGGCCATGGTGAGGCTGAAGAGCAGGAAGCCCAGCTCCGAGGCGCAGCTCTTCAGCGTGTAGCCCAGGATCCGCAGGCCCGCCGAGTGGCGCGAGAACTTGAAGATGCGGAAGACGCGGAAGACGCGCAGCGTGACGAAGGCGCCGCTCACGTCCTCGTTGTCGGTCATCACCAGGCCGATGTAGTACGGCATGATGGCCACCACGTCGATGACGCTCATCACGCTCTTCATGAATCGGCAAGGGCTCGGTGCCACCAGCAGGCGCAGCAGGTACTCCACCGTGAAGATCAGCACGCACGCCGTGTCCAGGCAGAAGAAGGCCAGCGCGTACCTCTCGCCGCACGACGTTTCGCGGACGCGGTTTGGCGCGGCGCCGCACGGAACCGTCTCCACCACGTTGGCCAGAACCGACACAGCAATGAAGAAGCCGGTGACGTAGTAGAAGACTAGTGCCATGGTGGAGGTGTGCGGGTTCTCGAAGGCCCGCCACAGGGTCTCCCGAAAGCCCAAGTCCGTCACCACCAGGTCTTTGGACTGCTCCGTCTCCTCGTCGTCCTGGACGCGCTCCTGGTTCTCCCGCCGCCGGTCCTTGTACTCCTCGTAGCAGCAGTCCCCGATGATCTCCGGGATGATGCCGAAGAACGCGAGCTCCTCGTCGTACGCGGAGATGCACTCCTGCCGCGGGTAGTGCAGCTTCCCGGTGCGGTAGAAGTTCAGGATGTTGCGGAAGATGTCCGGATCGCGGTCGAAAAAGAACTCGTTGGTCTCCTCGTGGAAGAAAAAGTCCCGCTCCGCGCTGCCCAGCAGGGTGTCCGGGTACCGCTCCAGAGTGTCCCGCCACGTCTGGAACCTGGTTCCGCTCACGTTGAGCACGATGAGACCTGCACGGCGGCGGCGCCCCTCCTTTGGGGGCACCGGCATCGCCGTGCTGGCCACCGGCATCCAGCCAATGGCCGCCGCGCGGGCGAACGGCAGCCACGCCGCCGCTCCTCCCGCCATGCTGGTCCCGGGGGGGGAGGGAGATCCACGGAGCCCCGGAGCGCCCAGAGCGCAGCGATCACCGGGACTCCAGAGGGTTTTACGGCACAACCGGACGCGTGAAACAAACGAATCCACACGTGATCAGTGAGCCCGCATCAGTCCGTTATTGTTTCCTCAGAACAAACTCACATCCACCCCGAAGACACAGTTCAGTTTTAAACCGAAACCGGGTTCCGGCTCTTTAACTCCCGCAGTGCAGCATCAGGAGACCCGGGCCGGCTCGAGGCAGCCTGCTCCCCACTGGACTCTTCCGGTCCACCCACCGGTCCCGCAGTGAGGCGGCCGCTGTGACAAGTGTGTTTCCCCGCGGGAGACGGGCGAGACGCCGCGGAGAGATGAAGCGACTCGTCCGGTCGCTCCGGTACCGAAGAAAGGAAGAGAACCTCTCTCTCTCTCTCTCTCTCTCTCTCTCTCTCTCTCTCTCTCTCTCTCTCTCTCTCTCTCTCTCTCTCTCTCCCTCTCTCTCTCCCTCTCTCTCCCTCTCTCTCTCCCTCTCTCTCCCTCTCTCTCTCTCTCCCTCCCTCTCTCTCCCTCTCTCTCTCTCACTTTAATACAATATGAAAAGGTACAAACATACCAGAAATGATGATGATGATGATGATGAAGAGCTGATGATGTCATGATGATGCAGTTTTGATTGTGCAGCATCATGTAAAACACACACACAGTTCATGTCAGAGAGGTGGATGCAGGCGTGAGGTCTCACTCTGCTCATCCATCTGAAGCCAGAGGAGCTTTTATTACCATAATGTGACACAATGAACTGATGACAGCAGACAGGATGACAACATAACAACACAGTGCAAGAAGAATCAAACAGAATATAATACAATATAATGCTGTGGGTTAGTTTAAAATAAAAGAATACAAGTTAAAAAAAAGACAAATTAAAAATAGTGCATGTGACGTGTGCAGTGACTGTGGAACTTGCCAAGAACTATTGTTGGACTTCGTCGTTTAGCTTCTCTCACCGCTAAATATGGGTTTAAATAGATCTTCAATATTTCTTAAATAGATCATTGTTTGATGTGTTTTTGTGACAGAGGAGCAATGCGAGTGATGCAAAGAGAAGACAAGACAAAGCTTTCATCTGTTTTTTCTTTTATGTATTCAAAATGTTCCACGTAATCATTTGATAATTAAAATATATATATATATATATTGGGCTGCAGTTTCGTAACACACACACACACACACTGACAAACAAACACACATAGGCATGCACACCTGGGGGAGGGAGGTTATGGTGCAACCCGAGACCAGTTTGGTCTCTGTATATATATATATATATATACATATACATATATATGCATATATATACACTTGATGTGTGTGTGTTTGCCCCCGATGAAATAATCATACCACATTGTATCTTCAAAGCTTCTCAGCCTGAGGATAAACTCTTGAAGATGTGAAGACTCTGCGGTCATCAGAGAACTTAGGAAGGTTAAAGACCAGTGGAGCTGCTGCATTCTGGATGAGCTGCAGAGGCTGAATGGTGGTAGCAGGAGACCTGCAGGAGAGAGTTACAGTAGTCCAGGAGGGAGACGACAAGAGCCTGAATCAGTACCTTCTGAGTGAGAAGAGGACGTGTTCTCCTGATGGTGTAGAGCGAGTACACTACTCCATAAGTCACAGTGAGGAACATCAGAACATTATTCCATCAGAACATCACTCCTCTTCACACCTCATGTTCCTCATGCATTAAATAAGAGTCGATGTTAAATCACTCAGGTCCAACCCCGACGATACAGAGAGCCGCGTCCTGCTTCTTCTTCTGCTTTGATATTCAATGTGCTGCTACATGAGCTGCATACATGCAACATCAATATGTGATATATTCATATCTTTGTTTCTGTCTGGAATAAATTTATCATGAAACAATTACAGAGGAACAGCTGATCATCTCTGGAGAGAAATATGTTTCCAACGTTCGTTTTTTTTAGTTTGGTGACAACAAATGTGAGCAGTAACAAAGTCACTGTGCGTGTATTGGTGTGTGTGTGTGTGTGTGTGTGTGTGTGTGTGTGTGTGTGTGTTGCGTCCTCTCGTCTCTGGGAAACAATGGTGATTTTCACCATCTGTCAACTACAACAAAGGATCATGGGAACCCGAGAGACGTGAGACGTGGAAACAAACAAACACTCGGGTTACAGGAGGCCCGCAGGTGGAGAGAGGTCACCGACCTGCAGATGGAGGCTCTTAAAGGGACAGTACACTCAATACACGCTGATTAACGCTGATTGACGAGGCGTGGCGAGCTACGGAGGCCCTGAAGCATCAAAGCTCGTTCATTCTATCACCTCATCTCATGAAATAAATTAGAGCCCAAAATGAGGAGAGTAAAAGCATACTTGCTTCTCTACTTTGTTACCATTTACAATTAGGTTTTCCTCATCCTAATGAGTCAAATAATAATCAAACATTTATTTTTTTATTACATGATGAACACTATATAATAATATTTTATTATAGAACAAAACATAATATATGAATTGTTTATAACATATCTATTGTTAGACCTGCAAATAGAACAGATCTTAGGTCAGTATAAGAAACTGATTCCCCCCCCCCGCCCCCCACCAGAGGCTCAGAATAACTAAGCTTTATTCTCTGCTGTCTATTTATAGTGGAGATTATTTTTATCACAAAAGGATGGAAGGAGGGTAGCAGGATAAGAAGTACTGGGAGGACCGGGAGGACTGGAAGGACATGGAAGACAGGGAGGACTGGGAAGACTGGGAGGGCCCGGAGGACTGTAATGCTGTCTTACATCACTGTTATTCGTCCCGGCCAGAGACACATGCTGGGAGGGAGATGATCAAAGGACGAGGACTTCCAGCTAACTAAACCCAAATAACTCGTCTTTGAGCTTCCTCTCTTCTCTCCTCCTCTTCCCTCCTCATATTTCTTCTGGTCCTAATGGGCTCTTGGTTCTCATGGGCTTTTGGTTTGGGTGGGGTTGGTTCTGTTGGGGTCTTGACTACAACATTAGCAGCAAGTTCTGAACCACAGAGAAGTTCTGGTCCAGCAGGCATCATTAAATTAAGAGTAAACCGATGAATGTTTTTCAATAGAATCATTAGAGATAGTTATTGATGAGTGAGATTACAGCTGCTGCAACACACGCATTGCCATGGCAACGCAGCAGAAGTGAGACCGCCGCACGACGCCGATTGATGCTCCGACTTTTGCTGCTGCAGATTTAAACATATTTATGATCATCACGTCCTGTCTCTTCTTCAACAAGAGGACCTGGCAGGAGAAACAAGACAAGAGACATGAGACACGAGGTACAAGAAAAGAGACATGAGAGACGAAATACAGGACAAGAGACACAAGGGAGAGATAGGAAACGAGAGATGAGAGACAAGAGACACAGGTCGTGAGACATGAGACAAGATATAAAAATACACACAGGTTCCTCAATCCTCTCACACATGACTTTGATAAGATGGTTTGATGAAACGTCTTCTGGTTGTTCCTCATGTTGACTTATAGACGTGATGCCACCATGACAGTCAGAGAGGAGGAGGATTAATTGCCTTAATTGGGTCACTCTCCTTTAATCACTTCTCTGCACAGCTAATTAAACATCTGCTTCCCATCATGTGTCTGCATCAAGCAACTGGTGAGTGAACACCTATTTATATATATATATATATTTTATATTTATATATAGTATATGAATGCTAAACTTGTATAAAAATATCTCTGCTGGTATGTCAGTATATGTCGCGTTGTATTCCTGTTCTCCAGATGTGACTAGACTGGCCTTGGACCCGATCTGGACCCGATCTGGACCCGGTCTTGGGACCAGTCTTGCACCCGGTTTGGATCCGGTCTGGACCTGGTTTGGACCTGGTTTTGGTTGAAACACAGACGATCATGTGGCTGAACTAATAAACCTTTATTATGGCCGCACCATGTTGCCAGCTGGGCGGTTGACATGTCAAACATAAATTCATACAAAAACGTTGTTCCACCATCTTCTTCTGTTGATGAGCTACCCTATCAACAACAACATTTTCTGTCAAAGAAAATAAAATGAGACAATAAATAAAAGACAAAAAACGCTTCCGTGTGAAATATGAAACCACAAGCATTAACGGTGGAATCCGTTACTCTTGAGTCTGTTCGTGATCAATGAAAATCTTCAGAGTCTCGATCCAACGCATCGATTATTTTAGCATTTCAACCTCAAAGTCCTTAATTCTTTTGTACTTGTTAGAAGATCAACATCTCTACTGAATGTCATGAGCAGTGTCTCATGCCAACATGTCAATGAGGAGAAACAGGATGGAGATGTAGAACTTGGGTTCTACTGTTCTAAGGGACGGTGAAGTGGAAGGGACTGCCGGGGACGTTCTCGTCCCCCCACTTGACAATAAGGATGTAGCTGCCCTGCTCTTTGACGGTGTAGGTCACGTTGTACGTTCTGTTTCCCATGTGTTTGACGTAGACCTCCTCACAGGGAGTCTTTGGCCCGTGGACGCCCACCATCAGCATGTTAATACCTGCAGGGATGAGAACATCCGATTTAAAGATCGGGATCATAGGTCAGGGGCTGGAGGTCTTTGCGTTGCTCACCTGCTCGGCTGCAGTCCACCGTGAATGTGTTCTTCTGGCCGACAAAGGCCTTGGACAGACCCGATCCCCTGGAGACCACTTTGCTGGCGTCTGAGGAGAACCTGGGCAAGGAGCTAAGGGCCCCCCCCATCGCCATTGTCTTGGAGAGCGTTTCGACAAGAACAGAGGACGTCTCATGGAGGCTGTCTCCGGCGGAGAGACGAGGTCCTGCAGGCGAATTCAAAGACTCTGAAGCTCAGTTCATACAGACAGAAATATGCACTGTTTTCATGTGGGGATGGACGCGGTGTTATACAAAGATTTTAGAAGCTTTAGAAACAATAATTGTTACAAATCAAATGGTTTACAGGATTTGTTTCTTTCTAACAGATTTAATAGTCATGTTGTTTAGATTGGCCATGATAAACTGTGACTCATCTGGACCCGGTGGTCCAGATGATGCTTCTTTTTGGGGTGAGTTTGTTGAAGAAAGTCCGGCTATATTCCACCGATGCTTGTTTAGTATAAACACCCAAACAAACTTGACCCACCTGACACTTTGGCCTTGAAGGGACTCCCAACGACGTGGCGGGGTCCCCCGTACTTGATGGATATCAGGTAGTTCCCCGGAGCCATGGGCATGTAGGAGACCCTGTAGCCCTCCGTGGACTCCTGACAGTCCATCTTCACCTTGGAGGGCCCGTCGATGGTCACAGACAGAGTCCCCGATCCGGCGCTACAGGTGTTCACTGTGAACTCCGAGGTCCCTCCTGCAGGGTGTTACAGATGTTACGGTCCGTCTCCACCAGGAGCTCTAAGGTAGAAGAAGTGAGTGTGTTTACAGTGTGTACCTGTGGTTCCTCCCTCTAGGCCCGGTCCGAAGGCTAACACCATGCCAGGGTCTCCCGCCTGTCCCGGTTCCCCGACTCGAATTTTAAAGGGACTGCCGGGGACGTGGCTGCCGTTGAAACGGACGTCGATGGAGTGAACTCCGTTCTCTCTGGGGACAAATCTGATGGCGTGCTGGTCTGTGGGGACGCATGGGGGTAAATTAAACGCATCTATTACATTTTATGTATGCCATTGGTTCATTATATCATAATCAATGCCATTGGTCATCTGTTACATCATTCATCTATACCATCATTCCTCTATAACATTATACATATATGCCATTGGTCATCCATTACATCATACATCTATTACATCATACATCTATGCGTCATCCATCACATCATTGTTTGTTAATATACGATAATATATTCAAGTATCCTACACATAAAGCCACAATACCGACTCTGACGGTGCATAAAATGCATGAGATTAAAATGTAGTGGGCCCAAAATGGAGCTTTGTTACCTAAACATAACATTAGTAAGATACAGTCACTAACGTAACGTTGGTCTCACCGGTTTCCAGCTCTGTGATGTAGCACTCTTCCGTGGCACCGGACGGCGTGTGGATCTTAGCATCGATCAGCCCTCTGGCTCCATTAAGCTGCACCGCAAAGGAAGCCTCCTTCCCCACTGTCAGACCCATCTCCTGAAGGAGGAACCAAGGAGGGGGTTACAGTCCAGACCATGTGGCTGTAGATGTCCTCTCTATGAAGACGATAGAAGATGTGAGAAACGCTCTAACCTGCAGGCTGCTGACGGTGAGGCGGCGGGCGTCGTCGGACAGTGCGGCGACGGGAACAAGGAACGGAGAGTCTGGGATGTGATCGTCATTGAACTTGATGGAAACTTCATAGTCGCCTGGAGGGGAAAAAAGAAAAGGGCTCTTCAGAATGATGCCATGCAGGAGACACTTCTGGTTCAAGGAAGAACCGTTCTACCTATTCAGGAAATGGTTCTTTAAAGATCCGACAAAGGTTTCAAGGAGAACCTTTAAAATGGTTCTTTGAAGCACCTAGAAGAAAAAAAGCTTTTCCCATGAACCTGTCAAAAAAGTCTTTATGAGTGAGAAAAAAGATTCAGAGATGGAGAGGATGAGAAAGAGGAGGAAGAGGGAGACAATTCCGATTTATCCAGGTTCTGCAAGAGCAATTAAATGTGGAACTAGAATCTGTCAGTTTTTCTGTTGCCGGTGAGGGGGGTAAAATGTCAAAGGATGTGGCCTGTGTACAGACCCTAAGGTCCTTTGTGGGTTGTGGTTTTGGTTATTAATAGATTAGAGTCCCACCAGGCTCCTGAACCACGTAGGTGACTCCACAGGATCCGTCTTTGCGATCTTCAAAGGTGATCTCGGCCTTACTCGGTCCCTCGACCGCGATGGACAGACCTCCTGCTCCGGCCTCTCGTGTCCAGATGCTGAACTCCGCTGAGAGAAAAAAACAGAATAGGAATGTTTACCTCTTCAGTAGTAAACAGTCAATAACAGCATGTGCGTTAAAACAGAAAACCTCCAGCCCACCTAGGATCCCAGCCACTCCTCGATCCAGCCCGGTCCCCCCTGCTCTGACCTTGTGGGCCCCCCCCTCCCCCAGGGGTCCCACGGTGAACTGAAAGGGGCTCCCGGGAACGTGTTGGTCTCGGTATTTAACGTTAACGGTGTGAGCTCCCATCTCCTGAGGGACAAAGCGGACGCTGTAGGTGCTGTCTTCTCCTTTGATGATCTCAGCCTCGTCTTGCTGACCTCCTGGACTCGTCACTTGGGCCGTCATTTCCTGGTTACCTGAGTCACCTAGGGGAGAGGAGGGGAAAGGTGTAGAAGAGGAAGAAGAAGAAGAAGAAGAAAAGGAGCAGGGAGGTGGATTTCAGTCATTGTTTTGGTTATTAGTGCGTGATGTCATTCCACGGATGATGTCAAATAGGTTTCCCTCTGTATGAAGATCTGAACCCACAGTCCTGTAGTGGCGGTGCTGGTGGAGGAGGTGGTGCCTGTCTGCTGCCGTTGAAGCCACTCAGACTGTCCCGACCCATGAAGTTCCCGAACACGTCTCTGAAGGGGTCTCCCACCTGGGTGCTCTCTTCCACGCGGACCTCCCTTTTCGTCTCCCCGGCTCGGGTCTTGCTGATCTCCGTCCGCTCCGTCCGGGTGTAGGTGTGGCTGCTGCGGGTGAAGGTCCGGGTCAGGCACTCCTGAGCCGAGACCATGTGGAACCAGTTCCCTGAAGGAGGAAAACAGGGACAGAGCAGGAGGTGAGGAGGAAGCAGCCGAGAGGAGGTCCGGATTCCGGCGGAACAGACGGAGGTCTCACCTGGTATCTTGAGGTTCAGGTTGCAGGTGCTGCCGACTTTGGCAATGGAGGGAGCCTGACGCCTCCTGGTGATGCTCTCCTTCATCCGGCCCTCCCCGAACACCTTCACCGTGAATGGACTTCCTGTTGGGCCCCAAAACACTGAGGGCCTCGTGTACGTACATTTGCAAACGTAGCGTTTGCTAATGCACGTACACAGCGAGCGCTATCTGCCGCGGAAAACGCACTCGCTGTGAAACTTCAGTTTAAGTCCTATTTATAGTTCACACGCCACATCCTGAGAAGGCAACCCCAACCAAGGCAGCCAGTGCAAGGCAAGGATGTGGCGGCACATAACAGTTGTTGGAAAACCCGGGGGCAGACCCAAAAGAGAAAAACCCAAAATGATGAGGAGACAAAGAAAAGACTGTTCAGCAAAAAGTCCAGTCGAGAATGGCTGGTTTATGATACAGCCAAAAAGATAATGTATTGCATTGATTGTAGGACGCGCAGGAGTGAAAAGGTTGAGGGGGTCTCTTTTGTAGTCAGGACAAGCACTAAATAAAGGGCCAGGAACATTCCGTTGACCATGTCAAAAGGATTGTGACTAAAGGGACGAGGAACGATAAGCTACTCTTTTGTCTTTGTCTTAATCAATTGCATTTGTTTTCATACAAAAGGAGCTTTACACACTTACAAGAGCTGAAGGTTTGGTGACTATACATACACATTTGATGTAGTCTTGATTTTGGTGTTTACAATGGTAATTTACATTTGAAAGAATTGTAAATCAATCCGTAGTCAACTTCTAATTCTCAGATTTTCTTGGTTTTCTATCACATTTAACAGAATGACAACAAACTATTTAACAATAAAGAAATAACAATTTTCGTAATAATGAAAAACAAGATGATAATAATAATAATAATAATAAAGATGATAATAATAATGCAATAATAACATTAAGAACCATAATGTAATACTAGTAATAACAATAATAATAATAATAACTTCATTACTATTAGAGACTTTTTTGACTTAAAAGAAGTGCTACCTTAGATTTACTCATTCGAGTAAATTAATTGAAGAGGAAATAATTAGCAATATAACATACATAAATAAACCTAAGCTTTTGATTACTGAAAAGAACTTGAGCGTCAATACTCAATAATTCCTACCTGGGACATGCTGGTCGGCAAACTTGATGTTGATGATATAGTTCCCTGGTTCAGTGGGACAGTAGGTGACCTTACAGGTGCCGTCCTCCACGTCCTCACAGATAATGTCCACTTTACTGGGACCCTCGATGGACAAACCCAGACCACCATAACCTATCATCCAATTAAGCAATCAATCACAGGTCACAACAACTTTCATTCAATCAATCACAGGTCACACCACCTGTCACCCAACCAATCAATCAATCAACAGGTCACAGTTACAAATACCTGTCATCCAATCAAACCACCAAAGGGTTGTTCGCCCTGTTTCCTAACACTGCTTAAATATAGTTCTGTCCAAGCTACCTGCGTGCCTGGTGTCCACGATGAACTCGGCCACCTCGAAGATGTGACCTTCGATCAGACCCTGACCGAGGACCTTCACCTTGCCAGCATCTCCAATCTCCGACTGGCCCACCATGATCTTGAAGGGGCTGTTGGTCACGTGATGGCCGGTCTTCTTCACGCTCACCACGTGCTCCCCCACTTCTTTCGGCGTAAACGAAATGCCTGCAGACGAGACGATCCCGAGGTCAGACAGGAAGTCAGATAGGAAGTCGACTTTGTCTTCCCGCTGAGTCCAACACTGACCAATGTGTCTGTTGGGAAGCCTCTTGAGCAGACACGGCTCCTCGTATCCGGATGGCGCCCTGATGCTCGCCGTCAAGCTGCTCAGGTCTGTCTCTGTGATCTTCAGGGAAACGTCTGTCGACGTACCAACATTGAGCTGAGACATCCTCACCGATTCGTCACCTGCAAACCAACCAAAAGGCTTGATATGAGAACGGGCTCAGGTTGCATACAGAAGAGAGAGAAGCGTCCTAGCTGTGGTTCCGGCACCGGTGATCCTGGCAGTGAACGGGCTCCCAGGGATGTGCTTGTCGTCAAACTTGACAATGATGTTATAGTCCCCGGTGACGCTAGGCAGGTAGGAAACGGTACAGGTCCCGTCCTTGTTGTCCTTGCAGCTGATCTCGGCTTTGGACGGACCTTCCACGGCCAGAGACAGACCGCCTGCAGAGAGAGAGACAGGCATCCACCATGGTGGGGAAGATGAAGAAGAAAAACCTCACGAGCGGGAGTCACCGCCAACATGTTCACTCTTTAAAGGATGCTGATTCCTGCTAATGTTTCAAACTAAAAGTATGATTTAATTTTACTGTATTAAAATAAGCTTATTTCAAATAAACATGTGGTTCTCAATTCAGAGAATTCAGGGAATATATATTTAAATGTCATTGTCTGAGGACATCATCCGGTAACGTCACAAGAGCTACCAACACTTTTTCTACTACTACCTTCCCCGGCATCTTTAGTGACAATGGTGAAGGTGGCCGGTTGGTTCACAGTGCCGTGACTCAGGCCGGGGCCGTACGCTGTGACGTGCCCGCTGTTAATGGCGTCTACGTAAAACTGCAGCGGACTTCCTGTCGTAGAGAAGAAAAACAGAGGAAGTCAAGCTGTGCACTGATGATACTCTACGCTCCGCTTCCCTCTGAGAGAAATGATCCATCCTGAAGACTCATCTTAAGTAGTAAACATAGTAAACGAGTAAACATCTGCAACTGCTCACCTGGGATGTGGTTCCCATCGTATCTGATGTCCATCTTGTGAAGACCTCGCTCCGTGGGGGAGAAGTTCACCGTGACAGTGCCGTCCTTGTTGTCGGTGATGTGAGGACAAGCGTTCCGACCGGACGGCATTCGCACCTCACCTGGAGGACCAAAATACAAACCATAGTCTCAATACTCATCGTGGCTGTGAACAAGGCAGAACATCAGAAAGGAAGTCAGACAGAAAGTAAGGCAGGACGACTAGCAGGTTGTCACACAAAGAGTCCGACAGGAACTCAGGCAGGATGTCAGAAAGGAAATCAGAGAGGGAGTTCCTAGGAAGTCAGGCAGGACGTCACACAAGAACTGAGGTAGGACGTTCGGGAAGAAGTTAGACAGGAAGTAGAATGGGAAGTCAGGCAAGATGTGAGGCAGGATGTCCGACAAGAAGTAAGATTGGAAGTCAGGCAGGAAGTCAGGAAGGATAGACTACAAGGTTCTCAGACATCCAACAGAAAATATTGAATAACACCAGACTAATCCTATGGATTCCAAACAAAGCGCAACTTAATGTATATGGATTATTTGTATGGCATATTGTTGCTCTCACCAGTGATCTCTCCTTTCTGCACAGTAAAGGGAATGACCAGACTGAAGGGGCGGAGCACTGGCTTCATCACGTCCACGGGGCTGATGGGATCATCGGTGGCCTAAACCAGAGCAAGTGGGGGAGGGTTAGGGCCCTCATACTGGGATACGGTCCGATATACCACGGGATATCGATACCGGCCCGAAGAAATACCCTTTTTAATTGGTTAATGATGGAAATGCTCTAAGCTGAGCTGCTACATGAAGAGATGTTTACTGTAGTACAAAATATAATGAAATAAACACATAACACAATCATACTAAATTAATAAATCACCAAACGTTATAACAGAAATGAACAACAACGAAGTAAAAAATAAAGAAATGCATTACATAAAAATGAACAGATATACAAAAACTATGTAAATTAAATAATTATATCAATACAAATGATAATAACCATTAAAATAACTAGATATTTTATGTGTAAATAAGAAAGAATAGTTAATGATGAAAAGGCTCGACTTACTTCCAGAACATCCTAGTAGCACTGATCTGAGATCTGTTAGTCAGACAGGCAGATTTAACATGCAGCAGCCAGACAAGCAATCAATGAGTGAGTCTGGGTTGTTATTGACGGACTCAGTAATGGATACAGGGAAGAGGACAGTGGTACATGTCTAGACATACATAAATACATATAGTTAGATATCCATGTGTATATGGAGTAGATAGATAGTGTATACCCATGGAGGCGAGCAGCCCGTATAGGGAGTGAGGGGCTGGTGTAACTGAAGCTGTTCACAGGGCGCCTCTATTATTGGGACGGTATCAGTCGCCTAACGGGGGACAAGGTAGAACCTTTAGGGAGCGCACACACACCTTCGTGCACAGGCGCAGATTAACGATGCACTGGTTCCTGGACTTTTTCTACAACCGGGTCCTTTTTCTGAATCCCAATCTCTGGACCAAAAGGGAACCTTTTCTACACCTCGAATGACTCATGAAGAAGTCAACCGGGCCCGGGAGAAAGCTCAGGAACCATCGATCCGGTTTCTGGTGCTCACTCACCACCAGGTGAAAGGGGCTGTTGGGAATGTTCTCCCCCCCGAAGCGGATGGTGATGACGTACTTCCCAGGTTCTGGAGCCGTGTAGTAGATGTCGAAGGTTCCGTCGGCATTCTCCACCACGTTCACGTCCAGCTCCGCCCCATCCGGGGTCGACACCTTGCAGGTGACTTTACCTTTCCCAGCAGCCTTGGCGTCCACAGTGATGACAGTCTCCTCTCCGATCTGGATGGACGGGCCCATAACTGATCCTGACAAGATGGCCAACCAGAGTCTTAGAGCTGTACGCATTTAGCATCACTAAAATAAAGATAAACTACAGAAAAGTCACTCAATATGTAAAATAAACTAAACCAGATAAAATGTCTATAGACAAATAGAATGGAATAACAAATAGTTATAAAATACAAAATTAATAAAAAAATTAAATAAACAAAAAAGTAAAATTGAATCAAATGTATTAAATCCTTGAAAAAAGGCAAATAAAAACAACTAAATGAAGCTTAAATCAAAAATATATTGAATTCAGAACATAAAATAAGATTAGTAGCAAAACAAAGAAAATACAAATATTAATACAAAATTGACAAAATAATAGAAAAATAATAAACACAAAAGGTGAGAAGAATAAAATAATAATAATAATTAGAATTAAATAATAAGATTTAATAAAATATGTTTTACTGAGCTCACCCAGTCCGTGACCCCCAATCGACACTGTGGGACAAAAACAACACAGTTTCAGTTTCAGGCGATACAGTTGGCCGGCGGGGTGAGTGTTGGGCGGAGTCTGACCTGTGACCAGGCACTTGCTGGCGTCACCAGAGGGCGCGGCGTGGATGCGGTAGGGCGAGTAGGGGATCTCGTCCCCCCCGTACTTGATGGTGATGGTGTAGCGTCCCGCGGTGTCAGGGACGTAGGACACTGTATATGTCCCATCCCAGTTGTCCCGGATATTTGCCTTCTTGGGTTTTCCCTCCGGATCCTGCAGACAGGAAGTCAGAGGATATGTTAAAAAGTACTCTGAGGCACACCGACATCCTGCCGTGGAGTAAGGTACTGTCCAACAGTGGTCTACCACGGCAAAGAGACACGTCAACGTAATCTCTACTTCTGCTTCCTTTCTTTTGTATTGTTTTTTAAATGTTTAACTCAATAAAACGTGAGAACAATATAATTTATGAAACAACAACAGTTTAGTGTGTTTTAATAAAAACAACGTAAAATTCCAATTCCAAGCATCACTTGTAGACGTAATAAATGTGGTTCTCCTTTGATACCTGTGATCATCTTTCTACGGACAACCTTTGAGCCTTGGGCCATCAAACTATCAGCTTAGATTACTTGATTTTTTCTAAATAATAAAACTAGAAAATATTCAAAACCCTGGATGAGAAGGAAACAGTCAACATCTCTGCCAGGAAGTAGATTGCGAGCAGCTCCTGGTTCAGGTTAAGGAGGGAGGGACTTCCTGCACTGGAATGAACCCTGAATTCTAAAATATGACGGTTCAGTGACGCTCGATGGCTTGAGACCAGTGATGTTCACAGCACTCACAGGAGGAGACACAACCAACAGGAGCTAACCACTCTACTCGCAACGAGGAAGAGGAGGATGAAGAGGAAGAAGAGCAAGGAGAAGAAGAAAGGAGGAGGTAGAGGAGAGGGGGGAGGAGAAAAAATGAAAACCACATAAGTCTGTTAACTCATTACACATACTGATGGAGGCCAGTTAACATGGAGACCTGGCGGGGAGGAGGGGGGGTGGAGAGGGGAACATTCATGTCCTGTTGTAGGAACCAAGGAGGGAATATGGAAGGGAGGGGGTGAGATGAGGGGATGGAGGAGAGAGGGGTGAAGGCGGGTGACGGAGGACAGAGTCCAGGCCTTACACAGCCTCTCTTATGAATACTGAAGGGGATGGTTCTCTTTACAATGTGATTCTCCCACACCCTCCTGCCCCAGTCCTCCACAAACACTGAGGCCTCGCGTCCGCATCCGTCCGGACCCTGGGGTGTGGGGTGGGGGGGTGGGAAGATACAAGGGGAGTTTGGACAATAACAGTTCAGAATTCCGAGTATCCTCATAGACCCCAGTGGATTTTAGTACGCCCTAGTTGACCATAGCGGTCGTTAGCAGACCCACCTTAGACGATCCACTAACAGGCCATGGTAAGAGCTAGGACGTTTCATTTTAGGTTGAAGATTACAAGATCAGACTTCATATTTCCCTGTGAAAGTCGAGTTGGTCCGTCTTGGTGTAGATCAATGGAGACATCATAAAGGCCAAGTCCTGATCGGGACGGGCCTCTGGGACTCACCAGTATCTGGACTGTAAGCAGTCCCTCTCCGGCATCTCTGGCGTCGATGGTGAACTCCACCGGTAGACTGGCCGGGACCCCTAAGGTGTTCAGACCCGGGCCGCTGGCTCGGACTTTACTCGCATCGTGAGCCGGTAACGTCTTGATCTTAAAGGGACTGAGAGGAGACGTTAGAGGGGAGACCTGAACCAGTACGATCCTGACTTCTTCGTACGGGCGGGTGTGTCGGCACAGACCTACGAGGGACCTCCTGGTCGGCGTACTTCACGCACAGCGTGTACGGGCCGTCCTCAGCGGGGGTGTAGGTCACGGTGTGAGTTCCGTCTCTGCTGTCCGTGATGCTGATTGGCTCGGTCACACCTTAAAATGAGTTCACTCCATTTAGGCCCAAATCCTGCATCCCCTTAGAGAGTAACAGACCTTGCTAACTCTGTGAGGGTTAAGTTCTGTTCCATTTCCTAATAGTTGAGTGTTTGAGGCTCTCAAACATTTGAAGCCCTTTATGAACCTGAGGGATTGTGGGGAATTACCCACCAGTCATTGCAATGTGATCTTAAAAACGTGACAACTAGTGAAAGTATGGAGATGTTAAAAAAGATATACACATAGGACTCTCCGTACACGTGTGATCAGACTGTCATATTAAAATGTATTCATTTAAAACACATGATATAAGGATATTTACTAATTCATTCAGAAAATATTAAATCTCTGCATTGAAGCAATTCGGGCAAAAAACATACAAACAAACAATTATTTAAACAGACCTCTCATGCTATAACGTAAAAGCCTAAAGACGTTCAAATCAGAGAGTAAAAAGTATGGAATAATTCCCTCAATTGTAAATCCTATTTGTGAGGTCATGGTGACGTGACAAGTGTGGCCCCTTCATATTTACACCTTTTAAAGCCGTCATTGACCAGGTGAACTCAGTGAGCCCCTGAGGGGTCAGAGGTCAGGGGGGCACTGGGATTGGGCCTAAGGCTTTCAGACTTAAGCTAGAAAACCTGTTATACCTTGAAGAACAAGAGCAAATAAATGAAGAAGGAAAAGAAGAAAAATAAATAATATACATCTGGACCCACGTTTGGAAAAAGCAAATTACCGACTTCTGATGAATTCATATTTGTCAAACCAAACCCAGAAGGTGCAAGAAGACAAGAATGTCTTCACCTGTGGGCCCGTACAGCTGGACTTCCAGGGGGGCCACCCCGGCCCTACTGCAGTCCACCGTGAAGGTCTGAGGCACGTGGGCTCGGACTCCACTTCCCAGTCCGGGACCCGTGCACTTCACTTTACTGGGATCCACCAGCTCTCGCACTGGCACCCGGAATGGGCTTCCTGCAACACAAAGAGTTATGAGTCATCGTCAGAACCGGACGTGACCAGAACCCCCCCAGAGTCCCGGTTTGGACTGTCACCTGGAATAGGAAGGCCTCCAAAGGTGATGTTGACGTCGTAGTCTCCGGGGGTAAAGGGGATGTACTCCACACTGCAGCTTCCATCTTTGTTGTCCTTACAGGACATCTTCGCCTCAGACGGACCTTCAATGGCCAGCCCGAGACCTCCGGTGCCAGCACCTCTGAGTGAGGGATGTTTGAATGGAGTTAAAGGCAAAGGTCTGAAGATATTCAGAACTGTCTGATGGGTTAAGAGCCCGAGTAAAATCACCTGGTCTCCACGGTGAAGCGGTTTGGTTTGTTAACCAGACCTTCTTCCAGACCTTGACCGTAGGCTCGGACCCGACTGGGGTCACAACCCTCCGCCACCAAAACCCTGAACGGACTCTTCGGCACCGAGACATCATCGAACAAAATCTCAATCAGGTGTGGACCTGCAGAGCGACGAGTCAGACAGCATGGAAACAATAATCAGCTGGTTTGATCTAAATGAAGCAAATCATCGTGATCAAAACATGAGATTGTGAACACTGTGATTTGATCCTCACTTCTGAGGACTTTAGCTACATGTCATGTCTTGACCTGGTATCCAGCAGAGTCATGTAGATTAGAGATTTCTGGGATCAGCTAGAGTATGAACTTGAACAATATTCACTAAGGGAATACGTCCAGAGAGGAGTCATTTTCTCACAGACTTCTACAGTAGCAGAGGAGTCGTTCCCCGGTGGTCACTACAGAAAATGCAGCTTTAACTCATGAAACCCTGACCATCAAGTGATCAGATACAAACCGACAAGTTCATTAAGTTAAGATGAGTCTGACTGAAGACTCTACAGTGAAGAGTATTTCTGTCCCACAATGCACTGGGATCCAGTGTGTCTCACATTATAATCAGTGGAAAATCAACTGCTGCGAAAGACGGACTGCAGCTATTGATACCAACATCCGTTGGCGCCTCACCGTCCTCGTATGGAGTGTACTCCACCCGGTAGGTGCCGTCCCCCTTGTCGGTGACGTAGGCATCTGTGTTGATGCCCGACGGGTTGGAGATGGCGGCTTTGACCCGGCTGCCGCCGCTCTTGTGGTGCGCCCGGGCGTCCACCAGGAAGTGAGTGGTGACTTCCCTCAGAACGCCTGCAAAGGACCAACAAGCCATCATTTCAGCATCCGAGACATGGTTGTATCCCTCTGAGACTTCATGCACCAGCAACGCATTGAAGTTCATTGCATTGATCCAAATCACATGAAGAAGTAAATGTTGATAGTGTTCAACTTGTAGATGGATTTTGGAGAAACAACCTGCTGTTAAGCCTGATCTCTCATAACTTTATTAACAAAACTAACTAAGTTGATAAACCATGTTGAACATTAAAAGTGATCGGAGAACACATAGATGTAAAAGTAGTGTGTGGTTTTGTATCAGTTTTTCCATGTTTGTCGTCGTGGCGCAGGGGTAGAGCGGGTGCATTGGGAACTGCAAGATTGGTGGTTTGAGTCCCGGCTGTCCCATGTACCATGTCGAAGTGTCCCTGAGCAAGACACCTGTCCTCTAATTGCTCCCTGGGCAGGAATGTAATGTAAGTCGCTTTGGATAAAAGCGTCAGCTAAATGACCTGTAATGTAACGTAATGTTTTGCACCCACAATCTGCTTCAATAACTCATAATCCATAGACCAAAAGACATTTAATGAACATTAACATTAAATCTACTTACATAATATAATCGAGAGCTTTGAACATGAATGTACAAATCAATTTATCTCCAGCTTCCCAATCAAACTGCTGAATGAACTATATTAGTATAATCAAGATTTGTATTATTTGTTAACAAGATTGTAATTTCATAATCAACCTGAAGATAATGTAATCAAGTAAATTAACTCATAAAGGACTTGGATATAAGTTTATTTGAACCATTGAGAAGAATAAGAACCTTCACCAGCCTCACCTCTGGGTTCCACACCAGGACCGTGGACCTTCACCCCGCTGGTGTCCACGGCCGGGTCCACCTGGAGTCTGGCAGGGAACTTGTGCACTGTGAGTCCTCCGTACTTGACAGTGACGGTGTACATGCCGTGGACCTGCGGGATGTAGGTGACTGAGTAGGTCCCGTCATTGTTGTTCTGGACATGGACTTCCGCCTCCGCTCCGGAGTCTGAGATGATCTCCACGGTGAGTTCCGCGCTCCCGGCTTCAGTGCAGTCCACCGTGAAGCACCCGTCTTCGTAGACCTTACCCCGCTCCAGACCGGGCCCACTGGCCGTCACCTTGCTAGGATCAAACGCCGACTGGACCGCAGCCTTGAATGGCGAGCCGGGGACGTGCCGGTCTGCAAACAGGATGTTGATGGCATACTCGCCGGGCTCGGTGGGCAGGTAGGACACGGAGCAGGATCCGTCGCCGTTGTCCTGGCACTCGATCTTGGCCTCGCAAGGCCCCTCTACTGTCAGGCCCAGACCACCGGTGCCCGCTCCTTTGGTGTCGATGGCAAAGTGGGCCGGTTTACCCACAACGCCGCCCTGAAGACCTGGACCGTAGGCCCGGACCTGGGGAGGGAACGGGCCAACAGTTCCTAAGGTTTGGAGCTAGAAACATGGACGAACCGTTGACTCTGTAGATCTAATTACCGGGACAAAGATTTATCTGGTCCTAGAGTTGCTTACCAAGATCAAAAAAGGTTTCCCAGGTCTTAGAGATGTTCTAGAGCGGTTCACTAAGAACAGTATTATATGATGATATCCTATCTTAGTACAATTCTGAAGAACTATCTCACCTTGGAGGGGTCTGGCGGCATGATGCCCTCCACGCTGAACGGGCTCCCCGGTACCGGATTCTCGTCGTAGCTGATGTCCACTCTGTACTGCCCCTCCTCAAGAAGGATGTAATTCACCGTGTGCACCTCTCCAGCCAGGCTCGGCTCCAGCTTACAGGGGATTGCCTGCTGGGACGGGGAGGTGATCTTCACCTCCAGTCTTCCCTGACCTCCGACGTCTCTGGTGACAATGGTGAACTCCTCATCCTTCCCAACGTCCACCTCTTGGTGATCAGACACAGAGAGAAGGTGTAAAACCAACAGGGTATAGGCCAAACCAGGCCTGTTTTTTGACCTATGCTCCGAAAGTGGAATGACCAAAATAGTGTAATAACGACGATCTGTCTGGCTAGATAGAGAACCTCTGTGAGTGTTTTGATATGTGAAAATTAGTTTAAATCTTACGGGTGAGGAAATAAATCAATATAACAAATTAGAATTTTGAGATTCACCTGAAATCTGGCTTTAGCTTTGTATCTTTACTCTAATGTTTCGAACGGAGTGAAGCATTATATATTTGTTTGTGATGAGTACGCAATATTCCTGTTGGAAGTTGGTTCTGCTCGGTTAGTCTCCCATGTGGGAACCTCAAGGATCTAAACTAAAGCCCATTCTACCTGATGCTCCACACATTTACACTTCATATATTGTTCAGCCATATGTGAAATCACTGGTTACAAAATATTGTCTTCATGTCGCCATATGATACAAGTTGGACAGTTGAACCACTGGTTGAACTGGTTAAAGAATCAGGACAGTTTTTATTGTCTAAATATAAAACTATCTGTGCTCATTCATGGGCTGTCTGTTATCTGTTAATACTGTTGAGAACACCAAATATCTGAGAGGAGGGATATGAAACAACAAAGCGATGAGTTCAGGGTCAATTAATCAAGGGATTAAGTACAGAGAGCGACCTAAGAACTGACCGTGAACCAGTCCTCAGCTCTTAGTAACGGTTTGGACCTACTCACTGTTGTTCAGACCCTGAACCTTAACCCTGCTGAGGTCCAGCGGGGGGGCCACGCTGATGTCGAAGGGGCTTTTGGGGATGGGGTCTCCCCCATGACACACGGTGACGGAGGTGATGCCCTGTGGACGGAGAGAGACAGACCGAGGTGAGCTCAGGATTGCGGGTTGGACCGCAGACCCAACGAGACCAAACACCGAGCCGTAGGTCCTCACCTGCTGCACGGCAGTGTAGCGGACGGTGTACGAGTAGTCGTGGTTGTCGATAATCTCGAAGTCTCTGACAGCTTCCCCCTTTGCCGCCCTGGTGAAACAAACCTTGGGTTTGGCTTTGCCGGCTCCCTTCGTGTAAATGGTGAAGTGGGTCGGTTTCCCCACTTCAACTCCTACAAGGGGAATAAAGAAATTAAGGTTTTTTAATGTATTCAGAACTATTTTCACTTTAGTAAAGACTGAGTAAAGAGGTGAACACATCTGTTGTCCACTGAGTCCGGCGCACAAACTGATGTTGTTGGTCCACTCTACATCGTATTTTCTGTATCTACGAACACACAATTGCACCTGAAGCTGGCTCACCTGTCCTGAGGAGTCCAGGCCCTTCTGCTGTGACTTTAGCTGCATCGTGGGACGGATCCACCTTTATTCTGAAAGGGCTGATGGGGATTTCCTGCCAAGGCATTGAAAACCAGAGGTTAGTATCCCTGTCTTGAGTCAAAGTGAAAAGGCTCGGGGGTCCTGTGTCACTCACCTGATCGGCAAACAGCACCATGATGGTGTACTGGCCGGGGCCTGGGGGCGTGTACTTCACTGTGAACGTGTCGTTGTCGTTCTTGATGATGTCAAAGTCAATGTCAGCCTCCACGGGGCCGACCACGCCCGGAGCGCACTTGATCCCGATGCTGACGTCGCCTGAGGGCAACAACGTTCAGGTCAACTTCAGGAGCAACAAGTGAGGTAAAACGAGAAGGAATCAGGGACATGAACCCACCCTGTCCGGCCTCGCTGCAGTCCACAGTGAAGTACGTGGGCTCATTGGCCTTCAGTCCTGTCTTTTCCACGCCAGGACCATATACCTTCACCTTTTCTGGGTGGCTGCCTTCTCCGATCATCACCTGGTTCACAGGAAAACATTTAGACCAGCTGAACGCCCTCCTTCCAACTTACTACTCACTACTCCCAGTATTCTAGCTCTCATCCTTCATCGTTTGTCTCTTCACATCATTCATTTGTTCTTCTTAGGAAGGCCTGAAAGGAGGGCTGGGCCCTGTTCCTCGTATATGGCTAACGGAGTTAGCCGGATCATTTTCGGGATAAGATGACGTATCAGGCTTTTTGGTTCCGCGAAGCAACTTTGGCAAAATCATTATAACAGCATATCCATAAACTGGAACCTGCTCCGGCGCAGGTTCATTTAAGCTGCTGGATTAGTTCATCACTCCCCCGGAACAAAGGGCAGCTCTCTTCTTCATTGATGAAGGAGCGACATCAGTTAGATTCACGTTTTATACCACGGGAGTTCTCACAAATATCTGTTATGACATCACGATGACTTTCTGTACGAGCGGCATCGATGTTTCATTTACAAGAAGATCTTCTGGAGCCGTAACGTTATGAGATGAACACCACACGCTGCAGCCGAGCAACTGAATGGTTCTCACACTGTACATTTTGGTACAGTGTCGGCGATGCGGTGAACATTGGAAAAGCCGCTGCATCTTCGTAAAGTTTGTTTTGCATTCTGATGTTCCATGTTTCACTGCTTGATCGAATTTCTGATTATAAATAATATACACATCCGTCTATACACAGATTCAAATATACATATTATGGCCTTGAAGTCCTCATATGTGTTGGTGAACATGTGCTGCTCGTCTTCCTTTGAGAAAAAAGTCAGATGCAGCCCGCTACCAAAAGGCCCAGTGGTTGATTTAAACCATGAAACAAAGAAAAGTTATTTTATATTATATAAAATTATATCATTATAATTATTAGATTAGTTATTAGATTGGCCCGTCGGCCCTGAAGCGAGCGGCAATTTACCCTGAAGGGGCTGCTTGGCGCGTTGATGTCCCCCCAGGTGATGATGACTGTGTGCTTGATGGGTTTGGTGGGAACGTAGACGCAGAAGAAGCTGCTGTCTCCCTTTTCTGTGATCTGGACATTGATGGGGAAACCTTCTGCATCCTAAGAGGAGACAACACACTGATATGAGATCATCAAAAAATCAGAAGCGCAGACAGAGTACTTTTAAGGCCGGCGTCTGCATCCGCGTCGTTGCGTTGACGCACTGGTTTCACTTCCTGGTTGTAAAGTCTCGCGTGTGTTGCAGAGCGATTCACCTCCAGAACAACAGGTGGAGTCACGTGTTTTGTTGAAGACGACCTGGAGAGTCACGTCTATTTATTTGTTTGTTTATTTATTTATCATAGACTTTATTGCCCCGTGCATCCACACTGCTGCTCTTCATCACGGACACATTTGTCCCGTATTTTCCTCCACGACCGGCAAACTGCCGTCTGCGGCGATCTCCCTCCGTGAATCCAACCCGCTTCTAAACCCGCCAATGGCGGCTTGTAGAAGCGCTCATATTTACGCATTTCTTCCGACAAAAGTTCTTCAATCTGATCCGTTCTCTCGTAAACATTCATTGTTTTAATAATGGCCGTATCGGGCTATGAAAGCGGAGACGTGAGACTCCGTAAAGGACGTAGTTAGCGGACCGATCGCAGCCTGGTGCTGCAGGAGGCTGCGTCGCTTGCGTCGCTTTCGACCCAAGCGACGCAAGCCTAGAAAAATGTGTCGACACACGCAAGGACGCAAGGAGGTGTGAAAAGCGACGCAAGGGACACGCAAGGGGGGCTTGCGTCTGCGTCGCTCTGGAAAGGCAGAAGCATCAATCAGGCTTTCCTTGTGACCCGCTCACCTGGGCGTAGAGCTTCAGCTCCCCTCGGCCGGCTCCCCGGGTGTCGATGGTGAAGTCGACGGGTTTGTTGACGATGCAGCCGAACGGCTCCAGACCTGGACCGTAGCACCTCACCTGAGGACGACATGCGACAACAATACATCAGGTGAGGCGGTAAAAACCTTCTGAAAGAATCTGAGACTCATCTGAGGATCTGATCTCACTTTCTCTGGGAGGAGGTCGCTGGCGGCTGGGAGAACGCAGGCCATGAAGGGGCTGTCCTTGATGTCCTCATCGTCACAGATCACGTGCACCGCGTAGTCGCCCGCCTCCGTTGGCCAGTAGCGGACGTCACATGATCCGTCTCCTTTGTCGTCGCACTCAATCTTGGCCTGGGACGGCCCCTCGATGGAGAAACCTGCGGCCGGGGAGAGGTGGGGGTTTGAGCGCTTCACCTATTCTGCATATTTAGATATATTTACATCAACATCTTTTGCTGTTGTGAATGTTAATCATACATTTTGGAATCCAACCCCTAGTTGTTGACATTCTTTATGTGTTTATGTCTCTGGACCAGCCCCTTTTTTAAGGCCCCTCCCCAACCACCTGTCAGTCATGTCGAGTGGCATGTGACCGTTTCTCATTGTTCCTTTGTGTTGTTGCCGACGTACCAAGCGTTCCCACCTCCGTGCCAATGGCCTCCACCACAAAGTCGGCGCTCTTCCCCACCACACCGGTCTCCAGACCTGGACCCCAGGCCCTCACCTTCTGAGAGCCCGCCTCCTCGCTCACCTGGACCTCAAACGGGCTGAAAACACACGACCCCATACAGAAGGACTGAAATAAATAAACATATCCTTATGCTACATTCAAACGGTTAAACTGAAAGTACTGGAATATAAATATACAATAATTACAACAAAACAACAGGAAGTTCGCACAGAGAAGCTTATCTAGACTAAGAGAAAACGTACTTCATTTGCAGCTTATAGAAATTCTTGATAAGACCATGTTTTTTTATGTTAAACTTGTTTTACATCTTTATCCAACTATCTTTGTCGGAGCATCTGGAGTCCATTATACTTCTGTGCTAACACGACAATATTTAGTTGTGAAGGAGGTCAAAGGACAGGAAAAACAAAGAGGACATGGTTCCATGTGATGGGTTTGGTTCTCCGTCCTGGAGGAACTCCCCCCGGTGTGACAACCATCAGATCAGTTGACCGTCTCACCTTCGTGGGACGGCGTGTCCTCCCCAAGCAATGGTCACTTCGTACTTCCCCGTCAGGACGGGGTAATAGTTGCACTCGAAGGTCCCGTTGTTCACCTCCACAACCTTCACGGGTTCCTCCAGGCCCTCTGTGATCAGAACAGAGACATCAGTGCCACTCTGAGTGACGGAGCAATGTCAAAGTAGAGGTCGTGGGGTCTCACTTGGTCCCTTCACAGAGACGCAGAGCTCTCCGCTGCCGGCTCCTTTGGTGTGGACCTTGAAGTCGGCCACCTCCTTCACCCTCAGGCCCTTCGGCTGTAGACCTCGGCCCGTTGCCCGGCAGGCGTTCGGGTTGCAGGCTGCGAATACAAATCACAAGCGGGGGACAGGTGACGTCAGGGTGATCGTGAAGCACACATTGATTACACTAAAACACAACTATGACCATGGTAACTAATCAGAAACCACAAGTTACGAATCTTGTGCACATTCATTATTCATTTTTCTCCAAAAAGTACAAAAACCTAAATCCTGCTCCTGATTTATTCAATTATTACTACGGGGGTCAAAGTTAACAGGTTAATCTATGCGATTAGTGTGGCTGATGTGGTTGACCCCCGGAAACCAAACCGCCGCTTGCTGCTGTCAGTTGGATCGAGACGGCAGCTGAAGATGGAGAGAACTTTTTGCATTGGAAGAAAAGCAGCAGAGAACTGTGCAGAGGAACTCCTCCACATGTCAAACAGAAGGGGGACAAACAGGCTGAGCTAGCTGCTAGGATACTTCCATCTCACCATCTACCCTGCAGAGGACCACCACTGTGTCCCTAGAAGACAGTAGTTTGTAAAGGTCCTGCTAAATGTGGGACATGTTGGGACTTCAAACAGTTGAGTTGAGAGCAAAGCGCACAAGGACAACAGGAAGAGTCGTAGTTCAACACGTTCCAACCGGTTTAATTCTCCCTTGGAAATATCAAATGTTTACAGTTTTGTGTTCATTTCATGCAGGATGTAACATTTGAATCTGTTGACCTAATTAATATTCTTTAGCTGAAACAGATCATTGTTTTTGACAATTTTACACATGTTTTCACAACTTTTTCTCAGATGTAAAGTTGAGGAAGTGAGTAAAAGAAGTTTGTTATCTTGTTTTTCTTGCGTTTATAAGCACTTATTAAATAGATAGCTAAATGAATATGAAAATATGAAAATCTTTTAGAGATTTCTGTCCTAAATACAACTCAACTAGATTGATTCCTTAACAGTCAAAGAGGGGACTTATAAAGCAACTGACTAAGTCCTTAGTCACAACAACAATAATGATGTCGAATATGAAGACAAAATAAACACACACACAATTCATGTGTTAGTCAGCTGATCGGCGCCAAGAGAAGCTGAAAGGGAAAGCAGCAAAAAGAAAAGAGTTATGATGGGGCTGAAGGAGAAGACAAGGGAACATAGGAATATACATATATATGAATATGAATACATATAAATATATCAAACAAAACAGTATTAAAATGCTCAGATTCACTATGAAGATTATTCAGAAAAAAGCTCTTTTTTGTGCAAAATAAAATGCAGAAAAGTGTGGATAGGAAACTGAGATCTGATGATGATGTTCTAATGTTCTAATCTCTAAACTTATAATTATATTATATCCACAGTAGATATGCCGGTCGAGAGGAACAAACAAATTATATTATAAGTGTGTTTCTCCACGACCATAAATGCTGTTTTATTAAAGTTTAGAACGCAGAAATTTACATTTTGCATTTTCTGTATATACAGAGCAAGAAGCCAGATCTACTGTATCTATCATCTATGTACTGTGGATCTATCTATCCATCTATCCACCCATCCATCCATCTATCCACTGTATCTATCCACCCATCCATCCATCTATCCACTGTATCTATCTATACATCCATCCATCTATCCACTGTATCTATCTATACATCCATCCATCTATCCACTGTATCTATCTATACATCCATCCATCTATCCACTGTATCTATCCACCCATCCAGCCATCCATCTATCCACTGTATCTATCTATCCATCCATCCATCTATCCACTGTATCTATCCACCCATCCATCCATCTATCCACTGTATCCATCTATCCATCCATCCAGCCATCCATCTATCCACTGTATCTATCTATCCAGCCATCCATCTATCCACTGTATCTATCCACCCATCCATCCATCTATCCACTGTATCCATCTATCCACCCATCCATCCATCCATCTATCCACTGTATCTATCTATCCAGCCATCCATCTATCCACTGTATCTATCTATACATCTATCCATCTATCCACTGTATCTATCTATCCATCCATCCATCTATCCACTGTATCTATCTATACATCTATCCATCTAGCTACTGTGTCTATCTATACATCCATCCATCCATTTATCTACTGTCAGTATCGATCATCTGTCTTTATCTAGCCATCTATCTAACCCTCACTCCCTCTATAACTGAATATTTATTGCATACTAAACTCGTGAGCTTCGTTTTGAAGGACAATTTGTGTGTCCCTGATCCGATTGTGATGGATGAAGATGTAAAACACACAGAGAATAATCAAAAGTATGAAATCCTCATCACGATTCACTCCTTCTCTGTAGAAGAAGAAAAAGAAGCAGAAGAACAAGAAGAAGCAGGTGCTGCGCATGCTGTGAAGCTGGGAGACCCTGGGAGAGGGCCAGCAAACCAGGCGAGCGCAGAAACACCCCCCCACCACAGCCTGTACTAACTTGGTCGTCTGGGTTTGGGCGGTGTCGGAGGGGGGGCTCTCCTGGTCTTTTCTGAGGGTTGAGGTATATTTTCCCCCGGAGACCCGGAAGGGGGGTCATTTTGTGAAACTGAAGGAGGGAACAACAGTGATGGTACCCATGTAGAGGGGGGGGGGGGGGGCAGAGAACCCTAGTCTGCCAGCCAGTCGACAAGCAGACCCGTAGACCAGCAAGCAGAGATGGGACCAAATCTGGTTTGGCAAGTCCAAAGTCGCTAACACCAATGGAGTTCAAGACAAACGAGATCTGGTCTGAAGTGAAGACAGCGAGTAAAGTCATAACCCTTCAAGTCAAGTCATAATCCAGACTGTGAGGTCAAGAACCAGGTCCAAAGATCTGAATGGAGCCAGTAAGATCCTGGGATCCTAGTCCTAGGTTGAGTTGTTACCCGAGTCAGGACAGTTTCATCGTCTGAAGTCTGTCAGAAAATGGATCGTGGGTCAAAGATGGACGTGTCTCAGGTCAGGGTTCCATCTCAGGTTGAGACGGGCAGAGAACCCAAGTGAATCTCAAGCCCTGAATCAAATCCAAGTCCTTTCAGACAAGGTCTTACACTAAAGAAAAGCCAAGTCCATGTTCTGCAGACTATCAGAGCACCGAACACAGCGGCCTAAAACCAAGACGGCACAGCTTCATTCACGTAAAACTCAGCCAGCTCCAACAATCCCACTGCACTTGGAGACCAACTCAGCCGTTACATTTCAGTCTTTTAATCAGATATTTTAGACACAAGATCCGGATTAATTTATATCAAGTGGTGATGGGTGATGAACCCTACCCTCTGAGATGTGGACGGTGAAAGGGCTTCTGGGAATCTGGTGCCTGGCAAAGGACACGTAGACGGTGTGAGGTCCCTCCAGGACAGGTACGTAGGTGCAACGAAAAATACTGTCCCCTTTGTTCTCCAGCACAATCTCCACCGTGTCCCTCCGGGCGTTCGAGTCCACCACCACGACGCCCACGTCTCCGGCGCCGGCCCCTAGAGGAGAGGCGGATGGACAAGAGGCCTTTTTCATCAGACAAATGGAGCCCGAGAGTCACAAAAGATGCAGAAGAGGACTCATGCGTACCTGCTGTGTAGATATCAAAGTAAGTGGGTTTGTTGGCCACGTTTCCTGCCAGCTGAAGACCCGGTCCGCGGGCCTGGACTCTACTCGGGTCGCCCATTGCCTTGGAGACATTCACAGTGAAGGGACTCCTCTCGATGTTCTGCCCGGCAAACAGCACCTTCACCTGGGGACGAGTTGGGTTCCGTTACCTCGGTGGAATGACACGGTGCTTCTGGAGAAAGGTTAAGACCGATTCTATTAAGCGGTAGAAGAAGAAGCGGTTCACTTTAGGACCCATTTAACGGAGGAGCCCAGTGTGCAGACTGCAGGGTGGAACATAACTGCACACAGATCTTCTCGGAACAGAGCAGAACTCTAATCACCAGACAGTAGAGGACCATCAGTTATCAGTGATATCCACCTGGTGCTTTTGGGAGTTTCTTATGAAGTCGGATATGAGGAATCTTCACACTCAAAAAGATCTTACTGATTGAAACTTAAAATAAGAAGAAAATAAATAAACTACTTTAATGTCACAAACTCATTCTGGTCCAGAACCCGACGACTTCCGATTAATAGTAATATGTTAATATCTTTCTATGTATCTTCTAACCTCCATGGGAACCAACCATTTGGACTCTTCACGCGGTAAAGCAGTAAATACAAGTAATAGAACAATGTTCTCTCGGTTGGGAACTAAGCCAGGAGCAGGATCAGGAACCTCAAACTTTCCGGTTTGTGACTCCATGACTAGTGAGAACTACCTGCACACATCACATGACCAGCCTCTCTTATCACAGTGTCTTGTCCCATGTTTGAAGACCTACTTTATGAAGCCCCTCCACCTTAGGCAGGTACAACACCGAGTAGCTTCGGCTCTGGTCGTTGTTGGGGATCACTCGGGCCTGATGGACAGAGAAGCAAAAGAACCCTCAACTGCGTTTCCCTTTGTGTGCGTTTACCAAAGAGGACGTGTTCCCACCTCCTCCGTGTGGCCCTCTGAATCCTCCACGTAGACCAGGACCTCACCCAGTCCGGCCTCGACCGTCTCCACCAGGAACTCAGCGGGTTTAAGGACCATGTTCCCTTGAGGCTCCAGACCTGAGACACATGAGAGGAGGTTGAAAGAAGAACCTGCTGATTCCAACAAGTTTACCATGAGTAGAACCTACTGGTTCCAATAAGGCTGATGAAGACCAGATACTTAATGAGTTCAAGTCCCCCACATCCCTGGACTTGGTTGAACTAAAATTATTATTCTAGCTTCTTAAAATGATGCAAATCTATTTACATTTTCCAGAAAAGCAACTGAACTAGTAATTACAGAAAGCAATTCTTAATTCATGAATCCATTGTTTCTGTGAGAAAAGCCCATAAAACAATGAATCAATTATGTATGACAATCAACCAATTCCTATTTGGATTTATTCTTTGATCTTCTCTACCGTAACATCCAGTAATAAATTGTGCAGACGTGGGACTTTGTGGAGGCGGACTCGTGTCCCCTAATATTCTGGACCATGGGGCCAAGGGTTCCTCACCCGGTCCGTAGGCCTTGGCCCTCTTTGGGTGCAGCGTCTTGGCCCTCAATGGCGCACCAGGCTTCAGCTTAGATTTGGGAAACTGGGACAGGTAGGTCATCACCGAGTGTTCGTCCACGTTGGGATCCACAATCTCCTCTGGAGCAATGACCTGCAGAACCACGGGCCGGGGGGGGGGGGCACACGTGAGGAGACAACCGATGGAGCTAGTTTATTCTGAATATTATGTTATCATGTTGATGCTCAGATATGTTCTGCTGTTTTTTCTTCATCATCTCTTGATATTCTTGAATAGAAGAGAAGTGAGGACAGAGCCTTGATGAACCCCATTTAGTTCATACAAACTGGAGGTTTGTTAGCGAAACGGTCTCATTTGGAATGATACCTAAAATCACTGTTTTTTCCAAGTTAACAGTTATCTGAATGTACTGTGTATTCTTGTCATCAACGTTTGAGGAGTAGGGAGAATTATTTAGTTTTCTAAATAATTAAAGTTTGAGTAAATTGGTGACCTCACATTTGTGGGTGTGTCTTATGTGAGTGTGTCACCGGTGATAAAGGGTCAGTGACAGGTAGACGTTACCTGTGGAACTCCGAGCCAGTCATCAGCCTGCTGCATGGCCTCTCTGGCATTCTCCACCGGCTGACTGGGATCCCACGTTTCCCAGTCAGGACACAGACCTGAAGGCATCACAACAAACGCTTTTATTATTATCATCATCATTATTAGTCCTCATTTAGATAAGAAAAAAAGTAATATATATAATACATATACACCCATTCAATTACATGTCCACTACTTATTATCACACTTCAATGTCTGCTTCTAAACTTAAATCAATGCTTCATGATTCTGATTTATCAATAGTTAATGTCTCTTATATTCTCTGATTAATCAATGATTTATGTGTCTTACATTCTCCTATTCATCAGTGATTGTGTCTTCTATTCTCATATTACTCAATAGTTATTGTGTCTCCTGCTTTAGGACTAACTAAGGACAATTGTGTCTTCTATTCTTATGAATCAATGATTATTGTGTCTCCTGCTCCCTGACTAATTGATGGTTGATCAATCGTCCTCGATGGGGGACCTACCGGGAGCACAGTTGTCCACCAGTGCCCCGAGTGCCTTGCCGTCCCTCCAGTCCCGGTGGAAGTTGGTGATGGGGAGCTGGGGCATCTTGTTCTGGATCCAGCCCAGCAGGCGCTGCTTGGGGGTCAGCTTCTTGGCGTCCTCGTCGTCCTCGTCCTCCCACACGGGCATTGAGATGGAGTAGTGCAGAATCAGGGTCCAGATCAGACCCAGGATCAGCTTCAAGTTCCCGTCCACGATGGCTTTGGAGTCTGAGAGACGGGGGGTGGTTTAAATTCTCTGTAACATGTCATGACTCGGAAAGGCTGTTGCCACGGTTACTAACAGCTTGCTTCACAAACTCATCTGGTTGTATTGTAATCAAACACAGAACCAACAGCCAATGAGAAGCCGGTAATCTGCTGTCACGTCTGCTCGCCAAAATAAAAGCTCACTGCGTCGCATTATAATCTTCCCGCCATCAGGAAGACGCTTCAACAGCCGAGGGGAGATCTGCTCAGGATGATGTCATCTGAGGAATGAGGTCACTTTAAATTAGAAACACATGCACACACACACACACACACGCACACACACACACACACGCACACACCTAAAACAAAGCGCTGGACAGAACTACATCGCCCCTTTTCTCTGCTTTGAACGGATAAATGAGAGGCTTTCGTTACCCTGTTAGGAACCTTAAAGGGTTCAATTAGGAAATGCAGTTGATTATAAATCGTCTAAGAGTCTGACGAAGATCAATAATTCAAAGAAATGTATTCATCTAACATTCTTCTGACGGAACTTCATCTCATGAATAAACCTCCCGTTAAACAGTGTTAAGTCGGAGCGTCATGTATTAAAGCTGCATTCTGTGTAGTGACCAGCAGGGGGCCACTCCTCTGCTCCCATAGACGTCTATGAGGAAATGACTCTACTTCTCTGTAGTGACCAGCAGGGGGCGTCTCCTCTGCTCCCATAGACGTCTATGAGGAAATGACTCTACTTCTCTGTAGTGACCAGCAGGGGGCGACTCCTCTGCTCCCATAGACGTCTATGAGGAAATGACTCTACTTCTCTGTAGTGACCAGCAGGGGGCGACTCCTCTGCTCCCATAGACGTCTATGAGGAAATGACTCTACTTCTCTGTAGTGACCAGCAGGGGGCGACTCCTCTGCTCCCATAGACGTCTATGAGGAAATGACTCTACTTCTCTGTAGTGACCAGCAGGGGGCGACTCCTCTGCTCCCATAGACGTCTATGAGGAAATGACTCTACTTCTCTGTAGTGACCAGCAGGGGGCGACTCCTCTGCTCCCATAGACGTCGATGAGGAAATGACTCTACTTCTCTGTAGTGACCAGCAGGGGGCGACTCCTCTGCTCCCATAGACGTCTATGAGGAAATGACTCTACTTCTCTGTAGTGACCAGCAGGGGGCGACTCCTCTGCTCCCATAGACGTCTATGAGGAAATGACTCTACTTCTCTGTAGTGACCAGCAGGGGGCGACTCCTCTGCTCCCATAGACGTCTATGAGGAAATGACTCTACTTCTCTCTGGATTTATTCCCTCAGTAAACATTGTAAACATGAGTTTATGGTCTCAGTCTCTAGTTTCAAGTGTTCTAACACAGCATGATGTTCATTTAGTGAATGATGGTCCATTTAGAGTAAAACAGACCATAAAGCAGGGGACGCTTTAGGGCGGGGCTACACGCTGATTGACAGGTCTTTAACAGACAATGAAGCAGGGAGTTAGTGTGTGTGCGTGTGTGTCTGACATCATACTTTCCTTCAGTATATCAGTGTTATTCGGACAGGAAGTGATGTGTTGGGAGCGACGCTGAAATCTCTACTGAAGCTTTTATTTATTCAGGTAGAACACGTGATGTTTTCCACTGCCAGAGGTCATTTGGAGTTCAGAAGTACTTTGATATAGATGGAAGTATTTATTTCTTCTGCTAGTTTCTAACAAACATTGTACTGTTCTAAATGAATCTTCTGTAGATTTAGATCATGATCTAATAAAACCATTAGTGATGATATAATTATTAGCTGAACATAAAGTCATTTTGATGAGCTCACCTTCTGAACACATGATGGAGAAATAACAACAACAACAGGTCCCTTCGTCATAAAGACAGAGCACCGGTTGCCAACACAGAGACAAAGATTATAATTAGAAACGGTGTCAAATCACATTCAGACGGAATTCTGCAGGGAAATGATGACACAAGAAAACATTATATATATATATAAATATTCATCAAAGTCGGCCCGAACCTGTAATGAGTTTGACCCCCTGGTCTAGTGGTTCCTATGCTAGAGGAGCTACATAGGGAAGCATTGAAGCGCCTTTCTTTGGCATTAAAGAGCAGCTGTGATTGATGATGACATCCTCAGAGCTCAGACTCAAGCGTCAGTTTGCATACAGACAATCACTAGGTTACAGGTGGGAGGGGTCAGTCTTGGGTCACCCAATGAAAGCCTTTGGGGGCGGGCCAAAGACGGAGACAGAAACATGGAGGTAGAGGACATTTTCCTTTTAAATCTCTTCAAGTTATTGATAAGCTGAGTAAAAGTGTGTGTTCGTTCTTTATGATCAGAGATTATTGATCCATAAGTACTTAGATATTATGTAACTTATTGTTCTGTAACAATCTAAGTAAAGCATAGATGCCCTGGAAGTGGCAAATAGCAACATTCTAAATGTCTTTACCTGAATACTGTTAGAGATCCTTGTTCATGTAAGTAAATACACTACTTTTGAATTCATTATTGAATTCTGTGCATTACAATGTGTTTAATCGGGTTTAAACATTGTAATTGTTGCTTGGTTGGTTGAGTTGTGTTATAACATGAATGTGTAGCTGTGACACGTTTGTACTGCAGTGAAGTACAAGTACAACGTGGTACAATAGTTGTGTGTTGAGCCCCCAGCTGCTGGTTGAGATGCTTCAGAGCAACTGTGATGACAGCTGATACACACACACACACACACACACAGACACACACAGACACACACACACACACACACACACACACACACACAGACACACACACACACACACACAGACACACACACACACACACACACACACACAGACACACACACACACACACACAAACACACACACAGACACACAGACACACACACACACACAGACACACACACACACAGACACACACACACACACACACACACACACACAGACACACACACACACACACACACACACACACACACACAGACACACACACACACACACACACACACACACACACACACACACACACACACACACACACACACACACACACACACACACACACACACACACACACACACACACACACACACACACACACACACACACACACACACACACACACACACACACACACACACACACACACACACACAGACACACACACACACACACACAGACACACACACAGACACACACACACAGGCAGCATTGATGAGGAAGAGGAGGCGTGTTGTTCGGAGCAGCCGTGTGACGCTCAGCTGCTTCAGCCGAACTCCACGGGAACAAAACAGGATTCAAGAGAAGAAGTTCTGACCCGGTGATGTCACAGTGACATCATCGACCCGGAGACTCAAAGTGCGTGACGTATATATACTAAAGTGACAAGGGTCCGCTCGCTGTGTTCCTTCCGGTTGTCATGGAGACCGACTGTAGGTGTGATGTCACCCTGCGGCTGAAGACTATGACGCCAATGAAAGCATCAATGTGCTTCTGGTTCCTGACAGTAAGCGGACTCTCAGGGTTCAGGTTCTGGGGTTCTGGGGGTAGTTGGACACATCTGTCATTCTGTAATTTTACCTTCTGAAATGTGGATATTTATTTGAGTTTAGGTTCTGTTGATTGGAGCAAAACGGAATCAATAACAACGATGTTAATGCATTTATTTTATATTATATCATAATAACGATGATGTCATACTTTTCTTTTTGAGTCTGCAGTTTGGTTTTTAATGTAACTGTTGAGGTGAAGCTTTAATAAAAAGGTTCAATGATCCAAACAGTGTGTTTAGTACAGCGGGGACGGGGGGGACGGGGGGGGGCACATTCCTTGAGTGCTGACTGGCACATGGAAACCATTACAGACTGGGAGAGACCACGAGCGCAGAGAGGGAACGATTGGTGCTACCTCCACCCAGCAGAACCTATGTAGAACCCCACACACGACCATCACGCAAGAACCTATGTAGAACCCACACACAACCATCACGCAGAACCTATGTAGAACCCACACACGACCATCACGCAGAACCTATGTAGAACCCACACACAACCATCACGCAGAACCTACGTAGAACCCACACACGACCATCACGCAGAACCTATGTAGAACCCACACACAACCAACACACAACCAATACACAACCCGCACAGAACCTACGGAGATTAAAGAAAACGATGTGGATGGTATCAACTATTTGAGTGTGACCCGGTTCTGACTCGCTCTGTGTTTTATCTGGAGGATCTGGACTGGAGTGGATCTGGTTCTTGGTTTCCACTCTGGGTCTATTTTCAGCAGCTGTCGGTGGAAGCAGAGCTCAGCTGTCCTCATCAATCAGCCCCCCCACTTCATGTTTCCTCCCCATGGAACGTTTGTAGAACCACAGATGACAAACCGGGTTTGGGATTGAAGACACTTCCTGCTTTTCTTCATTAGAAGACAGATTGTTGACAGCCTTAAAAAAAGACACTTATTTGGTTTTCTAAAAACTTTATGCTCTTTATGCTTCCACTAACTTAACACTTAAACATCCTTTCCGCTTCCTTTTCCTCAGACACTGCCCCCCCCCCCCCACCCCCTCTTCTTTTAGCACTTCCTGCTCCCTTGAACACAATTTCTCCCAAAAAAGGTCTGCCTTACTTCTTGTTTCCATAATCTCACTTCTACAAATGGGCCCCCTTCTGTATCCTCTCTCCTTCATCCTCATGGACATCTTCGTAAACCTTGACTCCCCACAGATGTGGACACGTGACTGTTCACGGGGGTAAACAGCTGTGTGAGCAGGTAACAAGTAGATTTTGAGGTCATGGAAGGGTTTGCATGTATAGGTTTTACCCTCTACACATTTATTTACGGCTCAGCGAAGCTCAGTCATCGTTATTCGCTTATATGGGGGATTTTAAGCAGCAGTTGAAGATCTCTTTGTGTTTCTATGAACTCATGACAATAATAAAAACCTTCTTCCTCATCTTCATCCTCGCAGCCTGACCTCCGTGCGTCACTCCCCGCTCACGCGCGGTGTTAAAAGTGTGCGTAAAAGTGTCCATGCGCGCGGTGCCGCCTCACTCACCGATGGACACCAGCCGGATGTGCTCCCTCTCCAGGAACTCCAGAGCCACGGAGACGTTCTCCAGCTTCATCTGCCTGAAGTTGGGTCTGGAGTGATACTTCCGGTACATCTTCTTTTGACTCAGCACCTCCAGCAGCCCGATGAGCTTCAGCCCGTCGCTCAGGTCCTTCTGCAGGTCGTTGATCCGCTTGTTGACGACCTTCAGGTGCTCGTTGCACCACCTGGTGAAGGTGTTCTGCTGGATCTTCTTCCACGGGGCGTCCTCGGCCAGGTCTTTCTCCGTGGCCGGCATCTCCTCCTCCTCCTCGTCACCGAGGTCCGCGCAGCTCTGGAAGAACTGCGGCTCCAAGTAGCCGCTGTTGCTCATCATGTTGCACCTGAAGGTCGTCAACCCGTCGCGTTAACAGGCGGGTGGACCCAGAAGATCAGGCAGCAAAGGAGAGAAGAGGAAGAGGAAGAGGAGCGGTGCGAGCGGCGCGCCGCCTGCTGGGAGTTGCGCGTGCGCTCCGGTTCAGAGAGCAGATCCAGAGTCCGTTAGTCCTCCAGGAGTCATAAACAGTGAAGGACGGAACCAAAAGCACGAGGAGAACCTCACGAGACGCGATCCTCCTCCGACTCACTCGCTCCTGAGTCCGGGTCAAGACGCGCGGGCGGCGGCCTGCGGAGAGTCGGACTGCGGGTCGAGGCGAAGCCGAGCAGAGGTTTAAAAAGCTCGGCGTCACTCTGCCGGACTCCCAGGAATGCCCCCCGCCCCCCAGGGCCACATGCAAGCACAGCCGGGCACCCTGGTCCACGGCTCATTGGGCGCTGGAGGGACAGGAGGGGTCCCGGTGACACCTCCGGGTATTTATAGAGGATCCAGACGGGGAGCGACTCATTCATCGGGGTACTGAGGAAACATGACGTCATCTGATGGCAGCAAATCAGCTCGCCGGACCAGACCCCCAAAAAACGGATCATCCTCCGAAACATGAGTTCATTTATTGTTCAACATCTAAAGTAGAGTCTTAGTGTCCGATGCTTTGGTGATTCAGATACTGAACATCTCATTTCTTACCATCACCTCCTTCAGCGTTCTGTCACCACGTGGTGTCATTACAGAGCAGCACCAACAGTGAAGATCTGACAACAATTAGTGATCACTAAGTATACTCACTTCTCTACAATACAACACAACATCACGTAACATTTTGTAACTTATGTAACATAATGGAATAAAAGCGCATAACACAATGCAAGATGAAATGTTGCGTAAAATGTAAAATATTTTCACATAATGTCACATACGGAACACAACACAACCAAGTGAGGCACAACTTCGTGTTAAGAAGAAACAAGCATTACACACAAAATGAAGTGAAATAGTACAGTACTAGTTTTAAAAGAATGTACTTATCTTAGCTAACACAAATGTACACGCTCTTTGCTGTGGCCTCATTAAAAGTTGCATCATATCTTGAAGACAATATTAATACACATCCAATAAAACTACGGGGGACATTAAACAAAAGGAAAACGGTTTTTGTCTTTTTTATTTGTCAGGTCATTTACAAAATGTACAGTCCTTGAGACAAAATCTTAACAAAGAAATAAAACCTAATTCAGCTTTTACCGTAATGTTGTGCAGAACATCACTGAATAAATATCCTTCACAGAATCAGACAAATAAATCTATCACAAAATAGAAGTAGAACAAACAGCAACCAGATTACAAGATGCTGGTTCATCTTGAATCAGATTTCAGACGTCTAAGTAAAAACAGAGGTCGCACAGAACACCCGAAAAACACCCGAAAAACACCCAGAAAACACCCGAAAAACACCCAGAAAACACCCAGAAAACACCAGAAAACACCATAAAAAGCAGTAATGACACAATAAAGCGAAGTATGAGAAGAGTCTCTCACGGTGAATTAGTCATAAGGAGGGCGGAAGCCGTCACCACAGTGGGATCAAGAAAAGACGTGTGGAAAGAGGGAGGAAATGCTAAGCTAGCAGCAGTTGCGGTGGAAAATAGTCCAGTGTTTGTACTAAGCTCACCCAGACACAAGCTATTTTCGTACTGATAGAGAGGAAAGTGACACCTGATCAAAAGACTACTAAACATCTGATTTTAGAAACCTTTGACAACAAAATTAGAAATAAAACTGTCTAAAGTAACTATGAAATAATTGAATCAGACGCTAATGCTCAGCCATAGCCAGCAAGCATTGTTTAACGGCACAGCTGCTACAAATGCTTTAATCTACTCTACTTTCATGGTAATAAGATTATACTCTAAATCTAACATGCCACACTGTCAACTACATGTAACATTTTGTAGAATCCTACTAAGCTTGCTAACATTTGTCTGTACAAGCGTTGTTGAGAAAACTAATACGATAGCTTATGTTTGTTAGCGTACTACTAGGCCAGCTAACTTAATCAGCGCACTGCTAAGCTAACTCAGGTTTGCCAACATTTTCATTGTGACCCATCATAATAAGGGAACATCAGAGAAATATTTGAGTATCTTGACCAACTGAGATGAAACATTCCTCTGGAGTTTGATATAAGGAATGGAGAATTTATTTTTTACAGATGAACCAACTTCCTTCATTTGGATTTGGATTATTTATTGTCTGTTTAATATATTTAGTTCCATCTTTAAGTTAGAACTCAAGCAGCAGTTGTTTTAATGCTTCCTGGCATGAAAGCAAATACAACGGTGTCCCACAGGGCAGTATCATTGGTCCTCTTCTATTCACTATTTACACAAATAATACACAAGACAATACACATTTAATCAGTCACTTCACTGTCATCTTGTACACAGGTTTCCCTTAAACAAAAAACCCCACCAATAATCAATAATTCATTATTTAACGTTAGCATCCAGTCTAGCTACTGTCCATTCCACGACTTTTTACCTCCATTTGTCTCCTTTCTGCAGTCCTCTATCCTCTTCCCTTTCCTGTTATGAATAATTCCACATCTGTATCCAAAATAAAGTAACATACTACCTTATCTGCTGTGCAAAAATATCTGTCTAAACCTGAAAGCAAGAATCAGGTTCCAATCAGAGTTTAAAACCGGCACAGTGAAATCAGTCATCACGAATAATCTCTCATCACATCGATTTGGCTACAACGAAGCGCGTTGGAAGATATTAAAAGTGTTATTTTAAAATCCCACCTGCTTGATAGTAAAAATGCAGAAATACAGGGATAAGTAGGTTAAAGAAAGCTTGTTATTTCATTTTTTTCTTAGTTTTTTCCCATGCTACAAAACAGATCAATCAAATGATCAACATTGATGTTGTATTTTTGACAAACATGTGGTTTATAACAAACAGCAGGAAGCAGGACTCAATGCATAAAAAAAAAAATCAAATATGATCTGCTACCATTAACTCAGTGAGCACAAATATATGACAATAATACAGGAAAAATAAGGAAAAAACGATTCGTCAATCAACAAAAAATTATAAATTCTTGGACTGAATGTTGAAATACGAAAAATGTCCTACTTTTATCTGGATAGGATCATTATAAGTACAACATTTTTAGAAAACACATTTACCAAACTAAGGTAATTAAGTACTATCTGATGATTATTGAATAGAAATTCATTACAACTTGATACCTTTATGAGTGAATTATTATTATTATTTGCTACATTCACTGGATAACTGAAGCTTCACCTGAACAGTTACATTAAAAACCAAACTGCAGACTCAAAATGAAAAGTTTGACATCATCGTTAATATAGTTTAATATAAAATAAAGGCATCAACATTGTTGTTATTGATTCCGTTTTGGTCCAATCAACAGAAACTAAACTCAAATAAATATCCACATTCAGAAGGTAAAATAACAGAATGACAAACGTGTCCAACTACCCCCAGAACCCCCTGAAAACTTTAACAAAACAGAACCACAAATACATTTGATGATTATTTTATTGATTGAAAATTTTGGAATACATGTATATATATATTTATTTTAGGGTATATTTATTTATAAATGTATAACAATAATGATAACTTACTCACTAACTCTTTACACTGCAGTAGTATATCAGAGTACTTCTCCACCACTAACAGCTGACACAGAACAACCATCCCGCTCTACACAACATTTAACATGAGAAATGAGCCCGTTAGACCTTTTGTGGAAGTCGGATAATGAAACCAACCTGCTGACCTTCTGCAGGAGTCTCTGTGGAAGACTTTTCTTTAGTTCCTTTTCCCTCCAGAGCGCTGTGAGGTCACCTGCTGTGCGTGGTCCTCAGGCTCTGGTGATGCTGGGGACGACTAGAACCACAAAGGCCGCCACGGCGACCGCTGCCACCGCCAGATTCCAGCCCGCGGCGTCGCCCCGCTGAGGAGAACGGAGCAACATGAGGGGACGGAACTGAGGAAGACTCCCGGGCACAAGGTAAGCATGAAACTTCACAAGACAGAATGTTGATTGAAGGAACATAAACTGTCCTCAGGACAAAGGGTTCGAAGGTGCTGGTCTTGGGTAACTCATGGTTTCACGTCATAGCGCCCCCTACTGACGGTGCCCAGTTTGCCGTTTCCTTAGCCGGAGGCTTTTCAGGTGACAACACGTGAGAAAGATGTTGTACCGCCCTGCACCTGGTGGTCGGACCACATCTATTTATCTTGAAGCATTCTGAACTCTATGAAGGAATCTGTAGTGATGCTTCACCGATTAAACGTTTCTCGTCCCACTCAATCGCTGTACGCGCAGAAGGTAATGTACGTAGAGGCCGTTAGGATTCAGCCTCTCTTGGTTTGGAGAAAGAAGGGGCGTGGCCGTACCTGGTCCTCTCTAGGACGCCAGCTCCTCCCACCAGCACCAAATCAAGGCCACTATAACAATCATCCCTATGAAGGGGATGGAGAGGACAGGGGGCTCAGAAGGACCAGTGCGGTTCTGGGAAAAAGACAAAAGGGTAGTGCAGGGGGGCATGGAGAGAGGGGGGTGGTAAGAGAAAATAAAACCATAAAAGAATCAGATGAATAAAGTCAGAATGTGTCGGGAAGAAAAGCGAGCTTGGGGGCAAACAAACTTTATGCAGGCAAGTTAAGCATCAAAGCCATCAAATCAACAGAGAATTTGATCAAGTTAATTGTGCAAGGTGTGTGTGATAAAAACATGGGGGAATAGGTGAATGGAAGGAACCAGAAAGATCCGGGAATTGAGAGGAACACATTGTTCCAGCAAACGACTGACAATGACCTTTGACAACTGCGTCCTCACCCGTCTCTGACTGCTGGGAGCCTCTGTGTGACACTCGCCAGTCAACATGTTCCTGTAGATA